AGAGCACTTCTGGAGCGCTCTGAATGATTCCGGGCCCCATATTCCTAGAAAGATTTTGAGATGCGGGAGAAGGGCTCAGAAGAGGGAGACCGATGGAGGACGAGGTCCTATGGGTTGAAGGAACTGGGGATGTTCAGTTGGAGAAAAGACCACGATGAGACAGGTACCTAAAGGGTGGCCTGGGGAAGGTGATCAGGCACTACTTTCCGCTCTGATGGAAAACAGGGCCAGAAATAACAGGCATAAGTTACAGCTACCTAGATTTCATCTAGACAGAAAGGAAAAATATGACAGTAAAATCTGTGCAGCCCTGGAACCGTCTATCGGTCAGGTGGTGGATTCTTCACCAGCCAACTTAGTTCCCACTGCAGAGGATTGCAGAGGTTGATTACCACGATTTACTCTGTCCATCACTCTGTGATTCTGTGATAAGCCCAAGCAACAGTGAGCGAGAGAAGGTGGTAATAATGCCACGAGCGCCAGCATCCATAATGCCACAAAAGATGAACTAAAGGCGAGGCAGAGTTCATCCTTGAAGACCACCGAGAATCGTGGCTGTGCAAAGGTGTGCCAGGCTCCTGGGGAAAAGGTGGGGCCATCCATCCAGCCAGAGAAGGGGGCCATCCCCCTGTGGCCTGCTCAATACCCCATGTCCCTCGCCCGGAGGAGGCTTCTCTCCAGGGTACACAGATTCGGGCCTGGCAATGTTGGAATCAGGGTGAAAAGCTGGTGGGACTGCAATGCTGGCCCAGTTTTAGTCCTGAGCTGTCCCCGAGGCTACGCCGGTCACTCAGTGGGGCCTTGAGAGGAAGTGCAGGCCCTGCTGGCTCTCTCAACATGGACCTCTACCTCCTGCCCAGAACCTCCAGCTGGGACAGAGAGATGGAAGAGCATCCTCTTCACTGACCAGGAAGGGAAAGGTCAACAGGGGACTTTGGGACAGCCTCTTTTTTCTCCCAAGCCTGGCCACGAAAGTGCTCTACAACACTACTGGAGAAAAGGTGGTTTATAAATCTAATAAATGTCAGGTGCCCAAGCTGCACCTCGGGGCATCGGCAGGCCAAGCGGGAGTCACTTCCTCCCGCCGAGTCTGGGAATGCAGGCGCTGCCTTTGGGAAGCGGCTGTCACGCGGCCCTTGCCTCAGATAGACTGCGTCGGAGGGCGGAGGTTCCAGGTGCTGTCCTGGCTCCGCGTCCACACCCAGGGAAGATGGGGGAGATTAGGGAGCCTCCGTGCTGGGTCTCGCCCACGCCCCAAGGCCGACGCTTTCCCTCGCCACCCGCCGCGCTAGCTGCGCCTAACGCCGCGGCCCCCTCCCCGCGGGTTCCGGGGGGGGAGCCCCAGCCCCGCGCGCCCCCCCCCCCCCACGACTCCCTCTTCCTTCATCTGGACGAGCCGCCCCTCCCGCAAGGGGCCCGCTCCCGCCCGGGTCCCGCCACCCTCCTCCGGCGGCCCGGCAAGCCGGCTCCGCGCGAGGCTTCAGGAGGGCGGGGGACCGGCGAGCCTCGCCCCCCCCCCGTTACTCACCGCGCGGGCATCCTCCGGCTGGGCGATGGCGGCGGCCCCGGCTGAGGCTAAGAAGGGCCGGCCTGGGCGCGCCCCACCCCGGCATGCGAGGGATGCATCATCGGCGCAAAGAGCGCCCTCGGCTCGGTGGCTGCCGCCAGGGCTGAGCGGGAGAACGGCCGAGGCTCCTTCGGTCCGAGCCTGGGAAGGCAGCCCCGGCCCTCGCTCGCTCCGCCGATGCTGCTCTCCCCCCGCAAGAGCCAGGGCCCTTCGCCCCTCCCGGTGGCGGCTGGTGACCCTTCGGACAGCCCCCCTTGTCTCCTATTGAACGACCCCCCTCCGGGTGCCTCTATGGACCCTCCGGACCTTTTCATTATTTTTTTTTTAATAGAAAGTTTATATTGCCATCTACTGGCACATGGCGGCTCAAGGGGGCTGACAAAGAGATCAAATCACCATAAAAAAGAAAAAGAAAAAGAATGGCCTCCATCCCATTCTGGGTTCCTCAGGCCCATTGACAGACCCACATCTTCAGGGCCTCCTGAAAGAGTTATAGTGGTGGAAGGGGTCCCAGAGATCATCCAGTCCCACCCCCTGCTTGCTGCAAGACCTGCTAAAGTATTCTGGGTCACAGCCACCCAACAACAGAGGAGAGGGGGCTTCTGGGGGCAAGTGGTTACTCCACAGCATCAGGAAGCATCTCCCATGAAGGCCTGCTGGGTCTGCTGCTCCTTCTAGGGCAGAGAGAGTAAATCTACTCCCTCCTGTAGAGAAAACCTTCCTTCAGATGCCTCGCTCAGCATTCTGCTGGCCAGTTCCTCCGGTTGCTTGGTGCAGATTCTCTACCGTCTCTCCAAACTTGCCCTCCCTTTGCCTGGTCTTTGCTCTGTGCCGGCCAGAACACCGAGTGGGTCTGACTGGGAAGAGTCGAGGGAAGGATCCCTCCCCTTGAGGTGGAATTAGGGCCCTGTCAATGCACAGCATTCTCCTCTTTAGCAGAGGCATCCCATTGCTGGCTCTTATTTGATGTGGGATCCACAGGGACCTCCAGATCCCTTCCATTGTCCCCACCCCCTTTGATATTTTCCTCCAAGCTGCAGTGAAGCTATTTATGATCATTCTTTGGGTATGGAAACCCCCGTTACAAATCCAATAAACGCTTGCCTTCCCTGGTGCTTAAGACCTTCATTTCTCCATTTTCCTATTTCCAGCCTTTAAAGGGCTTTCTGGCTTCCCAGGATGAAGAGAGGGAGGGTTTTTCTGAACCTTCCACCCCCTTTTGGTGTTGGTTGCAGACTTGCCGAGCATCTCTTCTATCCCCTCCTCTATTTATGAACATGTTGGAGCGCTGAGCCCCAGACAGAAGCCCAAAGCACCGGCTTTCTCTCCGTGTGGCCACAGACCCATCGGGGCAGGGCCAGCACTGGCTGTTCAACAACTGTGTTTCCACCTGGAGGGCCTGACCAGCCTCCTTCCTGGTGCGTGTCACCCTCTCACCCTCTTCTCCAACTTGCCCAGACCTGCCAATCCCTTTGGGGTTGGTGTTCCTTGCAGGCCTCAGTCTCCTTGGTCTTCTCTGTGGGTTCAGCTGGCAGCTTTTCCTGATCAGCTGCTTTTGTTATTGGGCGCTCCTGAGAAGATGCTCCCAGATCGCAGGAGTCAGCCAAAGCTTTTCCTCTGATAGGTGGGAACGTAGCGCTAAGGCCTCTCCAGTGCCACGAGAGAGACCCCCGTCTCATCTACTGTCCCCTCCATAAGAAAGGCAGCACCTTCAGCCTGTCCCAGCCTCCTCCTCCTCCTCCTCCCTCGCCCCAGAGTCGGAGACTTCCAAGAAGATTCTTAAGCTTTGGGTTTGTGACTCATAGCAACTCACAGCTCTGTAACTAGACCAATAGCATCAGGTGATATTTAAAGCCTTAAAAAAAACACAGCCGCATGCTTGGCGCTTTCCTCACCCAGCGGTCAGGCTGCCAAAAGATTTACTCTCCAAATCTAATAATAGTGCCTAACTTCCAATGAGAGGGAAAGCACTAGCACTATTTTAAGGCATTTTGGCCCTCGGAACAAACAGCCGTAACCTTTTTCAGCTGATTAAAAAGCCACCAGATTTTTTAAAGGAGCATTAAGCAAGTCCAGGCAGGGCATTTTAAGCGACCAGGGGCATCCTGGACAGCACAGCCAGGGTTCTCTGGGGCAGTGGGTTCTGCAGAAACAGGGCGGGAGAAATTCCTCCTTTGGGCAAAGGACCTTAGTGGGCCTCAGTATCCTTAGTGCCTCTGCTGGAATGAGTGGCGGATGGGAGAGAGGTGTGCAAATGCACTCTCAATACACATGCAACTTCAGGTGGCGCAGGACACTCAACTCCAAAAGCCCCTGAAGGCAGGACAAGAAATAACGGATGGAAACTAATCAAGGGGAGAAGCAACCTGGAATTAAGGAGAAACTTTCCGACAGTGAGGACAATTAAGCAGTGGAAAGGTTTGTCTCCAGAAGTTGTGGGTGCTTCATCACTGGAGGTTTTCAAGAAGAGATTGGCAACCATTTGTCCAGAATGGTATAGAATCTCTTGCTTGAGAAGGGGAATAATTCTGTTATTCTGCTCCAATTCCTGGCTGGTCTTAGTAGAAACCTGGCCAGAGAGGCAAATCTGCCAAAGACTCTTTTCCCGAACAACAAATGCCAAAAAGTGAGGTGGCATCTTCACATCTGACTCATTTATTATGGTGTAATCTGGGGACAGCAGTCCCACCCCATAATAAAGGTGTCATTCTTAAGTCCTGCTGATCTCTTCGTTGCTTTAGGAGGGGCAAACCAGCATTTTGGTCAGGCTCTCGGTAGAGGCGGCACCTCCTTCCTCAGTGTTCAGAGCAGCGTCAAGGAAAAGGAAGGCCCCGAAGACCAAGAGTTCGACTGCCAGACCTGGGAAAATCCTAGAAATGCCCATCAAATGGTTGATCTGTAGGCGTCCAGAAAGGAACAAGGGAGGACCAGGAGTCAGCCTGGGTTTGTGAAAATAAGCATGCCACACAAATCTGCTTTTTTGGGGAGGGGAACTATATGAACCAGGATAGGGGCCGCATCAGTCCTCAGGCTAAGGGTGTTATAGGAATGCGGCCCATCTCCGAGCTGCTCTCGACTCCCAAGGCTGGCATGAGACTGACACTCTGGGACACCCCCCCCCGGCCCTGGCCATGCGCTCCTGCCAGGCGGATGAGTGAGAGAGAGCAGCAGCTGCAGCTGTTCCCCAAAGCATGCACTCTCCGCTCTGTCTGGTGTCTTCAGCCAGCAAAGCTTTAACTGCCTGCTGGGTCAATTTTACTGCTCCACAAAGAGCTGCCCCCCCCATGACTAAAAGTGACTGAGTAAAAATAGTTGGGGGGAGGCAAACATCCCAAAGGCCCTTAAGAGTGTTGAACCATGCAGTTCCTCAGAAGCAACTTTTGCCTTTAGAGACTCCAGGATCTACTTTGGAACAGAAACATGCAGAGGGTGGTTGGGGTGGTTTTATTTTATTTTAAAATACATCAAGAGATCTTTTTGTGAGAATGCTTGCAATTATTTGGAGATGTGTCAAATAAATAATAAGAGACTTCCCTTATATTATTTATTTTTTTTAAAGCTGAACATTATAAATATATTATCCTCAGCAACCTCAATTGCTGTGTGCATAAACATACGGGCGTAAAAAAATTACAACACTTTAGATTTGACTGGCATAATATCCCTTCTGTTCCCTAATCCTGGCTGACCGTAATTTCCATAACCATCTTATGCAATAATTTTGGATGAAGCAATACCATTCTAAGAATTAAACAGAAATGCTTGCAGAAAAAAGGCACCTTAGTAGGGGAACATTGTGGGACAAAATTTCCTGCAAGCTTCCACCCCACGGCAGCCCCCCAGGGATGGCCCCCAAAGGGAGGGCACAAGGCAGGGTGTCTCTCTTCCAAGTGGCCTGGGCAGCAGAGCTTTCTGGCCTGGTCAACTAAGGCCACGGAAGGCCGGAGACTTTGCTGAAAGCAATAGGTGCCTGACCACCCCAGCAGTGGCCAAGTGGGGTGGGGAGATTGCAGTCAAGTGAAGCCTCCCCTGGAGTAGCTTCTTCCAGCAGGATGGGCATCCCTGGCCCAGAAGATGGGCTCCTTTACCAGCGCCCCCCCCAGGTCATGGCCCCCTACCTTCTAGGGCCTAAAGATGCCAGAACCCCACAAGAGTGACCTGCTAGTTGCTAACAGCATTTCTGGCCTCATTTTACTCAGTGTTGAGGCGCCAAAGTTCAAGCCACCCACTCTGGCCCCACAGCCCAGATGCACCATGGGGCAAAGCAGGGCAGAACCTGCAGGACAGACCACCCAGCAGGGTGTCAGCATCTTTGGCAGACTGGGTGAACAAATCTCAGAAGGCAGCCAATAGTGATGGGTGCCTCTTTCTCCTGCCCCCCCCCCCACCTCAAGGGGGAAGCAACACATCCAGCTGAGGAGTAGGGAAGGAGGGGTGCTCCAGGGTCCCCTCCCCACTTGACCTGCAGGTGATGCATCCAGAACAGTTGCGCCCCCCTCCAAACTTGTTCTGGGGCTCCCCATTTTCCTGAGCGAGGAGCCCCCCAGGCCTTTGCTGGACATCAACCCCCTCCTCCGCTTGGGTCCCCAGAAGCCCAGACTCTCCGCGAGGCAGCATCTTTCTTCGGGCAGCGCACGCAACATTACCCTCTCCTTCTCCGGCCTTCCGGGGGTCTCAGCTCAGGCAGGGCCCCTTTCAGCGCGGGAAGCCTTCAGAAGCAGCGGCGGGCCAGCGTTAGACTTCGGGAGAGCCGCCGGGGATGAGCTGGTGTTGAAGGGCTCTGTGGGCCCGAGCCTGCCAGAAGCCCCTCCCCAGCCCGGCCTTGGTGGGAGGGGGCAGGGCGACTCCGCTGCCGACCCGCCGCCTCCTGCCCCCGTCCGCCGGCCGTGGCAGTTCGCGCCGGCCAAGTCCCATCTCCGAAGGCGGAAGCGAGGGTCCCTCCGGCCCCCAGCCGCTCGGGGCGTCGCCCGCCGGGGAGGGCTAGGAAGCGCCCCCCTCTTTCTTCTCCAGGCGCGGCCGGTACTTCTGGGCGGAGGGCGAGAAAACGGCGGAGCCGGCGGCGGGGGTCTTGAGCCGCATGTTCCGGCCGGAGGTGATGAGGTCGCCGAAGCCCTGCTGGTGCGAGAAGGCGTAGCCGGAGCGGCGGGAGGCGCTGCGCTGCAGGTAGCGCTTCAGGGTGGGCGGGCCGGGCGCTTTGCGGAGCTGCCTCACTTTGCGCACCACCTGCGCAAGAGAAAGAGAGTCCGGCTGAGACGGCGAGGGGCGCCCCTCCCGCTTTCTCCCCCCCCCCCCCCCCTCCCTGGCCCCCCTTCATGCCCTGGCATCTCTGGCTTTGCCCAGCAGCCCTTAAGCCCCCCCCCTCTTCTCAGTCCAAAAGATTTCTCTGCCTCTGCCCCACCGCGGGCAAAAGCTCTGGCTCTAAGCCCTCCCAGTTTCACTTCCTCCAAAAAGGACCCCCGTTCAGACCCCAAACCATCTTTCCACGCTCCATCTGTTTCCTTTCTCTCAGAACTATTCCCTTAGGGCACAGGAATCTACCTGCAGTGGCTCCTTGGAGCTTTGAAACTCATCGATTTTGCTACTCAACACATTTGGTCTTTCGCTTCTGTCTTCATTCTGCAACAGACCTTCGACTCCGTACAGGAATTGACCCTTCGCCTTTTCTAAGTTGAGAATCCACTTTCACACTCCTAATGTGTACATGACCAGCCAGGGAGGGAAAGTCGCCCTCGCGCCCCCTTGCCCTGCTGCCCTTGCGGGTTTTATGACGGGCACCTCTCCTCCCATTTGATGGGGGTTCTGCCAAACACACAAATCTGGTTTCACTCTTGCTCCTTGATAAAGGAACAAGGACAGCCGCCTCACCATCGCCCAGCGCAGGGCAGCCTTTGCACGCCTTCAGCCTGTTGCACAGCCGTTCTGTGAACCCATGTCCGGTTATGCCAGCAGTCCCTGCAGCCCTGCTGCTGCTTCTCCACCCTTGCTGACTTCCTGCTCACCAAGATTTGCCTTCCCTCAAAACTGCTCTGGGTTTTCTTGACTTTTCCACAGACTCTTCTTTCCATCCTTCAGCCACAAGCCTTGGCCCTCCTTCCCTGGCTCTCCATTGACAGATTTGGAGCAGCTTCACCACTTTCCCTTCATTGGGGGTGGGGGGTTTTGGGGGTTGGGGAGAGGTTTCCTAGTTTTCCATAATGGTTCTCTCTCTTCCTGAAGTCATCCTGGTTTCATTCTTGCACGGGGCTGGGGTTTCACTTCCTTCCTTTTCTTTTGTTTCCCAGGGCAATTCTTAAAGCTTCCATATAAAAGCGAGCTCTTTTCCAACCTCCCCCCAAAAAGTTCTGAGGCCAATGCCTGTCATCCCTCCTCTCCCTCCCCACCTGTCCTGATGATGGGATGTGCCTGACTTTTGAGGAGAAGCTGGGGCTCCCCAGCCTGCCATTCAGCCTTTCATTCCTCTGGCTCAAAAGTTTTGAGAGCGAGGGCAGCCCGCCTTCAGTGCCTGGGCACTAGGTTTGGTGCTTCTGCTCTGGATCTTGGTGCCGGGCATCTCTTCCCAGCTTCTGAGAACTCAGCGGTGCCAGAAAGTGGAGGGCAGCACCCACAAAACCAGCTCTGCCTCTCTGGGCTGGCAAAGTACCCCAAATGACCACTAGGGGGCAGCATGACCACATGATAGTTAGCGCAGTTGCTTCAAGGCAACTTAAGGAGGCCTCCTGATAACCTCTCTGCAAGTCCACCACTAGAGGGGGAGGGGGGCTGGTGGCCGTGGCCCAGCAGCTGCTTTTTGGGCAGGGCAGAAATCCCCCCCCCTGCACACACACCTCCTTTCAACCAAGGTTGCTCAGCTCAGCCACAGGCTCCCCCAGAGGCTGGAGCCCCCCTCAACCATGGGCCAATCCCTTTCACTCAGCCCTGCTTCCTCAAAGGGTTATTGTGGGGGAAATATTGTGAGGGAGGAAGAGAGGAAGGGCTGCGAACAATGAGAGAGAAAACTTCAGCAAACAAATTCCATTGGATGCAGGTTGGCAGAAAGGAGCATTCCTCTGTCACCAAGCGCAGCGCTGGCACCCCCATTGAGGAAGAGCTTCCCTTTTCCTGCCCACCTTCTGCACAGTGGTCATCCTGGCATGGCACCTGGTTGCAAGCCTCGGACCGGCCTCGGCACAGGGCGGGTAGCAGTGGCATATGGCCCCAGGCCAGGGGGAGGAAAAGTGGGATGGACCCTGCCTCGGACCTCCCGGGGCCCAACGGCTGCCCAAATCCTGGACCACGAGGAGTACCTGATCGCTGAGGCTCGGCATGAACTGCATCTTCAGGAACCGGAAGCCAATGACCGGCAGGACACAGAGACTCACGCAGAGGCAGATGGCGAGCCACACCTTGGGCTGGTTGAGGATGTTCCGGGCGGTGCCTGGGAGGGGAGAGACAGACTGCAGTTGCCCTGCTGGGCTGAGGTGCCCGTGCTTGGTCCAGGGTTCAGGGAGAATGCAGGCAACTGGTTACTTCAGCCAGCCCTGGGAACGTAGGTGCTGCCCCCCTCCCCCCGTGGTGCTGCGCTGCTCCTGAGGCTAAGCCCCCCCCTCCAAGAGGGGAGCAGCTTCCTCCAGGGCATTGAGGGGGGTTCTTTGCAGCTTCTGAACCTACCAACAAAGGGGAAGGAGGAGGTGAATATCTGGTAGGTGCCGTCGCTGTACAAGGTGAAGGTGATGACGAAGTAGATGGCCAGGCTGCCCCAGAGGAAGAGCTGGTTCACGGCTGTCCAGTAGGCTGTGTCTAAGCCCATCTGCAAAGGCAGCCTGGCTAATGTAGCAGTGGCAGCAGCAGCTGCTCTGGCTCGCTGACCCCCTCCATGAACCACGGCTAGCTGCCCTCCTCCCCACCCCACAAGGGCTGGATCTGCCAGCCCGGCCACGTAAAGCCACGTGCCCCGAAAGCTCCTCCGGGCCTGCGCCCCTGGCCGCCTGCACTCACTTGGGTACCTCGTGCGCATGGGAGCCTCAGCGCTCCCTCCTTCAGCTGAGCAGCTCCCCTTGGACCGCCAGGGGCAATGAGGTCTTGGCTTCCTCGACAGGTTCCTGGCGTTTTGGTGGAGCAGCTTTCCCAGACCCGAACCCCCCAACCCAGTGTGCAGCTTAATGGCAACCAAGGATTAACGCAAGCCAACAAGGCTGGGTGCTGCCAGTTAGACTGGACACCTGCTTGTGCTGAACTTGTGAGCTGAGTGGGCTGTGGGGATGTTGAGGCTAAATCCAGACTTCAGGATTTGGGCCCCTCCTCAGGAGAAAGAGCCTGGGGGCCACAGAACTGGAGCAGTTGGCGAGACAGAGCCCCCTACCTGGACCGACACCACGATGAGCAGACAGGTCTGCACCATGAGGGCAAAGGACTGGTAATCGGTAACGTCCCTCCCGTCGCTCCGCACAGAATTAAAAGTGGTTCCGTAAGGGACCAGGAAAAGCACCAGGGAGCTGTAGATGCTGTAGAGGGTGCATTTGGCAAACTCCTTCTTGTTGAAGTACAGGTTCTGCTGGCCGGGCACGTACAGCTGGGGAAACTGCAGGCTCCAGCGGTCGTCCACATCCTGGCAGCAGAAAGAGGAAGCTGGGGAGCAAGGTGGCAGCCACTGGCCCTGCAGGAGGCGCCCTAAACCCGCCCCATCTTCCAAGCAAAGGCAAAGGCAAAGGCTAGGAGCTTGTTCCTGCTTCTGGCAAGCCAACAGGGCTGGGGCAGGTTCAACTTCCAGAGAAAAGTTGTTCCACACCTAGCGATGGTCATGGAGAAGCGCCTCCTCCCAGGCTCAGCCCTGTGGACTGCTCTGCTCTGGACCAACTGAAGCATCACCAAAGCATCGGGCTATGGGAAGGAGCTCTCCAGGTGGTTGGCTTTAGAAGGCTTTGCAGGAGTTCAGATGTTGGCTATGGCAGCAGGAGCCACTCTTTCAAGGTCTCCCTGCTCCAAGAGAGCTGCTCCAAGGTACAGCAGCCAAAGCTGGGCAAAGCTCTACCTGACACAGCTCCCACCCGCTGTTAGCAGGTCCTGGTAGGCTAGGAAGACCCTCAAGTCACGGACCTGCCCTTGGAGTGAGTCCATCCGGAACTACAGCTAGAAATGACGCTTCAGGGAGAAGGAGGATGTTTGTGGACCGAGTGCAGCTCTGCTTTCCTAGGGGTTCACCTGAGCGGCTTTCTCCCCATCCAGACCCTAATAATATTGAGGCCTCCACAATGGACACGGATGGTACCTCACTTTGCACTGAAGGCTTTCTCTCCCAGGAGTTTCAGGCAGATGCTAAATGCTACAGGGGAGAAGGCCTGGCACCCCACACAGGATCACTCCACTCCCCAGATCCCCAGTGCTTGCACGCAGCCTGCTAAGATACCATGTCGATGATTTAAAATGCTGCTGAGATCTCAGAGGACCACGAGAGGTTGACTTCCAACCGGGGTCACTAGCAGAGTGACCAATATTGTTCCATCTAATACCGTGCCTGAAAGAGTCCCGGATAATCTGTTTCCTCGGGGGTTAATTCCCAGAACCCCCCTCTCTCTAGGCTTTCCCAAAAGAGGGGAAGCTGAGGCTGAGGGGAAGTTGACAAGGGTGGCTGGATCACAAGTTGGCCTCTTTAAGAAAGGACAGAACAGTACCTGTTGGTTGCTAATCTACCGTTAATCCCGGAAGAAGAAAAAGAAAGGTTAAATGAAAAGATCACTATAGAGGAATTAAAAATGGCCCTTTCTAAAATAAAGAAGAATAAAACTCCAGGCCCAGATGGTCTTCCCGGGGAATTATACCAAAAATTTGATGACGCCCTAAAATTAGAGTTACTAGAAATACTGAATGAGGCTCTGGCGGGTATCACAATTCCAGATTCGTGGAGGGAAGCGTATTTGACGCTTATTTTGAAAGAGGGTGCCGACCCGAAACAGATATCCAACTACAGACCTATCTCATTGTTGAACGCAGATTATAAACTGTTCATGAATATAATTGCGGAAAGGTTCAAAAACATTTTAAATCGGTGGATACACAAAGATCAAAATGGCTTTCTCCCAGGGAGACAGATCAGAGATAATCTGAGAATAGTTTTAAACACCTTTGAATACTACGAACAACATCCTGAAAAACAGCTGGCCTTAATGTTTGTCGATGCCCAAAAGGCATTCGACAACTTGAATTGGACGTTTCTGATAAATCAAATTGACCTAATGGGATTCGGTACTAACTTTAGGAAGATGATTGAGAATATCTATAAAAACCAGAGGGCAAATATACTAGTGAATGGAGACAGAACCCAATTGTTCCAGATTCCAAAAGGAGTGAGGCAGGGATGCCCCCTGTCTCCCTTATTATATATTTTGGCGCTAGAGGTGCTACTTAGAAAAATAAGAGCTAACAATGATATCAAAGGATTAAAGATTAGGAACGAATTATTCAAAACCCAAGCTTTTGCTGACGATGTAGCCCTCATAATGGAAGACCCATTAGAATCCGGTGGAAAATTAATGCAGGAAATACAGGAATATGGAGAGGTGGCGGGCCTTAAACTCAATAAGGATAAAACTAAACTATTAGTGAAAAACATGACAGACCTTCAAAAGGAAGAATTGGAAGATTTATTAGGCCTCCAGACAGTTAGGAAAATAAAATACTTGGGAATATGGATCACCGCAAGATTCTCCTCATTAAAAGATGATAACTATATCCCCCTTCTGCAGAAAACACACCAAGATCTTGAAAGATGGAAAAAGCTCAAATTGTCTCTGATTGGTAAAATTGCAGCGATTAAAATGAATATCCTACCAAAAATTTTGTTCCTATCCAAAATATTCCGTTATCTTTAGATAAAAAATTCTTTTTGGACCTGAACAAACATATCAGGAATTTTCTGTGGGAGGGCAAGAAATCGCGGATTTCTTTTAAGATACTCCAAGGGAAAAGGAATTTGGGAGGTTTTGGGCTCCCTGACTGGGAACTATATCAAAAGGCGGCAAAAATAATCTGGATTAAGGAGTGGATCAAGTTACAAGATAGGAGAACCCTGACCTTGGAAGGACATGACCTTCTAGAAGGATGGCACTCCTACCTTTGGGATATAAAGAACAAGAAAAAATCCTATTTTCATAAACATAAAATTAGGGAGACCCTTATTCACACGTGGGTCGAAATTAGACAGAAGATCTATACGAAAGTACCCAACTGGCTTTCCATCATGGAAGCGTTGGCGGCACCAAACAGGAGAGATGAGTACAAATGGGGTACATACAAGGATATCCTCGATGAAGAAGGGAAACTTAAATCATTGGATTTATTGAGAGATCAGGGCCTAAACTTGGATTGGTGGAACTATTTTCAGATCAACTCAAGATTCCAAAAAGACAGAGATAAATTTGGTATAGCAGCGAAATTTGGGAACTTTGACAAAATTATTTGGGGAACAGATAAGAAAATGTTATCGAAAATCTATAACTTTCTATTAGATGAAGATAGGGCAGAGTCCATAGCAAGAAATCAACTGAACATCTGGGAAAAAAATCTAGGACATAGACTAAATTTTAATGATTGGGAGATAGCTTGGAATAGAAACTACAAAATAACTAAATCGACAACGTTTAGGGAAAATCATTACAAATTGTTACACAGGTGGTATCTAGCCCCAGCGAGGCTAGCCAAGATGTTTCCAAATCTCTCTCCCACATGTTGGAAATGTGGAAAAACGGTCGGCACCTTCTACCACCTATGGTGGACTTGCCCTGAGACTAAAAAGTTCTGGTCCAAAATCCGACACTGGCTCTGTGAAATAACGGGACAGGAGGTAGACCTAGCCCCAGAGCTTTTCCTCCTAGGCATAACCGAAGAAGGCTTTAATAACAACAAAACCCAACTGATAATCCAGATTATAACTGCGGCTAGATTAGCTTTCGCAAAATGCTGGAAAAACAAACTTATGCCCTCAGAAGAAACTCTAATAAATAAGATCCTAGAGTGCGCAGAAATGGCGAAACTGACAAGTGAGTTAAAAAACGAGGACAACTCAAAATATTATGACGTATGGGGTATTTGGTATCACTGGTTGAACAATAAGACGAAAACATGACTATAGAATTTGACTTGGCACATGTATTATAGTTGTATTGTATAAAATAATGTATAGTTAAGGATGAAGTCTTTTTTAACTTTTGTTTCACTATATTGTATAAACACTGCACCTCCGAAAGGAGAGATAGATTGTATATTTTCTTTTTTGTTTTAGAAAACTCAATAAAGTATAAAAAAAAAAAAAGAAAGAAATGCATGCACCAGTGGATCATTGGAGAGAAATGCATGACTTATTGGGCTCAGAAAATAATTTTAAAGATATCTGCTATTATCTATAAACTTGGCCGTGTCATGAAAGAGGACACCAGTGAGGGAGTCTTCTTTTTTCGATTGCTTTTCCTTCAGTTTTTTGAACTGAAACCGAGCAAAGGCACCACCAGCGACTCTTACCTGGTCAAAGAGGCTCATTCCAAGCACTGGCAAACAGGTGTATACCATGTTGTAAAGGGTGATGAACCATTCATCGTAGACAGTCTGCAGGGGAAGAAGGGGGGTGGGGTGGGGAAAGATGGAAGGATATGAGAGGGGAAAGGGGAATGGTACCAAACCTCTAATCCGGAGATCAGTGGATAGAGGGGGGAGGCCCAGGTTTCTTTCTGGATTCCTGTTGCTTAGGGGTGGTGTTCTGTCTTTCCCCAGGAGGCATTTAATTTATATGATGCCCATCTCACCCAGAGGGGACTCTAATATCACGCTCTTCTCCCTAATCTCTCCTCTGCATCCTGGCTGTGGGTCAGTATATTCTACCTAGACTTCTTTGTAAGTGAGCAACTGTTACGTTGGCTTGCAAGGCTGTCTCTACAGCAGAGGACCTGCTTTGTCTTACAACATACAACCCTACCAATCCTGTCCTTGCTGTATGTCCCTCCGGGGACATACTATGCTAGTTGCCCTTTCTGTCTTTACTGAAAATATGAGAGCTCTGGTTGACCAAAGCCACAACTGGGAGCAGAGGTCAGGTTCTGTGGAGCCCCAGGTGGCCATCTCTTGAGTGACCAGAGATAAAAGACTATGGCTTGGAATGTAAGGGAAGAAAACAATAAAGAGCATGAATGAATGAATGAAACGAGAGCAAGAAAGGAAGGGATGGTGATGGAAGCCTAGCTTTAACCATGATTTGGACATTAAGAGGGAATGAAGGAGAATCAACGCAGAAGACAAACTTTGAAGGAGGAACGAAGGGGGTTGGGAAGAAAGCAGAACACTTTCCCTATAAGGTGGTAGGGCGATAGGTCTGTCTGTCCGTCCATCCACCCGTCACTCTATCTGTAGGCCTGTCTGTCAAAAGTGATTCGATGCAGCTGGCTTGGCTAAGGGAAGGTCACTACTGCAGCCACTGGTCAGCTGGGTCCAAGCAACACTCTTAATCAAGCCTGTGTACAGGAGCCTGTGTGTGTACAGGTAGTCCTTGACTTATGACCGGTTGCTTAACAACTGTCTGAACTTATGGTGGACCTAGCCAGAGCTACTTACGACCTGTTTTCAAAGTTACCATAGCTACAAAGAGTTACATGCACCCCTGTGATCATGTGATCATATTTTGGGTGCTTGGCAACCATCCCACCTTTATGACTGTAGCGTTTGCATCTTTTTTTCTTTTTTGCCAATCTGGCATTTACTTAATTTCCGGTAAAAAACACCTATTTGGGAAAATTTGCTTTCGTTACACCATAAAATATGTTGAAAAATCAGGTGTGGTCATGTGATGCCTTGACTTATAACCACAATGACTTATAACCACAATTCTGGGCTCAATAATGGTCAAAAGTCGAGGACTGTGAGTATTCCTGCTCAAATTGCTTCCTTTCCACCAACTGCTTCCTTTCTCTCTGTAGAGTGTTGCATGCTGTGCAAAACCAAGCCGTGTGGTTAGTGTCCCAGTCCCCACCCTGGCCAAGGGCACGCACGTGTGAGATGCCGATCCACACGGAGAAGCCACAGGGAGGGATGACTTTCCATGGCAACAGAATCCAGGACCAGAAATTGTGAGCACAAGTTACAATTACTTGAACTTCATGCCAATATAGGGAAAAGCTTCCGGATGGTAAATTTCTGTGCGACAGAATTCTCCGTGTGGCCTTGAGAAGTTGGACAGCAACTTCCTAAGGTTGAAACTGATCTGGCTTTCCCTCTGCAGCCGAGTGTGGTCCTTGCATTGCCTGCTGTCCTGGCAAAGGGCTCGTGGCCATTAATCAACCTGCTGGCCCCTCGTCTGAAAGTCCGGTAGGAAAAGAGATGCCTGGTCTTGCTGGGTCCTGGACCTGCCCTCAACCATTAGCTGGAGCAGGCCAGGGAAATGCTCCGCCCCCTCCCCCCTTTGCCCTCCCCAGTCGGCTGCCTCTGGGGTGGAATCCTGGGCTCAGCAGAGGCAAGTACCTGGGCGGAGAAGCCGGAGAAGAAGCCGTACCAGAAGTGCACCAGTGTGAAGGCAAAGTTTTTGTAGAAGAAGTAAGACAAGAACTTGCACATGCGGATGTATGACCACCGGCCGTGGACCAGCAGCAGCCGCTGCAGGTAGCGGAACTGGGCAAAGGAGAAGTCGCTGGACATCACCGCCTGCATCCCCTCCTGGCCACTGATGCCGACACCAATGTGAGCAGCTAGAAGACCAAACAGGAAGGCCCTCAGCAGGGAGCAGGACCAGGAGAAGCCGGTGGGCACCGGATCCACGCGTCCCATGGCTACTGCGTTTGGCCTCCCAAGCCCAGAGAAAGGGGGCACAGGCAGAGCAGGAAGGCTCGGACAGAGACGTGTTTGCAACTGACCCTCAAGGGAATGCAAGACGCTTGTCCACAGCCAAGGCTCTGCTGGGCCTCCAGTAACAGAGAGGGGGCCACCCACAGTCACCCCACTGGATTTGCTTTCCGTTCCCTGCCCCCTTGGCCTGGTTTATTGTACCAGAGTCCCTCTGCTTCTGCAGCTTCTCCCCCGGACCTGGCCGAGAGCTGAGCCACCTACCACACTCACTTTTGATCATGCCGACATCGTTGGCGCCATCTCCGATGGCCAGGGTGACGGCGTTCCTGTACTTCTTCACCAGCTCCACCACCTGGGCCTTCTGCAGCGGAGTCACCCGGCAGCAGATCACCGTTTTGCACAGGCAGGCCGTGTCCACCAGCAATTCCGAGAGCTCTCCCTCCAGCGCATAGGCCTGCCAGGGGCACAGAGGACGCAAGAGAGGATGGCTCTTCTCCCACGGTTGGAGGGCAAAACACTCAGGAAGAGGCCAGCGGTCCTGGGTTGAGTGAGGTGCCAGACACCCCCACCTCTCTGAGGACCAGCCCCTTGTCTGTCCTGAACTGGCACTTACACTTACTTACTTACTTACTAAATCAATTGATATGGCTGCCCTCCTCACAGCATCAGCAAAACATTAAAACCCTACAGGGATTGGGACCAGCCTGGCCTCAGGGAAAGGGCACGGCATTCCTGTCAGTTCCCATTGCTTTGCCCTTGTGGGCCAAGTGCCAGGAGGGCTGCGGGCCCCTGTTTGCTCCTGGTCTGTTGCAGAAGGGGCCCAGCCTCGGGCGCCACCTTACCAAGCTATGTCCATTAATGACCAGGCCGTACTCTTCGCTGGTGGGCTCTTTGTTCCAGAAGCCGGAGGAGGTTGATCTCTTAATGTCAAACTCTTCTGTCTTCGCTTCAAGGTCTGCTTGCATCCTGTCCCTTGCTGACCTGGGAAAGAAGCAACACGGTGAGCCTTGGGGACACGAAGCGAGAAGGGGTGGACGGGGCCAGGAGGATGAGACCGTGTGCCCTTGCCAAGGCTGGAGGCTGTCAGAGCCCCAGCACCCTGACCCAACCTGCGCCCGGTTCCTGCCCCAACTGAGCTGTGAATGGAGCCGCTGCTGCCTTGATGGTTCACTCTTATTACTAGTCTTACTATCATGGAGAGGTATTTGCTCTGAGCGGTTCCCATGTTTCCTAAGCCACTAAATGGCCCCAGGCAAGAGAAACCCAAGAGGAAAATGTCTGAATGGGCCATCCAATTGAGAAGCAGCCTCTGCCAGCACACTTGGCTGATCCCCCTGCCTCACTTCCCCCTTGAGAAATGTCCTTTCATACCACCCAAACTTTGCATCTGACTGCTGAATGATCCCAGGAAAGCACAGCGTACGCAGGCAGCTTGCAGAGTTTGGGAGGTTGACGTGGTGGCCCACCCACCCACATGCTTTGGAGATGGGGGGCAGCCCAGAAACAGGGTGGATCAATGAGAGGACCCCCTTCCTGCCTGGGAGTCCTAAGGAAGCACTCCTTCAGACAGCCAAGATGAGTCCGGGGGGGAGGGGGGCAACCAAAGGGGAGCGGTCTTCCCCCTCAGAGAGACCCACCTTTGGTCAGAGCTGGGATGCCCAATGAGGTGGCAGAGACTCTGAGGCCCCCTCAGCCCCTCCAGGGACTGGCTGGAGAAGGTTCTTGCTCTCCTCTGCCTTTTTCTCTGCTAGCTGTTCTCCCCACTCAAGACAGCTGCCCTCCCTCCCACCCACCCAGATGGGCATGGGAGCAAAGGGGCAGCAAGCGAGCTCCAGGGAGGTGTGTGTGCCTCTCTCTCTCACCTGAGCTGCTGCTCCACTTCCTCCCAGCTGTCACCGTGAATGATGAAGATGTCCTTCATGGCATCGTACAGCATGTTGCAGGAATAGCCGATGTTCACTGCGGTCTCTAGAAAAACAGATACCCCCCTCCCAGTCCATTATTTTCAGGAAGGAAAAAGACCCCCTCCTCCCCCCCCCTAGGGAGCCCACTCCTCTGGTCCCCAGTTGCGTCTCTATAGGGGCCTGGGAAGGAAGGGAGCCCCAGGTCTGCACCCAGGAAATTGGCACACCAGCCAAAGGACTGAACCCGCCGTCCCGGCAGATGGATCTTCTGTGGCTGAATAATCTTAATTCTTTGCTGGCCTCCCTTGACTCAGCTACATCCACGTTCAGCCCTTCTCTCTGCCCCACCAGCCGTTTTTCTTGCCCACGTGTAGAACCCACTTTTCTCTTCTGCTTTTTGGCTCTGCAATTTTCTGTTCTTCAAAGACTAGGTGACTTCCCTGCTTCCTTGCCCCCCTCCTTCCATGCTCCTCTCCTGATCCTGACTCCCAGCAGACCAGAGATCTGCTTGGAAAGCTGGCTGGCCCATCTCTTTCCTCCAAGGGCAGCGAGGAAAGACTCCATGAGACCACTGAGCCACTGAAAGGCTCAGTGGCTAAGACGCTGAGCTTGTCGATCAGAAAGGTTGGCAGTTTGGCGGTTCGAATCCCTAGTATAGGTCTCCTGTGTGAGCAGGGAGTTGGACTAGATGACCTCCAAGGTTCCTTCCGACTCTGTTACTGTTACTTTGCATCTGTCCAGGAGCCTTGCTGGGAAGCAGTGGCTCCGAAGCAAGGAAGAGATACTCCCCCTGGCAGTGGTGTGGGAGCAGGCCCTTTGTTGTCACCACAGGGGATCAGCAGGGGCCCCCAGATGCCCTGAAAGCACCCTGTGGCAGATCTCGGTTCTCTCAGAGTTTGGGCCTCAGCCCTCCCGCCCCTTTCTCCAGCCGGTACCTTGCTTGTCACCGGTGAGCACCCAGATTTTAATGTGTGCCCTTCCCAGGATCTCAATGGTCTGGGGGACCCCTTCCTGCAGCTTGTCCTCCACGGCGGTGGCACCAAGCAGCTGGGGAGAGAAGGAAGGGTGAGCTGAGAGGTGGTAGGGAGCCTCTACCAAGGTGCTGATGCTTCATGCATCATTTGTCTGCCATGATCTTGGCCCGGCCTCTCAAACCCCCAGCCTCCTGTTGCCAGGCTAGCCACTCAGCATTCACGGTGGGTGTGTTGGAGAAAGGGCAGAGGGAGTCATCAAACCAGGGGCCAGAATAGACCGGCATTTCTCAAGTGCACCTTTGCTGGATCTGCGGCCTTCCTATAATCTTTTGGTATTGCACTAAAGGCAGGCAATGGAAAAATCCCTGGTAATGATGCCGCGTAGCTTTTTAAGAGGCTCGCAAGCCAGAACTCCTGCGGCAGCCCGAGAGACTGGCCAGTGTAAGAACAGCAAGGCCCACCCTGTGCCCCAGAAGGGAAGGACAGGGCAGTGGAAACACTTTCCAGATGGATGGGATGTGGGCAATACATCTTGGCTCGTGAGGGAACGGAGACATTTTAAGGCAAGGGTGGCATGCAAGGAAGGCCCATTTCTCTAAAGCAGTGAAAATTGTGCACGTTATATGGGAGCAAGTGTTGGGCACGCCCGTTTCATGTGGTGGAACCTAAGAAGCACGAGTGTTAAACAGACCAGAATGAATGGGCGACACACAATGGATCTGAGCACAAGAAGGTGAGGTGAGCCGGGAGGAAATGAAGGACCCAATGGCCAACCGCTGAGCGAAGGAAAGACGGGGGAGCCCAGAGGGACAAAGGAGACATGATCCTCCAAAGAGAAGGGAGATCCAAAGGCACCTCAGGGCAAAGGGTGAGCGGATGTGATGACGGAAGAGGCACCGGAACGGAGTTGGTGTAAATAGGCCTCAGGTACGTCCTTTTGCTTCCCTCGTGCCTTGAATGTCCTTGGCTGGAGACCTTCGGGCTCCTTCCCTGCACTGTGTGCCACAAGGCTTACCTTGGAAGGCAAAGCATGTGTGCATGCGTGCGCGGAGCCCAGGCACCCTGCGCCTAACACTCTGACAGAGCGCTGGAGAAAAGAAAAACGGAGCATAACGTGTCCCTGCGGTCGCCTCTCAGGAGACGATCCTCCCCTGTGATAAGCTCCATCCAAGCTGGATCAAGTTCTGGGGAATCTGCCTGTAATTTACCCTGTTGCAGCTGAGGATTTCTCTCTCTCTGGGCATGCGTGTGTGTTTAATCGTGTAATGATGCTTTCTAGCTGCCTGGCCCAGGGTTCTCAAGAAGAGCCCTGCAGGAGACATTCCTTGGCCACCAAACCTTTCCGCAGGTGCTGGGTGACTTGAAGGCATCGGGGAATCGCCACGGCAGGAGTGGCAGCAGAGGGTTCCCAGTTGGCATTTGCTGGGGCTGGTGGACAGAGTGAGCTTCCGCTGTGCCAATTGCCTGCCTGCCTCTTGCGAGGCGCCTACCTGCAGGTCTCTCTCGATCTCCTCATACAGCTTGGACAGCTTTCCCTCTCGGTCCTGCAAGCTGGTGCTCGCCTTGTGGTGACGCTTCTTCCAGTCCTCAAAGTAAGACTCCCGCAGGTCTCGGTAAGCCACCACCAAGGTCCGCAAACCTTCCCCGGCAAATTCCTAGGAAGAACAGCAGGCTCAGAGTCCCACACCAGCCACGGGGGGGGGGGGGGGGGGGGGGGGGGCAAAGAAGAGGGGGTCAAATTATTCTACAAAGACCAGAAGGCCAGACAGGAAACAATGGATGGAAACTCATCAAGGAGAGAAGCAACCTGGAACTAGGGAGAAACTTCCTAACAGTGAGGACAACTGAACAATGGAACATCTTGCCACAAGAAATTGTGGCTGCTCAGTGGTGAAATCCAATTTTTTTTACTACCAGTTCTGTGGGCGTGGCTTGGTGGGCGTGGCAGAAGGATACTGCAAAATCTCCATTCCCACCCCACTCTGGGGTCAGACAGAAGTGGTATTTGCCAGTTCTCCAAATTGCTCAAAAATTCTGCTACTGGTTCTCCAGAACCTGTCAGAACCTGCTGGATTTCACCCCTGTGGCTGCTCCATCACTGGAGGTTTTTAAGAAGAGACTGGACAGCCCCTTGTCTGAAATGGTCTAGGGTCCCCTGCTTGAGCAGGTGGCCGGACTAGAAGACCTCCAAGGTCCCTTCCAGCTCTATTCTATTCTACACCCCTCATTCCCAGGGCTGGGAACTGGCACCCCACATCCAACCTGTGGGGAAGGAGAACACATGTCAGGAGCACCTCTGGGCACAAGACTTGCAAAGTTAACCCGGGTGGCCCACGTCTGAGCATGGACGCTGCTCCTCTGGGAGTCCTTTGCCCTACTGCCTGGAAAGGTTCAGTCCTGATGGATTCATGACAAAGCTTTGTTCTCTATGGCTCCAGGGAGCAGGACTCTGTGCAACCAGGGAACTCAAACCACAGAGAAAAGGGTCCAGGCCGGGCGAGAGAAGTGGCCAGCGAGTCCCACTAGCTGCCACCTCAGTGCTTGAGGTCTTCCAACAGAGACTGGATGGTTGCCCGTCAACATGCTCGGGGGGGACCCAGCCCTGTGCAGGAGACTGAGGAAGATGCCCTGGGCTTTCAGAGGGAGGCCAGCCAGCAACTCTGCAGCCAGCTCTGCTACTTTTTCACTTCTGGGCCCAGCTCTGCTGTTGGCATCGAGAAGGCCTGGGGGGCGGGAGGGGGCACAGGTTTGTCTCACGTTGGAGGGAGGAGCACAGCCAAGCGACCGTGGAGCCAGAGAGCAGGTGGCAAGCAAGCAGGCAAGCCCGCTTCCTGCCTGCGTTTGGAAGAAGCGGGAGGGCAGACCCCAGCCGTGTCTCCACTGGGCCAGGGACACCTACATCCAGGTGCTCGGTAGTCTCTTCCTCGAGCTGTTTGCAGGAGGGATGGAGGAGCTTGTACAGGATGGTGTCGGCCCCTTTGCAGTACAGAGTCAGCTGACCCCTCGGGTTTCGCACTGGGAACAAGGCAAGAAGGGCAGAAGTGAGTCTGCAGCAGATGGAGCCCAGAAAAAGAGCCAACCGGAAGCCCCCCTTCCTCATCTCTCTTCCCTCCCCTCCAGCTTCTTCCTCCAAACCACCAAACCTGCCCCAGGTAGCCTGTCTGAAAGGTCCAAGTCCTTCTGCACTGCAGACGGGTTATGTGAATTGTTCCTCACTAATTGCACTTGCACATCACTGGCACGAGGGAATATCTATACTCAGGGTTGAACTGTGGAGTCTTTGGTGCTCTCTGAGCTTGAGGGTTATCCTGCAGATGTTTCATTACCCAACTAGGCAACATCAGCCCTGATGATGCTACCTGGTGTGGCAATGAAACATCTGCGAGAAAACCACCAAGCTCAGAGAACACCAAGCACCCCACTTGTGCACCAGGCCAGGGACCCCAGCAAGGTCTTGTGGTTGGGCAGCGTGACAGTTTCTGCTGTGACACGAGACAACCTCTGGGCGGGAGGAGAGCTTGAGCAGAGCGTGTGCAGAGTGGGAAGGAAGAGGGACACACCAATGACAGACATCCTTTTGCGCACATTGTTGAAGTCCAGAATGGCCAGCAGCTCGTAAACCACAGTTTCCCCCATTTCCACCACGGTGATGGTCGTGGGGGTGCGGGCACGAAACACAAAGCCAAAGTTCCGGGCTGCAGTCACCAAGGCCCCCTCGTCCGGGGACTGGGCTTGGTACACCAACGTGCCTGCGGGCGAGGAAAGGTGCTGGTTGTTTTGCAAGCATGAGCCTCCCCTCCAGCCACCGTGCCCTCCTCTGCCAGCTCTACCATGCAGTGCAGCCTCACCCTCCTTTGTCTCTTCTGGCATCACCGTGTGGCAGAGGGAAAGGAGGCGGAAGAACCTGTGTGTGGACTCATCCCTGGCCTTCACCGCTTGGAGCAGTCTGCGGTCATAGAAGACAAACTTTGGGTCGGCGAAAGGGTTCCACGAAAAGTCAACTTTGTCCATTGTCTGCGGAGGAAATAAGGAGGGTCAACCTCTTTTTGCTGGGCTGGACAATCTCTGGACACCACCCAGCCCCACACAGCAAGGAAGTAAAGCTACTTGTGGGGCTCCTGAATACATACTGGTTGACTCACCACAAAGACCCCCATCAAACTACTTCCTGAGTTGATGCCAACACTAATACCATCCTCAACCCACCCTGGCCTTGCCCATCTTGTCTTCCTCTGTGTCAGTGTGTCCAGCCGCTGATAGCCTGGGGGTGGGGGGATAGCATGTTCCTGGAGAGGGCCTCTGGTTACTGGTAGATGCCCTCCATGCAATTTCATCTTAGCTGCTGGAGGGGGATGTCTGCCTCCCTCCAGAAAGAACCATCCCACTTTGCAAGACCTTCCTGGGATGCCTCTCTCCTTTGGCACCCAGCACCTGGTTCCTGCAGAGGCTGATCTCAGCGGCAGGTAAGGGCGGAGGGGAATCTGCATTCGCCCCTAGTGGGGAACAGCCCATCTGAGTGCTGTGAAGGGAGGGCATTTTCCTACTCTTAAGGTCCACTTGCTGCCAGCCTTCTTCAGTGACGTGTGACATGGGGAGCTGAGCTGGAGCCAAATTGACAAGCCTTGTGCCAGTTTCCCTTCTACTCCAAGGGATGATAAAAAGGCTCTACAAGACTACTAAGCTCCTGTCCAAAATCAGCCCAGCTAGACAGGAAGGTAGCCAAGCCTCTCTCCACCACCGTCCTCTGGTCACCCAGAGTGGGAAGAAAGTGGACATCAGAAAACCTGTGGATCTTGCTGTCAGTAAATGGCACCATCGGGCCTTCCCCATCTCTTGCCTCCCTCACCCCATGCTTGTCCTGTGGACAGAAGCCCTTTCAGTTCCGATGCTGAGTTGGGGGAGCTGGAAGTGGGGAGCACCGCTGAATCCTCTTCCACTCTCAGCAATGGCACTCAAGTGTTGCTGTGCAGAAGAGCAGATACCCTGGGAACAGGGTCACTGCAAAATACGGGGAAACGGAGTCCCCAGACTTGGCCTTCTGCCTGAAGCGTGGATGGCAGCCTGGAGGTCACCACTGCTGGGATACAACCAGCCCCGTTTCAAAAGAGGATTGGCGGGGTGTCCCTTACCTCAATGTCCTCCACCAGGAATCCCTCTGAATCCAAAATATCTCCTGTGGGAGAGAAACAGACTGGCTTTGAAGGACAACCAGGGTCTCTGTGCCCCGACATATCATGCTCGATCCCTCATGCTGAGCACACCCTACAGTCAGAGTGAGACCCTTCTCCAAATGGCTGCATCCACCTCTTGGCCATCCTTGAGCCTTTCTTGGACAGAGTTGGAGGCAGTGGAGGGCTGACTATGCCCTGAGAGCAATGAGCCTCACTGTCGCCAAGTTCCCAAAACATCGGAACGGAACCTGATTGGGCTGTTCTCTTAGGGGGAGGGATTGGCGATTGGCGATTGCTTTCAGTATTTCACGATTTTTGCACTTTTTTTCTCCAGAGCTTGCCTCATCCATGCTGCACTCAGTATCTCTAGTAAAAGCACCTTTCCTCTAAAACCTATGGAGTCATGGGTCATTCTTTCCTAGGGAGTAGCTGGGGCCAGTCTGACACGGCTAGAATATTTCCGGTCAGGAACGCCTGCTTGCCATTTTCTATGTCCTGCAAAGGGCCCTCATCCCTTATCTGAAATTTTGGGGCCAGAGCGCCAAAAGTGCTTGGAGCAGACTGTGAAATTCCTCTCCTCCTTTTCTCCAGGAACTGGGGGGGCTGGCCCCAAAGCAGGCAAAGTTCCGATGCGCTTCCGTCTTTCCATCCTACAGGGAGATGCCCCTCCGTCTGGCCCCTTCTTACCGTAGAGCTTCCCAGCGATGCAGCATTTGTTGAAGATCATAATGTTCTTAGTGAGGGTCCCTGTTTTGTCAGAGAAGACGTATCTGATCTGCCCCAGCTCCTCATTGAGGGTGGTGGTGCGGGCCTGGGCAGGCATATCGTGGGGCGGGTAATACATCTTGTGGTCCCAGTCGATGTAACAGCTGTTGGCCAGGCGAATGATCTCAACGCTGGAGCAAAGGAAGGCACACGCTGGGTCCTTGGCAGGAAGGGAAACGTCCGGTGCCCGCTCCAACCCTGGCAAGGTGGAGCCAGCTGTGCCTCCAACCAATGTGACATTGTGCTAGAGCAGCAAGTGCACACAGGTGGCAAAAGACCATTGCTGGCTGTGGCTGAAGTGGCATTGGTTCAAGGATGAAATCCAGCAGGTTCTGACAGGTTCTGGAGAACCGGCAGTGGAAATTTTGAGTTGTTTGGAGAACCAGCAAATACCACCTCTGGTTGGCTCCAGAGTGGGGCGGGAATGGAGATTTTGCAATATCCTTCCCCCAGGAGTGGGAAGGGAATGGGGATTTTGCAGTATCCTTCCCCTGGAGTGGGGTGGGAATGGATATTTTGTAGTATCCTTCCTTTGCCATGCTTACCAAGCCACACCACATCCACCAAGCCACGCCCACAGAACCGGTAGTAAAAAAAATTGGATTTCACCACGGCATTGGTTCCTATACGAACCGCCCCCTGTACTGAAGGGACAAGGCCCCTTGGCCTCTCCTCCTGCTCCCCAAGTCAAGTCAGGGACACGCCCTCAGGAGAGGCCTCTCTTTGGCAGAGCCATCCAAGGGATGTGGGTTCTGGGTGGCTCCCCCAACTGAGCCTGCTGCTCAGAGCATCCCACCACGATGGCAGCTTGTCCAGGATAGGGCCACCTCCAGAAGCAGGGGAGAAATGGCCTCCGCCCCAGTTCTCTCTCAGACCACCAGGTTCAACGGGGTCTCTGTCTCTTTCCAAGCTTGGCCCCTCAGTCACCATCTTACCTGACATAGAGAGAAATGGGCACCACGGTGTTGAGGATGATGACATAGGACCAGAACATAAGAAATGCAGAGAAAAATGCCGAGTTGACATCCGTTGCCCAGGGCAGGTACACCTGGAACCGGTAGCCGTGGCTGTATTCCCAGATGCAGTTGCCAATGGCCAGGATCAAACACATGATAGCCAAAAAGAGGAAGATCTACCGAGAGACAGAGAGAAATTGGTAGCAGCAGCCCAGGTGGCAGAGAAGGGACTTCCCAGTCTGGGGACCAGCCCCACCACCTTCGTCCAGAGCAGCCTTGACCCAGACCAGGCAGTCCTCCCTGTGTGTCACAACAGTTGAAAGGGTTAGCATAGGACATCTAATCCAGCCTTTTTGCTCAGGGACAGGGATGGGTCCACTGGAGCCTCTGCTTGAAGGCCTCCAATGGAGAGCTTCCTGCTTCAAAGGACGGTCTTTTCCACTGGCTGACATCTCACCCGTTTCGTAGCTTAGAGAGGGCTGTGAAGCTGTATATAACGTGCTACTGCTATTATCGACATGTTCCGCGATTGGTCCTTTTTGATTATACTGCTGCAACTTTTCTCGTGCAATAGTTTTATTAAAAATTATATTAAACAGATAAAACAAATACAGAACCTAATACAAAAATTTAGAAAGAAGAAAAAAAATACTAAAAAGTGTGGAAAAAGAAAAAATAAAATCCCCCCCCCCCCAAAGAAGCAAGCAAGAAAAATAAATTTCCCCCTTTGCCCTCAGCATCACTGAACCAGCCCTTGGCATCTCTGTAGCCCTCCAAAAGGCCCTAAACCCAAAGGAGACAAAACCGGCGTCATTTACAGCTTGCAGTCAAAGGGCCACCAGCTAAGAGCAGCAGGAAGAGGGTTGCGTGGATGTCAGTTGTCAATACAAGACATTATGAAACATGTTTAATTTCACAACACAGAAATGAATTCAGTTACAATGCCATCCGGTGAACTGTAGACACTTACATCAGAGGTGTCCAACCTTGGTGACTTTTAAGACTTGTGGACTTCATGGCTAGCTGGGGAATTCTGGGAGTTGAAGTCCACAAGCCTTGAAGTTGGACAGCCCTGCTTTAGACCAAGCAAGAATTCCCCAAGAGAATTCGTAGAAGCTTTGCTCTAGGACTGATCAGGCAACAGACATAAAGAGACACTGTCCATTTATGAGTCATTCAAAAAAGAACCACCACAGATCAAAGTTTCCTTTGAGACTCTGAGGCCATTCTTCCCAGCTCATTGTAGGACTTTAAGAATGGTGTCCACTCTGAATGACAAATGGTGTAGGGTTTCCTGCCTAAGCAGTGGGTTGGACTAGAAGACCTCCAAGGTCCCTTCCAACTCTATTATTCTATTATATTCTTTCCCACCTTCTCAGGATGGCCCTTCAGGTCTCTCAAGGTGAAACCCATCACCCACAATTGAGACCATTGACTTCGCTGCTCCTCTTTCATTCTTTCCATCTTCTTCAAGGTCCAACTTTTGCTTCCAGAGAGTGTCAGAAGGAGTGCCGTGGATGGATTGCACGATTCCGACTTTTGACGGAAAGTAGAGTAGATTAGCTCCACCAAATGCTAATAATCTGTGGCGTAGTTACTGTTGGTGGGTGATCCTCAAAGGCAGAAACAATCTACCTTTTTGATACCTTGGTTGTCAGCTCTAAGGATGGTCATTCCACCTGTTGCCCTTATTTGGTCTCCTTTGTGTTCAATTCTAGTCACATTTTTCTCACTCTGCCCCTTGACCTTTATTGGTAGACTGCAGATCCTTTGGATTTTTGGTCTATTGGAATGAGGTCATCGGCATAGCAAAGGGTATGTATCTTTCTTCCTCCGATTTTCTAACCAGGCTCATCTTCCAATCCGGCCTCCCTTAACTACCGTAAGTATATTCTGCCTATAGGTTGAGGGGGAGGGTGTGGGGCCTACCCCTTTGCCGACCTGTTTGGCCAGGCCCTGCCCATTCTGCGGCTTCCTGATCTGCATTATGGGTTTCTCATGAGGACCAGCAGATCTCCTGGGATTCCTCGGCGCGATCAACGGAAGGCTTTGCTATTATCAATGAAGCAAATGGCGGCTTCTTTTTGCTTGTCCTTTGGCCTTCTCAAGCCTCCAGCCATAGTGTCTCCCGCTCCTGGGCCTTTTCGGAAGCCATCCTCAGCCTCTGGCTCCCCTTTCTCCATGCAGGGCCCTGATCTACACGGAGGGACCCTTAAGATGTTTTAATTGCTGGAGTCCAGTGAGCCATAACACACAGTTGGGGTTGATTGATGGCTCCAGCGTGAGGCCATCTGCGCTGTGATTGGCTGCTGTGGGTGTGGAGGGGGAGTTTCCCTTCCCCCCCCCCTTTTCTTCTGCCTGCCTGCCCGCTCTTTGATTTGACCTCCGGCTGCTCCTGTTGCCTGACTGTCTTGTTTGCTGCAAATATTGATGTGAAACATACTTATTTATACAAAACTATACGTTCGTATCAGCGTCTCTGACTTCATTTGAACACCAGCAGGGCAATTCCCTGACAGTGATCCCGAGCATTATTTTGCCCACATGAGAAATTAAGGCTATTGTATTAAGGAGACTCTGTTAAAACTCCTGTTGGCATTGACATGCAGACTGACCTGCAATCTGTTCAATATTTTGTCGTTCTCCAGATTTCCTGGCTGCAAATTCCTCTTCTGCGACTTGCCTGATTCCTGCAGATATCCCATCAATTCCTATGGCAGTCTCTTATCTCACACCCACTGAAGCAACCCCAGAGAAGTGGCAACCAGCCCCATTTAAGGAAAAGCCATCAAGAAGAAACAAGACACAAGGCGGGTACGGGCTGAGGTAATGAAATGCCTGTCAAGAAAAGTGCCAAGCTCAGAGATCTCCAAGAACCCAACGAGCAGAGAGCCATTTGTCTGAAGCGGTCTAGGGTTGGATCAACCTTGAGCAGGGGGCTGGACTAGAAGACCTTCAAGATCCCTTTCAACTCTGTGATTCTGCTAAGTCTCCCTCATTGTGAGACCTTCATGGGGAAGGCAAGCACGTTTGGGCTGAGGAAGACCAACCTTTACCAGGCGAGCCAGCTGTTATCTCTGGGGCAGCCCAAGTTATGAAGCCCCACCCAACAAGCAAGACTCACCACCAAGACCAAGTAGTTCATGAGACGCTCGATGCTGGTCCGTTTCAAAGTGGTTTTTCCGCTGTTTTGCATCAGCTTGGTGTCTGGCCCTGGCGGAACCAACCATGGGGGTTTGCTTTAATTTCAGAATCAGTACCCAGGAAGGCAGGAGCTCCTGCCCCTTGTCCCCAGGCCCCCATCTCAAGATCCACCTCCAATTGGAAAGGAGACAACCCAGTGATGGGATTCAAATTTTTTTACTACCGGTTCTGTGGGCGTGGCATGGCTTGGTGGGCGTGGCAGGGGAAGAATACTGTAAAGTCTCCATTCCCTCCCCACTCCAGGGGAAGGATATTGCAAAATCCCCATTCCCTCCCGATCAGTTGGGACTCGGGAGGTAGAGAATAGATGGGGGCGGGGCCAGTCAGAGGTGGTATTTACCGGTTCTCCAAACTACTCAAAATTTCCGCTACCGGTTCTCCAGAACTGGTCAGAACCTGCTGAATACCACCTCTGAAAGAAACCTATTCGAAGAGGGCAGGAGAAGGGCAGTGCTTACTCTGGGGCAGAACAGAGGGCAAGCAGAAGAGAAAAAGGCCCTGGCAGGGGGTTCTGAAGCTGCCCCCTTTGTGAAGCAGGTGACTGAACGCGGCAGTGACACAACTGTGGTGCCAGAGGCACAGAAGCCCCTGGCACCAGTTCTGGCACAGGGAGGGCCTGTGCGGGGAAGTGGGGCTCTGCTCTTCTGGGGAACCAGCTTCCCAAATGCTGCTGAGGGGTGAATGGGCACCTTTTGGCATGCTCATGTAGCAAAGTGGTTGGCTTGTGCCCGTAGAGATCTGTGAGCACTGAAAATTGGAATCTTAAAATAAACCCAGGTTCTAAAAGGCAAAGCAAAACCCTACAGCCTATTAATTTATTCCAAATTTAATTGGAACTGGCTTTGCAGATTGGCCGCACCAAGTATCTTTCCTGGCATACGCTGAATATATACAGTATACAGCTGGATTGGAAGAAGAGGATGATTTAAAACTGGAGGAAGAGATATTGTCTGCGCTAGGCTGACAGTGCGATCCTGATACCAGGGCCTGCAAGCCCCAGTACTAAAAATCAAAGAGCACAGGCCAAAAACGGGACTAAAATTAAATATAAAGAAAGCCAAAGGAATGGCAATCGATAGAAGAACTGCCAGCCTTGGAACTGGCAGTGAAGATATCGAAGTGGTGGAGAGCTTTTTCCCTTTAGGATCAGTTTCAGAACCGCAGCTGCAGTCAATCCAGGGGTGAAGCTCTGCAACTGGCCCTGGAGAGGAGGGGAGCCAGGGGCCTCTGCCCTCCACAGCCTCCTCGGGGGCCCCTTCAGGCAAGCTGAGCTGCTATCTGGAAGCTGCCCTAGAAGCGCCCTGCAAGGAAGAGGGCGAAGGGGGTGGGGGGGGGTGGGAATAAGGGTGCAGTGGGGAGAAGAGGGTGACCTCCCCTGCCCCCTCCGGCCAGTGCCAGCCACCATCCCTCACGCACCGGCGAAGATGACCAGCCCGAAGCACCAGTCGGTGTTGCGGATGATGCAGCCCCTCAGCAGCAGCTGCTCGTTGTCCAGGGCATATTTCTCCTTCTTGAAGAAGAGGGTCCCAGTGAACCTGCCCAGCCGGTTGTTGGGGGCTTCGCAGCGGATTTCCCCTGCAGACAAGAGGATGATGACTCCCAGCCCTTTCTCCTCGTCTCCCCCCACGGGACCTCCAAAGATCACCCTGGCCATCCCCACATGCCTTCAGCCCCCTCCCCACAGGCAGGATCCTGCCCCTCCCCCACAAGTGGCTGTGCCACCTGCCCTTCTGCCGAGTTGCTTTCTGACAGGTTGTCCGTCCCAAAGTGTAGCAGGGGCTGAAGAGAGAGCTTGGACTCCAGAGGGGTGATTCACAGTAGGTCCCCCTCTGCCCTGGCTGAGCCCCCTCTCCTCCTGGCCCAGCCCCCCCAATCACATGGGGCTTGCAGACCCTGTGGGTGAGGCCCCTGCCAACATACCCACCCTGGAAGGAGCTGCCATGCCGGAGTGCCACGCCAAGACCCCTCGGCCCTCAGAGGAGTGAAGAGAAGCAGGGAGAGAAGGAAAGAGTGCAAAGATCTGTGAAGAGAAGGGGGAGTTGGGGGGGAGGCAGAGAGACAGTTGGGAAGAGCCCAGAGGCAGAGGAGGGGGGGGGGGCTTGAGGCCGTGCCTGCCTGGAGGCCACATCGTGCAGGATGCGGGTAGTAGTGGACAAATATGTTAGTGCAAGAGAGAGTGTGCAACGTGTCTGCAGCCTTTGCCCTCAGGCGTGCCAATTGTTAGTGTTATTATTTGGGAGGGACTCCAGGGTGACCTAAAGTTAAAAAGCAGAAAGCAGTGAAGACAAGGTCCTATGCATCCAGACAACCACACCCCATAACCCATAAGCCACAACCGGCAGGCCTCTACAACCACCCCACCAAGGCTGGAAGAGCATCCTCAGGGTGGGAGCAACACAAATTAAGGAATTGGGAGTCACAACTGATGCGATTCTCTCTGGCTTTGCACCTCACAAAATGCTCATCCGGCTGGGCTTTCTGGGCAAGGGGAGAACCCCTAATGCAGGCAGCCCCCCAATCACAGCTGGCTCAGAACCCTCCCGCAACCCCCCCCCCGAGGGCCCTGTCCTGACTCCCCGCTTCCCAGGGTCCCACTCCCACTCAACCCTGCTATCCTCATGGACCCTCTTGCTGGAGAGGAAGGAAAAGAATTGCCAAGGAAAAGCAGGTGGGGCAACACCAGGACCTGGTTATCTACGGGACCGCCTACTACCACCAATAGCCTCCCACCGGCCAGTACGCTCTCATAGAGAGGGACTCCTCCGGGTGCCGTCAGCCAAACAGTGTCGGCTGGCGGCCCCTAGGGGGAGAGCCTTCTCTGTGGGGGCACCCACTATCTGGAACGAGCTCCCCCCGGAGATACGGAGGATCCCGGATCTGCGCTCCTTCCGCCGCGCTGTGAAGACCTTTTTATTCCATCAGGCGGGCTTGGCCTAATCTCTTCCCTTTTTAAAATATGTAAATTTTAATCTGTTTTTAAATTATTGGGGTGTTTTAATCTGTCTGGGCCAAAATGATTTAATTTGATTTTATCTGGTTTTTAAATTTTTTGTATCTATGTATTTTATTGTTTGGCTGTTCACTGCCCTGAGTCCTTCGGGAGTAGGGCGGTATACAAATCAAATAAACTAAACTAAACTAAACTAAACACCAGAGTCCAAATTGGGTCAAAGAGGCAACCCTGACCCAGAGCTGCCCCCAGCCCCTGCCTCTGGGGCTCCAAGGGCAGGGGCAAAGGTGCCAGGGCTGCTCAGCTGGCCAAGCATCCCTCCCCTCCGTACCATTAAAGCTGGTCAGGGCCTGCAGGTCCCCCCCCAGCCCCGCAGTGACGGTCAGCGCCTGCTTCACCTTCAGGTTGGTTTCCCTGCAACGAGAGAGTGGAGGGAGGATGCACCACCACCCAGAGATCACGCGGGCGGGAGGCTCCAGACTAAAGGCGGCAGGATGGAGGGTCCGGCTGCCCACCGAGAGGAAGGGGGCTCAGACACTCACCCGTCCAGCTCCGTCGTCTCAATGTAGGTCAGGCTGTGGGGCTCACTGCTGCAGAGCAAGAGGACGTCTGCCTACAAAGGGGAAGAATTGGTGAGAAACGGCAGGCAGGGAATGCCGGCTGCCCCCTCTCTCCACGGATCATGGTGGAGGTCTCTCTGTCCAGGGAAAAGACCCCCGTCCCGGCAACCGGAGGGCAAGGCAGCCTCGTGGTTGCTGACCTCAGTCCCATTAGATCCCCCCAGCCTGACCAATGGCACGGAATGCCAGGGGTTGTCGTTCTGCAACAAGGGCAGTGGGGGATGGGTGCCAATAGATTGCCCAGGCACCGGCTGCTTGTCCTCTCAGTCTCCCTCCCAGGGACCATGGTTGTGCCACATGGCCTCTGAGGGACCCCTCTGGCCATGCCAAGGCTGTGGGTGGGGGATGCAGAGAGGACCCCAGATCCAAGCACGTCCCTATCCAGCACGACAGCTGCCCCAGGCGCTGCTGACGCAGGATGGCAAGACAGACTGGCTGCATTTGACTCCGCTCAAGGGCCTCTCCAACATCCAGTGAGTGTCCGGCTCAGCTCCAAAGCTCCTGCTCCAGGTTGGGCTTCTTTCAAAGGCTGCCCAAGAGAGCATTTGGAGCAACCTCCATGCTGGCATTTATTTGGTCAGGGCAAGAGAGCTGGTCCCTAAGGAGCCTCCTGGGACACCCTTGGCATGAGGGGGTGGGGGAGGAGCTGCCTTCGCTTACTGTCACAAAATTATTGTTCTCCAGCTTGATGATGTCTCCCACTTCAACGTTGAGCCATAAGTCTTCCTTCAAACTAGAAGAAAACCCCAGTTACAAAAACACCAGAGAGAAGGGCATCCCTTAGCATAGCAAGCCTCCTGCATCTTTTGAGGGAGCAGCTGTGAGTCAGCTTTGGTGAGAAGCCTGATTGGCATCAAGATGCTTCCTGGGGTTTTCAATTTGGGAGGAGTTGTGATTCTGATTTCAAGAAAATTGTGTATTTTGGATAAGTGGTCAGTGGGTGCTGGGAAAGAGGAAGATTGATTCTCTCTGGCGATTCCTGTCTCCTTAACCATCCCATCCTGGAATTACTTTCATACTAGCTGAGCAACATATGTGGTCTTAATGTTTGGGAAACTTTGTCCCATTTTTATATCTTTGTTTTTATTTTCTCAGGATCATAGAGTTGGGGTTAGGGCTGGGAGGTGTCTGTCCTTGCTAGTAATACCAAACTGGGTAAGGTTTGGAAAACCTCCAGACGGTTCTCCCTGAACTGTTTCCCAAAGGCAAATGTGATTGGAGGTAAACACGCAAATGTGATGCAGGCTGGCACAAATAATCCAAATTTAATCTACACGGATGAGACATGAGCAGCCATAAGTGACCAGGAAAGCTGTTTCACAGTCACGGTGTGCAGCTCAATTAAAACAGGGGTCCAGAAGGCAATTCCCCCTTGGAAATTGGGAACAGCAAATAGAGTTGCTGAAAGAATGACCCCTGACACAAATCGGTGGCAAGACCACCCTTGTTGTGCTCTCTTCAGTTCTGGCCCCTGCGCCTTAAGGAAAAGACGACAGGACTGGGCAAGGTGCGAAAAAGGACAGAAAAGAAATAATGGAAAGGCTGACACAGGCACTCAGCCTGGAGAGAGAAGAGGGTCTGGCCCAGTTTGGCAAGTCTGAGTCCATCCTTGGGCTCTCCTGCCCACAGCAGAGTCCAGCTACGGGACTAGCTGACAGCCCTTGTAGGGGGCTGTCTGGAAAAGGGAGTGGATGGGCTGAGCATTATCCTCTTTTCAAGAACTCCCTACGTGATTTCCCATTGGCTGAAACCTAAATATTTGGAAACAGCATTGGGAGGGGTCCCTGCCCTCCAAACCAGGTAGCATCCAGCTGACCACCAGGTGAGGCAGGAGCCTGACCTTCCTGGCCCAAGGGCCTAACCCAGCCTCACACCTTTTCCGAGCTCCTCACATAGAGACGCTCCCATTAACCGCTTCTCTCTCAGCGACATGAGCGCAAAGTGTCATCGTCCCCCCCCCAGGAGCCCTTTGGCTTCAAAGAAGGAGAAGCCCCCACCTCTGATGCAGGGAGGGGGGGTATATTTAATTGCATCCTTTTCGTGTTGCCTTTGCAATTTGATCCCAAACGGGCTCCACCTTTGAGCCACCTGTAAAAGAAACTCAGCTCAAGGTTGACTCAGCCTTCTTTCCTTCCAAGGTGGGTAAAATGAGGACCCAGTTTGTTGGGGGCAAGAGGCTGACTCTGTAAACTGCTTAGAGGGGGCTGGAAAGCAGTGTGAAGTGGTATAGCAGTCTTAAGTGCTGTTGCTAACTGAGGGGAGGTGAGAAGACATCAGGGCTGTGTTGAGAGATACGGCTTCAGCCTCTGAGTGGGTGAAAGGACGCTTGTTCCAGCTTGGGGGCCGTGATCCTTGACACGAGTTTGCTCTGGCTGTGGAAACTTCCTCAGGCCCCACAAGGAACCTCTGGACCACCAGGGAATACCCTCCAACCTAGTTCTAAGGAGCTTCTGGGACTTGCCAGCTGTTCACTGGGTGACCTGCAGGCCGCTCACCTGCCATTAATCAGAACCTTAACTGGCCGGTTGTTGACTTGCTTGTCATTTGCGTGGCGATTCTGAAAAACAAAACACAACTAGAATCAGCCAAGCCATAGACAGGGCACCCAAGACTGCCTAGGATCCAACCTGACACCTGCCCAACCACCTTAGGAAAGTGCAGGATTTCAGGAGCTCTAAAAGCAGGGAATGTCTTCACCAGCAGGATGGCTGATGTCAAGGAAGTGGTGCCCCCCCTGGAACATTTACTGCCCTTCCTCTCAAATCTTCACTGTTTGCATTGTCTGGACTTGGGTGGAGGCCAAGAACAGCTGCTCTGAAGGCTCCTCCCGAACCCCCCCCTCTCTCTCCCTCCCTCTTTGGCCACAGAGGAAGTCTGGTCTGTTGCTGACACCTCCTTCTGGACACAAGGGCGGGAGATGGGTCCCAGCTGCTTTGGGATGGGACTGTTTACTCCGATGATTTCAATTTGAATTTGGGCCCAGCTTAGGGTTGATGCAGTTAGCTGGGCATGGGGAGCGCTGCATTGATGTGCATTGTCACCAGACTCTTACAACGTCATCCATGGCATCCTTGACTGCGGACACGGTCAGGACCAAGACCAGAGGCACCACTGTGGTGAACCAGGAGAGGGAGGAGATCTCAGGGATGAGCTGCAAAGAGAGAGAAAAATCAGGATGCCCAGAAGGCTCAGGGGGATTTTCCACCGTAACTTGGCAGGCAGAGAGGTTAAAGAAGAGGTCAAGCCTGGGAATCAGCCTCCGGTTGCCATGAACACCTCTATTCCGCTTTCTCTGTTCCTGCAGAGCACAAAGGAGCCAGCTAAGGAGGGGGAGGAGCAGGAGCAGGAGAAGCTGGTGGATTGCAAGAGTGTCGCCGAGTGTCCCTTGGAAAGGACTCGGGGACCGCTCTCTGCTGCCAAAGCAGAACCACCACAGAGGCCGCTGAAGGGGATAAGGGGGTCGGTTCCAGGGTGTGAACAAGCGGAGGGGAGCCAATGGGAGGTAGCCACACAACCGCTCAAGGGGAAGTTGTGTATGACTACGTGACTATTTGAAAGTCCCCCCAGGAAGGGGAGGCACAAAAGCCAGCCTACTAATGGTGCCGTGAAAAACTAAAGAAGAATGGAGCAGAAGGCGGGACCTACAGTTGTTGTGGTACACATAACAGTTTGTCGGAAAACTGCCAAGCACATCTCTCTGGCTTGTGCTTAGAAAGCCAGAGAAGGTTGCAGAAGACTCAGAAGAGGCACAAAGACTCATCAAAACATGTGAGGCAACTCTCCACAAATAAACCTTAAAAGATGCCTACCTCTTAGAGAGGAGTCGCACCCAAAGCGAGAGACTCAGCTGCTTCCTGGACTTGTGGAAAGCAGGGAGGGACCGTCCCGAGGGCATCTAGCCTCAGGGAGCCTCCAGAGATGAAGGCAGATGAGAGAAATGGAGCAGGCCCTTAGAACGGGAACTAAACGCAAGGAGGTTAAGGGCTATGAGGAATCCCAGCTGTTGCTCAAAGTCTTTGATGTGGCTTCTAACTTTCTTCAGGACAGGAAGTCCTTGACTTATGACGGCAATCGAGCCTGGAATTTCCATTGCTAAGTGATCCGGTCATAAAGTGCAACTGCAACACTTAGTGACGGCAATCCCTGCAGTCACAATTGTTGTTGTTAACTGAATCCCATTAGGTGAAGCAACTTCCTGGGAAGTCAGAAGGGAAGCTGGCAGGAAGTTGCAGGTCCCAGGCCTGCAGGCAGAGAAGTAATTGGCTGTTGCTGGGTGGGGGGAGGGAGGAAGGGAGCGAAGAGGGGGGCAGGGGAGGGTGCCCAAAAGGCGCAGCATGGGGAAGGTGCAAGGGAGAGTGTGCAAGAGGTTCCGTACAGGCTGGAGAGATTACACAAGGGTGCACAAGGTAGTGCAGTGGTCAGGGGGTCTGTGAGTTGCAGTGAGGATTGGGAGGGTGTGTGGGGTTGCACAATTGGCCACTGCAGGGTGAGTGTGAGTGAGGAGGGCCTAAGGGACGGTGCACAAGTGGGGGAGGGGGCTACACCAGCAAGTTGCCATCTTCCCTGCCAGTTTCCCTATTGCAAATTGGCAACCCATGATACGTGTGAAGGGATTGCCAAGAACCCGGATCAAGATTTGGGGAGTTCTGGGACAGCCACAGCTGTGAGGACCAAGTGTAACCATCATTCATTCAGCGCCATCTTAACCTGGTACAGTCACTGACTGAATGGTTGTAGGTCAAGGACTAAGGAGGGCAGCCCTGAAAGGCTCCAGAGCTGTTCGACCAACTTTTGTTCCTCAGAAGGGAAAGTGCCAGCCAGCGCATCCAGGGGCATTCTCGGGGTCCTTCCCAGGCGGTGCCCGCTCTTTCCAGTGCCCGGGCCCCCTCCCTGCCCAGGCCCACAGCAGAAGGGAGCCTGAAGGGAAGACTCGCCTGCAGAATGAGCAAGACGAGGAAGTAGGCATTGGCGACTCGCTGGAATTGCTCGAAGAGGTTGAGAGGCAGGAAGGTGAACAGGTTGTACTTGGAGGTTTTAATGGAGTTTTTCTGTGGACAGAAGACGACCGTGAGAAGGGTGGGAGTTGGGCAGCATGACTCATCCCCCACCACCCAGATGAATCGCTGGAGGGCTGAGTGGGCAAGGAAGCCCCACCCCCGAGGGTTTGAGTGGCAAAGAGGAGAGAAAGGGCATTGCCACCCCCAACGCTCTGTTCCCACAGACCCTCGGCTCTCCTCTCTCTACCTCAGAGAGGGGTGGGGGGTGGTGGAGTGGAATCTGGTTACTTACAGCATAATCGAACTGCAGGTTGAAGGCCCGGTCGTTTGCCCGCAAGCACCGCTCCTCCTCTGCAAGGCAAGCATGGGAGTTGGGTGCCAGGACAGGGAGGCTGCCACAGGGCCCCGGTCCCCTCCCGCCTCTTGGCTGGGGTGGGGGCCATGATGAGGAGGGTGGGCAGACAGCCATGCCCCCTCCCAGCCAGCAGGCCTGGCTAGCTTTCACTGAACCTATTCCCCTCCCAACCCCAGGCAAGGGGTCCCTTCCCTGCTGCCTGGGAGCCACAATGATGCCTTTGGGGGCCCAAATCTTGGGGCTTTCCTTCTGACCAAGACACACACACACACACACCGTCTGCCTCTGTACAGCATGGGGGTAACTTCTACTTTCCTGAAGCGGAGGCCCACCCAGGAATCTCCACAGAGGGAGGGGGGGTACCAGGGGTGTTCAGCCTCTGCAAATCTCACAGCAAGCTGAGTGGCAGTTAAATTTAATAAACAAATTAATTAATTAATTAATTCAATACATCTAATAAACAAACAAAAAACCCACCTTGCCAGCAATGGCAGGGTAGCCTGATGACTTCCTTGGGAAGCAGTGCAAGAAATGTGGGGAGGCCAGTGAGCAGGGAGGGGGGATGCCCATTGTGGCAGGGGTCCCATCGTGGGAGGAAGGTGTTGTGCCCCCTGCTTAAGCAGTGCTGGGCACGACTCTTTGGGAAGGGGGCCAATTCAGTCGGGAATACTGTTTCCCAGTCTGTTTACTGTTTACTGTTTCCAAGAAGCAACAGAGGTCACACTTGGGGTGTCATTTTGCTGCAGGGCCTGGAACAAGGCAAGCCCCCCTCCAGTAGATGCCCCCCCCAGCAGAGGGACTGTCCCAAGCCCATCGCACGAGCCTCCTATGACCAGCCTTATGGTTTCTGGACAAAATCTCCCTGGTCACTTCTGGAAAGGCTGTGAAGTTAACCTCCCCCTCCTCCCCCATACCAGCCTTGGAAACCGGGGGATGATGGGGGGTTGGAGCCATGGCGACCAATCAAAGGAGGGAGTCAGGCTCTCTCTCAGGGGGCTTCAGCCGAACGCCCTCCACCAGCCCCGTTTTCTCAAAATGGTTCTGTCAGGGTCCCAAAGAAAGAAAAAGATGGCCTCCACGGCTGACAGGTTCACCGCTTATCAAAAGAGAACAAACATTCAGCTGCTTTTCTGCTGTTCTGGGAAACGAGAGACGGATCTGATGATGACGCATTGATTGGCAGAAGCTTAATGGACCTTCAAATGCAAAGGTGCTTCCAGGGAGCCTGAGGGGAGGGTATCACCCCGGCCTCGCGTGTCTTGCTTAGTTATTGAGGGCAAATTTGTAAAAGTAATCAAGCTAGCAGAAAGAGTAAAGACTTGGAAAGAAAATCATCCAGATATATCTATATCTATATATATATATATATATACAAAGTTTCCAGCTGCTTCGCCTACTGAAAAAAACATCAACCAGACAACGCAACTGACAAAGTTTCAAAAACTATTCGCAAACTTTGCAGGATGCTTCTCGGACTGCATGTTAAGCAAGATTTCAGTGGTACCAGAAACACTCAATTGTCAGCTGAAGTATCATCTCAGAAATGCAGATAATCTGACAGGAGACTGAAAGTAGGAAGCAGCTTCCTTTGCCCAAATCACAAAGCTGCAAGTGCGAGAAGGATGGCAGAGTTGCCCTGGAGACTTGCCTGAGGGGGTCGAAAGCGATGCTCAGGTGCCTGCAGGCTCCTGCGGGAGGAAGACCGGGGGGGGGGGGCGGCCAGGGTTAGGGTTAGAGGATCCTTCCAGCAGCACCGAGCAGTCCCAGTTGGAGGAGGCAAGGGACGTGCCTGGAGTGGCCCCAAATCCTTGGGAAAGAAGGAAGCTGTGTTCCCTTCTCTGGCTTTTGCCTGGTCTGGAGAACCTGGCCAAAATGGTGCCTGGAGGGGCTGTTTGGCAAAAGAACTTGAGGGTTGCGTCAGGCGTGGGGCCGGGCTCCTGCAGAGGGGGTGAGTGGGAGGGGGCTGGGGGTCATGATCCTTCCAAATGATCTGGCAGAGAAGCACAATAAACTTAGAGAGAGGAATGTTCACATCCAGCTGCTGGGAAGTCGGCTATCCAGCTTTATCCAAGAGGGGGGAAAACACACTGTTCTCTTCTGCTCCATCCCACCCCGATGGTTTGGTTCTCTGCTGGAAGAACATCTGGACAGAGAGAATAGACTCCTAGAGCTGGAAGGGATCTTGGAGGTCTTCTAGTCTACCCCCTGCATAAGCAGGAAACCATATACCGTTTCAGACAGGTGGGTGTTCAGTCTCTTTTTAAAAGCCTCCACTGATGGAGCACCCACAACTTCTGGAGCCAAGTTGTTCTACTGATTATTGTGTTTTTTGCTGTATAAGACTCACTTCCTCCCCCCCCCAAAAAAGTGGGTGGAAATGTCTGTGCGTCTTATACAGTGAATGTTGCCAAAGCCCCACTGGCCCCCACCCTTCGGTCTCTGCCTCCCAGCAATTTGCCTCCTTGCAGCAAACAGCAAACAGCCTGGTCAGCTTCACAACAGGCTGATTTAGCACAAGCAGCTAATTGGTGGTTGGATCAGCCTCCTGGAATACCGCCTATAAATTGTTCCAGGCTGTGGGGATTGCCATTGCCCATCACCACTGCCGCCGCCTATTCCTACCACCTGGAAAGGGCCAAAAATAGGATGCGCTGAGGTGGCGATAAGTAGCAGTGGCAATAGGGGGTGGTGATACCTGCAGCCTGGAACAGCTGATAGGCAGTATTCTGGGATCCAACCGCCAATCAGCTGCTTGTGTTAAATCAGGCTGTGCTGAAGCTGACCAGGCTGTTTGCTGTTTGCTGCAAAGAGGCAAATTGCTGGGAGGCAGAGGCAGATTTTTTTTTCTTGTTTTCCTCCCCAAAAGCTAGATGCATCTTATAGTCCGGAGCATCTTACAGTCTGAAAAATACAGTAATTGTTTTAACTGTGAAGGAAATATCTCCTCAATTCTAGCTCGGATCTCTCCTTGATTGCTTTCTATCCGTTGCTTCTTGTTTTGCCTTCAGGTGCTTTGGAGAATAGTGGACCCTCTTCTCTGTGAAGCATCTCATGCACTGAAAGACAGCTACTGTATCACCCCTAATTCTTCAGAAGAGAAAGCAGCTTCTAGAAATGTGACTGGGAGGGAGGCAGAGAACTCAGAACCATTGTATCATATCTTTCAAAAATCCGTTGTGGCAAAAAATACAGAGAGAGATGGAAAATTGGAAAAAATTACAATTATCTTTGTTAGGAAGAATAGCAGCAGTAAAAATGAATGTTTTACCTAAGTTTTTGTTTCTTTTTCAAATGATACCAATACCTAAAAAAGATGAAAATTTGAAGATATGGCAGAAGGGTATTAATAATTTTGTCTGGGCAGGGAAGAGACCGAGAATAAAACAAAAAATAATGCAGGATATACGTGAAAGAGGAGGTCTCAAAATGCCCAACTATATTATGAGGCAGCTGTTCTGTCAGCAATTAGTGACTGGATGAATTTAACAGAAGAAAGAATATTGAATAATCTGCCATTCAATACTCAACACTGCCAAATTGTCCAAATCAATACTATATTTAATAACAGCAGCCAGACTTTTGATGGCGCAGTATTGGAAGAAGGAAGACTTACCAACTATTGAAGAATGGACATTAAAAGTAGTGAATTTAGCAGAGATGGCCAAAATTTTGGCATACTTGAAGGACCATTCAAATGAAAGATATATATCGGAATGGAGAAGATGGATTGACTATATTCAAAACAAATATTGGACTAAAAAGTTTCAAATAGCTTATGAATGAAACCAACTTTTTCTTTTTGAATTATGTTTTGTTAGTTGAAAGGGGAGTTAAAGAGCAAGAGGGAATTAAGAGCCTACAGAAAGTTAGCATATTTTAGTTTATGTTTGTTAAATGTTATACCCTGTATTTGCTCTGGGAAGTCCGGGGTGGGTGGGGGGGGGAGGGGGGTTGGAGGGAGAGGGGGCATGAGGGATGGGGGGTGGGGGGAGGAGGGAAGGTGGGGAGGAGGGATGGGAAAAAATTGTTGTAATATTTGTTGTTTTACAAATTGTTGTAAAACTTTTTAATAAAAAAAAAAAATCCTGGAGCACCGGGGAACTACCAGAGGACTGGAAAAGAGCTGATGTGGTTCCCATCTTCAAAAAAGGGGAGGGAAAACCAGACCCAAAAAACTACAGACCAATCAGCTTAACATCAATACCCGGGAAGATACTAGGAAAAAAATAAAAAAACAGATCAGTGAGCATCAAGAAACCAATGAAGTTATAACTGGTAGCCAGCATGGCTTTGTTAAAAACAGATCATACCAAACCAATCTTATTTAATTCTTTGACAAAGTGACTAAATTAGTAGATCAGCAAAATGCTGTGGACATAGTATATTTAGACTTCAGCAAGGCATTTGACAAAGTAGACCACAACCTACTTCTCGTGTAACTAGAAAAATGTGGGATAGACAGCATCACCACCAGATGGCTGACAAACTGTACTCAAGGAGTAGTCCTTAATGGTACTACATCCACATGGAGGGAAGGAAGCAGAGGGGTAACACAAGGTCCTGTCTTAGGCCCAGTACTCTTCAATATCTTCATAAACGACTTAGGTGAGGGAATAGAAGGGGAACCCATCACATTTGCAGATGACACTAAGCTGGCAGGAATAGCCAACACCCCAGAAGAGAAGCTCAGGATCCAAAAAGATCTTGACAGACTTGAACAATGAGGCCCATCCAACAACATGAAATTTAATGTGGAGAAAAGCAAAGTTTTACACCTGGGCAGAAAAAAAGCAAAGGTACAAGTACAGATTAGGCAAAGCTTGGCTCAAAAACAGAAACTGTGAAAGGGACCTTGGAGTCCTAGAGGACGATTGTTTAAACAAGAGCCAGCCGTGTGTGGCAGCAGCCATAAAAGCTAATACAATCCTTGGTTGTATAAACAGAGGCATAGAATCAACATCACGTGAAGTATTAATACCGCTTCATAAAGCCTTGGTAAGGCCACACACCTGGAATACTGCATCCAATTTTGGTACCACATTACAAAAAAGATGTCGAGACTTTGGGAAAAAATGCAAAGAAGAGCAACTAAGATGATTAAAGGCCTGGAAACACATGAAGAACTGTTGAAGAATTTGGGTTTGGCTAGTCTAGAGAAAAGAAGGACTAGTGGGGACATGATAGCAGGATTCCAGTATTTGAGAGGCTGCCATAAAGAGGGGGGAGCCAATTTATTTTCAAAATCACCTGAAGGCAGGACAAAAAACAATGGATGGAAACTGATCAAGGAGAGAAGCAACCTGGAATTAGGGAGAAACTTCCTAACAGTGACGACAATTAACCAGTGGAACAGCTGGCCACCAGAAATCATAGGTGCTCTATCACTGGAGGTTTTTTAAGAAGTCTTGACAGTCACTTATCTGAATTGGTATAGGTTCTCCTGCTTGAACAGGGGGCTGGACTAGAAGACCTCCAAGGTCCCTTCCAACTCTATTCTGATTCAGAGGTCTGTTATTGCTGAAACACTGTGTGGGTCTTCATCCAACATCAACTTCCAACTGTAATGAGCACAAAGTGGGGGGCCAATGCCCAGAGCCCCCCAATCGGGGTTTCAGCCTCCAGGACTCTGCAGGGACTCAGCCCCCCCCCCATAGGGTTTCCTTTCCTTTGAAGTTCCAGGACTGCCCTGCCTCACTTAGCAGCCACAGCCGGAGCCAGGAGAGCAGAGCCCCAATCAATCGTGGTCCCAGTGTGGCCAGGAAGAGCTCCTCCCCGTGCAAACTCTGGGGGCCAGGCCTTTCTTAATGCTCCAAAGGCAGAACGGAATTATTATGCTGCTGCTTGTAAGAGTCCCCAAAATAGCATGGAGGCCCGTGGGAGAGGAAGCAGTCCGGCCACTCTTCCATTTAAGGTGCCGACAACTCCTTTGTTGCTCTGGGCCATGTCTTCCAGGTCAGGGGCCTCCAACCTTGGCAACTGGTGGTCTTCCACTCCCAGCATTCCTCAGCCAGCCATGAGTTGAAGGTATTCTAGGTGGCTTGCAATACTTAAAAAAACCACCAGAAGAGGCAGCCCTCCCTCTTTGCGCAGGGGTTCACAGAAGATGCCGGTGGGAGAAAAAAGGGATCCAGCCATTTTTACTACCACAATGTCCAGGGAGGGATCCCACTGACCTCCAGGGAATCAAGGCTGCTCTCCACGGAGCGGTCAATCATTAGTCAGGTTTCACAAGAGCACTGCCTTCCACTGTAAGCCTCGACTAGATCATGCAACAACACGGGAAAACACGGTGTTGGCAAACTCGGAGGCACACTTCTCTCATACATCAGCAGTTCCCATGCTGGTCCAGCGGCCCTCCTGAGTCCAGTTTCAGCAGCCCCTGTGGCCCCTCCACCAGACCCTGGGCCCCAGAAGCAGAACTGGGGCTCTTCAGCTTCCAGTAAGCGATGGCCTTCAGCCCTTCCAGACCATCTCCGGCTGGCGTGCTCAGAGGCTTGACCCACCTGCAGATTCCCTAGCAAGCACTTTCAGAGCAGGCTGGCAGTTCCCCCTTGGCCCAGCGCCCACACACCCATCTCTCCCCATCAGCTCCTCCAGGGCAGGAGACCCCAAGAAGCCCCCAGGACCAGACAAGCTTTTTGGCACAGGGCGGAAATTAGGGTGGTCCCAGGTTCTCACATCCAGGAGAAGACAGCAAGGAGATTCAAAGCCCTCTTGTGGTTTGTGTCTCTGGTGTCATGAATTCACACACACACAGACACAGACACATACAGGTATCCAAAGATGGGAGAAGACACATTCAGAGGAATCAGTCCTCCTTGCAGCTTCACCCCCACCTGCCCATTAGGAAAGCAATGAAGATGGGTGAAATCTGGAAAAATCCCAGGATTTTCCTCCTTTTGGTGACTGGTCTCACATGGACCTCCCAGGCAAGCACCTGTACCCTCCCCAGCACTGCAGGGGGCACAGCCTGGATAAATAGAAGGGAGACCCTAATTGCCTCCTGGCTTCCCCCCTCCTGAACTGACCCACAGGAAATATGGGGGGGGGAGGTGTCCCTCATGCATGAAGACGGGCAATCTATGGGAAGCTGCCAGTTCTGCTTGGGAAGGTGTGAGAGGAGAACTGCAAGGGATTCACGGTCTCACTCACACAACGGAGCAGAGAAATGTCTTCCTGCCCTCTCCCCCACCCTGCTTCTTGCCTCCTGCAGCAGGAGGATCCCTTCCCCTCCCTCGCATTCCTGCAAAGAGATTCCCAGCGGGTTGGGGGCTTCTCTGGGAGGGAAGAATCAGCCCTGAGACACAGCTGTGGCCTCAGAGCAAGGGCCAAGCACCGCCTGGCCTGCCCCTCGCTAGAGCCCAGGGATCAAGGGGGGGAGGGAACCCCCAAGGCAATACTTTGAAGGAGCTGGCAGCCACTTTTCTGCCTTGTTTCAGGGGGCTTTTGGGGGTTGCAGGTCCCTGACATGGGGGGGGCTTTGAGTTGAGTGGCTCTTGCCCTAGACAGACTCTTGCCCTAGACAGGCAGGACTCTCCCTCTTTGGGGGGAGGGAATTGCCGACCGGCAGCCCCCCCGAAGGGGAGGGGGCTACCCTTTAGGCCGAGGAGCAAGAGGGGTTTTCCAAGTGGTGACCTCCAGGGAGAGTCCTTGGCTGGGCTCATCCTTTCCAAAAGAAAAGCAGGAGAACAACCGGGGGGGTTGGGGGGGGGGGGGGGGGGGGCAGCAGGAGGCCCGCAGCCCTTGAACTGACTCCAAGTGTGGGAAACCACAGAACTGCTTGTCGTTTTGGCCAAGAGCCCTTTGGGAGGAAGGCAGATGGCTGTGGTGGCCAGAGGGGAAGCAGGGAGCCCCCCCCCCCGTTGGCTTACAAAAGCCTTTGAGGGTCGGGGCTGCACTGAAAGCTGCCCCAGGGGTCTCTTCCAGGGGTCTCTGCCCCAGCCTCTGGGACTGCCCTTCTGGGCGAGGATCATGGGCATCATCTTCCCCATGGACCCCTAGCGAAGTGGGCCCAAGATGGCCTCTGCCCTCCCTTCCCATAGCACAAATGGGGCCAGAGTAGAGCTGGGGCTCCAGATTCCTATTTGCTGACCCCCAGCCTCTTTTGGCCCAGAGGTCATCTGGGAAGGGCAGACCAGCAGTCTCTTGCCCCCTTCATGCTGGGGCCCCTCCCTCTTCCAAATCAATGAAGGCTCAGGTGGGATCTTTCCTCCCTTGCCCCCCACCTTCCCTCCCGGCTCACCGCTTCCTGCGGCCGCGCTCGGGGTTCTCAACCTGGGACCCTCCGGAGAGGTCATGCCCAGCCTGCCGCTGGCGCCCCAGGCAGTGGAGGCCTCGGGTGGGGGGACCGCATGGTCAGCACAGTGGCCAGCTGGTTCAGCCCGGGGTGGGCAGGGAGATGGGTGCTGCACCCACACTCTGGGGGCCAGAGGAGCAGCGAGGGTCTGCAGGGGGAGGGGCTGGAATGCTGTGGAGAATCCAAGGGAGAGTCGGTTGGTGACAGTTGGAGGGAGAGGAGGCTCAGCTGGGAGATGGAGGGCAGCGATGCTGCCTGCAAGTGGGCAGCAGGCACATCGGGCCCCAAAGGGAGGGGGCAAAGGCCTTTTTATCAGCGGCCCCCGGGTCACACAAGCCAGGGATTTCCTCCTGTGGTTTAGCCCACAAAGAAATCTGCTTCCACGGCTGTTGGGCTCTCCCACTTTTCAGCCCCATCCAGGGGCAGGACCGGCTCCTAGCAGGTGCCCCTTTTAGAAAGCAGAACGAGGGTCCCGAAACGAACAGCCCACCTGGGGAGAGCCCGTTTCTGCTGCATATGTGCAACAGCAGCTCAACCCCAAAGTGGGACACTTGGCTCGTGTTTGTCTCAGGAGCTTGAGAAATCTGGGATCAGCCAGGAATACCAGCAACGGATTCCTGGGCACACCGGGGGTGGGGGGGAGCTGCTTCATTCCAGGGCTTACATGGTCCCGAATCACTTGTGACCGCTTCCTCTCTGCCGGCCTTAAAGGCTGCCCTGGACAAAGCAAGGCGTGACTCAAACAACGGGCCCCTTTCCTGGCTCCCTCCAACACGGCAGGACAAGGAGCTGAATCCCTGATGCGGAAGGAGCCGGTGGGGGTGGGTGAGGAGGGCTGGCTGCAGTCTGGAAAGCCCCCAAAGAGGCTTTCCGGGCATTGGCCTGGGCACCCTTTGCATGTGGCTGGCACTGAAATGGATCGGCCACTCTGTGGCAGTGCCCTTATTCCTCACAAACACTTCATGGTTCATGGGTTGGGCCTATTTCCCGCAAGATGGAGAAACCCCCCCTACTGGGGTCCAGTCCCCCCAGCCGCCTCAAGAGCTGGGGGCAGTTGGAGTGGTTTCCGCCATCTATTTTTAGTGCATCACCTCACAGTCTGACAGGAAACTCTTCATGTACAAATCCAACTTTCTAGTTGGGCCTCCTGCATTTTGATGGAAGTTTGCAAAAACAAAGAAAACCCCCAAAAATGCTTTTGTGGGGTTGTGATTCTTGAGGCAAGACCCTCTGCAGACCTGGTCAATGGATGTGGTGCCCACCCACCCCCAGCACTGCAGGACCCCTCCTTCTGCAGGCAGGACCGTCCGAGGAGGAGGAACTGCCACCCCCCCCGCCATTTGGTTTTTTTTTTTCAATGTTTTTATTTTTATTTCTCATAAACACATTTACATGTACAGTCATTTTTCATTCTTCTTTTTTTTTTTAACTTTCATTTTTCATTTTTACTTTTTTGGGACTGTTCTTTTACCCTTTACTCCAACCTTTCTTCTTCTCCTCCCTTTCTCTGCCTTCCTGTTTCTCCTCCTACTTATTTATTTATTGTTTATTTATTTATTGGTTCGATTTATATGCCACCCTTCTCTGGGCAGCTTACAATGCATTAAGCAATAGCCTTCATACTTTTGTATATACCTGCTTAGTAGGGCTTTGCCCCCCCCCAGCGGTGTTCTTTTTTTATACAAAGTCAGCTTATTGCCCCCACAATCCGGGTCCTCATTTTACCTACCTCAGAAGGAGGGAAGGCTGAGTCAACCTTGAGCCTGGTGAGATTTGAACTTGCAGTAATTGCAGGCAGCTGGCAGCTAAGTGCTACATAACAGCACTTTAGTCTGCTGCGCCACCAAGGCTCTTGGGTAACCCCATTGGGAAGTGGGAAGGGGGCTCCCCAGTTCCTGCTTGTAAAATCTAGCTGCAGAGGAGGCCAGGCAGACCGTGTCCATCCCTCTGGGAGGCCTCCACACCAGCCCCACAAGGAAGGACATGGAGGAATCATCAGAGCATCTGGCCCCAAGGGCATGTTCTGATCCCCTGGACATTTGACCAGAACAGCAGCGGGGTGAGCTGGATCCTCTGGGTGACTTTGAGCAGAGGCAGACGGAAGGCACTCGGGGTTGCCACTCAAGCACGGCCACAGCCCACTGGGAGGAAACGGGGCTCTTGCAGGCGGTGACAATCTGTGTGAGCAAAGGTTGCCGTCCTTGCAGCGTGGAGCAAGCGAACCTGGGAACCGCAAGGGCATTGCCCTGCTCTCCACTTGCTCTGTGGGGCTCCCTCAGTGGATCCTGCAAACTCAAACTCTCCCAGGCCTTGCTGGCCTACAAGTGGCTCACAAGCCCCTCCGTCCCATCTTGGCTTTTACCTACACACACCTACGTTCCACCCAGGGGAAGGGCTCTGATTCTGCAGAGCTTCTGGATGATGGAAGACAACGGAGGAATTTCTCCGAAGGAGGGCCTGACGGAGCATCCTGCCACATTCCTGATGGAGAGGGCAAAGTCCAGGACGATGTTCAGAGAAATAGAAATGCTCTGCACACACACACACACACACACACACACACACACACACACACACCCTGTACTCGATGAGTAGTCCTTAATGGTACTACATCTACATGGAGGGAAGCAAGCAGTGACTCTGTCTTTGGCCCAGTAGCACCCTTAGACTTATATCCCGCTTCGCAGTGCGTGACAGCCCTCTCTAAGTGGCTTACAGTGGTTTACAGTCTCAGCACATTGCCCCCAGCAATCTGGGTCCTCATTTTACCAACCTCGGAAGGATGAGGGAATAGAAGGGGAACTCATAGAATTTGCAGATGATACTAAGCTGGCAGGAATAGTCAACACCCTGGATGATAGGCTCAAGATCCAGATGGATCTCCACAGAGTTGAACACACTGGGCCCTATCTAACAAAGCAAAGGCAGCAGAGGGGATCCTGGAAGGGGGGGGAAGTTCTCTTCACTCACCCTTTGAGGTCTTCCTGTCCACGGATGGCGCAAAAAATGGCATCCCGCCAGCAGCCTCCACCAGTACAGGCTCTGCTCCTGGGTCAGAGAGGAGAGGATGTTACTGGGGGAAGTTTGTGGGTCCTCTTCTCGCACCAGAGGAGGGAAGCAGACACGGGTCACCTGGCAGGTCCAATTACGCAGCTGCCCGTCTGCCGCCAGCTGGCCAGGCCTGTGTGGAGCAGGTGGCTTGCGCTGGGGCCGCTCGAGAGAGTGTGTGCGGGGGCTACCTGGCCTGACTACTCCAGGTGGGGAAAGGGGGAGGGTTTCCTCACCTGGGTGCCAGTCCAGCCCCACTTGCCAGCAGCAGGTGCAGGAGCTCTTTCTGGGCCAAGAGGGGAACATCCACCCACCCACCCATCCAGCCCTCAGGCCCATGGCTGCTGCTCCTGCGATCCCAGTTCTTCCAAGCCCCCCTGCTGGCACACCCACCCACCCACCCCGTCCCTGTGAGCTCTCCCTCCCAGCAGCACTGGGGAAAAGGACCCATCAGGGGTGTCCAAGAAAAGGCCCCCCCCCCGGTCTCTTTGGGACGGAGTGAGGGGCAGCCCATGAGCAGTGAGGCTGCTGGTTGGGGTGCATTAAACTGCCCTTCCTGACCTCAAGCCTCACATCCCTGGCCTGGCCCCTCTGCCCCTCTGCCCCACCAGCGCCCAGCAATCATGAATGGCTTAAGAAAAAGGGGAGGGTGGGTGATGGGCAGATGGAAATGCACATGCGACTTATTTATTTATTCAATTTCTATAGTCACCCATCTCAAAGCAGTGACATAAGACCATTCAAAACAGTTACAGCATATTATATGGCAGCTGAGAAAGAAAATGTCACCTCCCTTTCCCCATCTCTGCCTTTTCTTCTCTGGACAGCCTCCTTCCCTCCTGCTCCCCACACAGCCCTGACCCCACAACATGTTTAAAGATTTGGGAGGGGGGGCAGTGCAAGTTGCCAGGGAAAATACACGTGTGACTATTAACAATGTGTCCTCTCATCAGTATTTTAAAATAACTGGGAAATATTTCACCTACAACTTTCTTAATTTTTTCCTTGAAAACATTTTGCTTTTCAATCCAAGAAGCTTCTTAGTTTAGTTCAAGGGGGAAAAAATGCAAGAAAATCCAGATGCCTTTTGGAAAAGCAGCTGTGGGACAAACATGACCTGGAGAGTTGAGAATCTCCAGAGACATTTCATCCACAAAAACAACTTTTTTCCCCTTTGCCAATATCCTGAAGTGTCTTTTAATTTTTCCTAGCCAACAGAAACCCATGGAGTCCTGGAGTTGAACGTGGTTCCTGAGACCATCCAGCTCAACCCCCAGCCCAGGGGTTTCAATGACATAATGCACCACCACACTGTATCCTGTGCTCTGGAGACAACGGCATCGATGACACACGATGTGTATCCACAATTCCCACTGAAAATCCGAGGCAAGTTTGTCTTTCTGGGGTTGCAAAATTTCCTTGGCAATTTGCCACATGTGAAATTCTAGATTGCCTCATACCTTCCAAAGACCAAGGAAGGGGCTGCATGAGGTCATGTCCAACCTCAGCTGACATTGATTGATTTCAAATGCTGTTAACAAATTTGAGGATTTTAAGCCCAAACAGAAAAAGAATAGAAAAATAGGATGAGGTCAGGCCGGATCTGAACATCAACAGCAGGGCAGAGAACAAAGAATCTTCCTTAAAGACTCCCTGAGGTGCTCCCTCATCCTTACCTGTCCACCTATCTGTCTGTCCGTCCACATTCTTTGTATTAAACTCACTTTAAGATCAAATGTAACTAATTTTACATCCTTTAAAGAACCCTCACACTGTTTTACAAGACCGGGACACATGAGCTGGTTGTCCCCAAGGTCACATAAATAGTTAATTTCAATTTCATCACCTTCCTTCAACATCTTCTAGAAATACAAGTGAGCTTCAGAGTCTGAATGGATCCCTGCTGGACCCCTCAGGGCAAGAGGCAAGTCCAACTGCTCCACCGGTCAGATGCTGGCACCAAAGCAAAAAACATGCCAGGAACAACTTTGGACACGGCTTCAGTTCTTTAAGCTCTTTTGTAAAGAGCTGCTTACCCTCCATAAGATCTATCAGGTATTTTTAGACGGGCGTTACTGTATAATGTAAAAGACCCTTCAGAGCAGAAGGGTCAGCCCTAAATCCATCACCCATCAGCCAGAAGTAAACACTTCATTTTCTAAATTTCTCCTCCACTCCCCCCCCCCCCAAAATCAATGCTAAAAATAAATGAGGGATGAGCCTGGAATGATGGAAAATGGGATCCTCCTTTGACAATGGATAGCTGTAATTTCCATATGAGATTCTGAGGAATGTTTCTGCTAGAAGCTTTAAGAACACTGCATAAATTCACACAAATCAATATGAAGGAATAAAAAGAGCTTTGAAATAGTTAAATCCCTCTTAATTGTGTTTAGCTTATCCCACACATGAAGAAATTCTATACCGCTTATTTTGATCTTCTTTTATTTTGCCCAAGAAGAAAGTAAGTTTTATTTACCAGTTTCAGTCATTCATACAGAATTAAACCAAAACAGGCTCTGAGAATTTTAGCACAGGGCAAAAAGAAACTCTGAAGTCAAGGCCAAAAGCAGCATCCCCTCCGTGGGTCAAACTTTGTGGTGGGTGGAAGGTGGATTTCTCTCAACCTACCAACACCAGGCAGGCTACTAAACTCAGGTACCGAAATGAGACCAGGAATGGGGGTTTGATTCTCTGTCATTGTTAGAAAGTGGGATACGCAACCGCTGACAGGGGCTCCTCCTGAAAGGCCCGCAGAGCCTCTCCCTGGCAAAGCAAATGAGCAAGTCCCTCCAGCCAGGCCCATTCCAGGGCTTCAAGGGCCTGTGCGGATGCCACCTTCTGCCCCTGCCGCCTTCAGGGCAGGGAAGCTGCAGGGGCCCCGTGAGGTCACCGCTGACAGCTGGGCAGCAGCCGGGCGGAGGAGACCCTGGCACCATCAGCTCCTGTGCCGGGAGGGAAGAGGAGGAAGTTGCGCCTGCTTGCCTTCTGCTTCCCCTTTTATCTTGGGAAAGGCGGTCACCGGCTCACGCCCTGGCCAAGCCGCGCCAATCCCTCCGGTCCCGGGACCAGCGGATCCCTCTCTGGCCAAAGGAGCCGAGGCGGAGGCGGCTGGCCGGCGGCTCTCTCTGGCCCTCCGGGCAGGCACCCGGGACCGAGGGACACGTGGGCGCTTCCGCAGGGCTGCCCAGCGCCGCTCCATAGATGGAAGCGCAGCGGCTCTCCGCAGCCTCCGGAGGGAAGGAGGGAGGGAGGGAGGAGCTGCTGGGGGAAAGAGGCCGGGAAGCCAAGCGGGGCGGGGGGGGGTCCCCTCCCAAGAACAGCCGGGGCTGCAACAGGCGGGGGGGGGGGGGGGATGCCAATTACCGCGTGGCCCCCGGCATGTGCCCGGGAGCTGAGGAGCAGCCCAGATGGGCGCCACTCCGGGCCTTCGGGCCCCTGCTCTGAAGTCCTGGGAAGGCGTCTGCGCTGCCAGGCACCGGAGGGCGGGGGCCAGGGCAGCGGGGCCAGGCGGGGAAGGGGCCGGAGGGGTCGCCCAGAGGGGAGCCCAGCTAGTCCGGCCGTCGAGCTGAGAGCGCCTCTCGGGCTGCGCGGGCTCGCCAGAGAGGAAGCGTCAACCCAGCCCAGCCGCGCGGCGGGAGACGGGGGCGGGAGGCCCCGGGACTGGCCCAGAGCGTGCCCGGCCGGTGCTCCCTACTGAAGAGAGCCCGGCCCGGCCCGGCCCCAACTCGCCCACCGCCCCGCTCCCGTCTACGGGCAGCCTTCGGGGAGGGGGCAGCAGAAGCGCCCACTAGGGCCCCTCCCTCCCCCCGCCACGGCTGGCTCCCCAGGCGAGGGCCGGAGGGGCCCCGAGGAAAAGGCCTTTCGCACCGGGGACCCCGCGAAGCTGCGCCGCCGCCGCCGCCGCGCATCCCCCCCCTCCCCAGGGCGGCCTTCTCGACTGGCCCGCGGGCGCCCCGTTGGCGAGGGCAGCGGCTCTTCTGGGGAAAGGTAGCGGGACCCCCGCCGCCCCCCCAGGGCTCCTGGCAGTCCGGCCGCCGCGGGTCGGGTCGGGGTCGCTTACCGTCTGCCCCGTCCAGGCACCGCCGCCCGTCCGCCCACCCGCGCTCCGCTCCCTTCGGCTCCGGGCGCTGCTGCGGGACGGCGCGGGTAGAGCTCGGCCCGGCTTGTCGCCTCCTTGGCAGCCGCTTCTCCGGGCCCCGGGTCGGGCGGGGGCGCCGTCGGCTCTTCTCCGCCCCTCTGCTCCGCTCCGCTCCGCTCGGGGTGGGGAGGCGGCGGGCCGGCGCTTTCCCTGCTTCCTGTCGATAGGAAAGGGCTTTCGCTTCCTTCGCCGCCGCCGAGCGCTGAGCGGCCGCCCGGGCCAGGCAGTCCGGACCGGAACGAAGGCCAGCAAGCGGGCAGGGCCGGGGCCGTCCGGAGGTCCTGCTGAGAGACCCTCGCCCCGCTGCCTTCCCGTGCATGTGGGGGGGTCTTCTACAGCCCAAGAGAGCGAGTTCTGAAAGGAGCGGGGGGGGGGGCAACTGCCCACTGGAGATCAGGGCCTGCATTGCCCGGACAAAGCCCCCCCCCGGCCGAGGGGTCCCACAACAGAAACTGGGCAACCGCCTCAGGTGGGCTCCTCTGCCACCCCGGGAAGACCCACCAGAGGAATGCATGCCTGGGGGCCCCTCCTCACCCCCACTTCATGCTCACCAGCTTGGAGCAAAGGCGGAAGGGGGTGTCGGCAGCCAAGCAGGAGACCCTGCAGGGGAGGGGGGCAAGGGGCGCATGAGGGGCGGAGGCAGTGGGTGCAGCAGGGAGGATGCTCAGGGCCTGGCATGTGGGGCGGCTTCTGCTCTTTGCCTTGGGTGAACTTGTGGCCACTGACCGCAGGAGGGGAAGGCCTGGGGGTGACCTGTCGAGTGGGCCAAAGGCAGCCCCAGCAGGTGGGAAACCACAAGTGGAAAGACTAGACATGAGACCCCCCCCAAATCTTCCAAGATCTGAGGTTCCTCTCTGGTCTTCACTCGATAGCCCCCCGCTCAGCAACTGATGGAACTCACCACGGCACTGAACCAAGGGGCACCTACTAGGACTCGTTCTTGAAGTTCTGCCTGTCATTGCCACTCGCCCCCTTCCCTGCCAGCTGCAGCCATGGGAATTGTGCTTAACCAGCGGGTGGGATCCGCGGTGCTTTATTTGGGCTGCACCTGGGCAACCAGCCCAAGGAACAGCAGAATCACCTGAGGCTGGAGAAGATCAGGACTTGGCATGCTCCAGACTCTCTCTGCCAGCTCCCTCTGCCAAGCACCCAGAGACCCCGTCCGCCTCTGGAGCGGCCCCCTCTGCTCCGGCCGGGGCTCTGATGCGAGAATTCGCACGGCTCAGAGGCTGCCACCGCCCTGAGGAGCTCACCCACAACCCTGAATCAATGGGTCAAAGGAAGGTCTTCTCCCCAGGAGGAGGCGAGGGGCGCTGTGGCATCCCCCAAGTGGCCATGCCAGAAGGCCCCACTGCTGCTCACTGGCTGGGAGGAGTGGCTGCCCCCTCCTCTTCTTGAACAGGGAAGGAGTCTGACCGGAGAAACGTTTCCATCCGCACTCCCCAATGGGGATTCCAGCATTGGTTGTGGAGTCTGGGGCAAAATTAGAGAGGCCCCCCCCTCACCTGTCCAGGATGGCCACTGCTTGGCGATGGCCTAGGCTGCAGAGTATGCCAAGACTGCACCCCATTTTTGGGGCAATGGAACCAATGGGGGAGATTTAAGCCTCTTTCGGTTGCTTTGCTGGATTGGCCAGAGCAGCTGCCTAGGCAGGAGTCCACCAGAAGCCCCTCCCACACTCACTGGGGAGGACAGATGGGGGGCCTCTGTAGCAATATCCCCTCGTCAGAGAAACTATGACCCCCCCCTGAGGTGGGGCATGCTGCCTTCTTTTTAAAGTGCTGCATGATTTGTGCCTTGACCAAGTTCACAGGTGGGGAAGACTTACACCTTAGGAAAGGAGCCAGGAAGCCTGCCGGCCGGGGTCTTCCCCATCTGAAGAGAGGTGGGAAGACCCTGCAGTCAGGAAGCGGCCCAAGAAGGCCAAGGCAGCTATCCGCCTTTCGGAGGGGCTGCTGTGACCCCCTGGGACTTCATCCAGCATAGCGGCTGTGGACCCCCCCTCCTTCCCTGGCATCACCTGCTTCTCTTGTGCAGGAGCTTGGGGTGCCCGGGGGAGAAGGCCCCCCCTCTGTTTGCAGAGCCAGCACTGGAGCCTCCGGGAAACCAAAGGGGCCATTAAAGCGGCCGCCAGGAAGCGTGGCACTGGCCAAGACCCCCGTGCGAAGCATCGGCCTTCTTGTGCCCCAAAGGCAGCCTCGTTTGGGGAGGAATGCTATGGAATCCGCCTGCTGGGCACGGGCAGTGATGCCAACAGGCTCTGGGACGGGGAGAGTTCAGGAAAGGATGAGAAAGGGGGAGGGGAGGTTTTTCTCTTCTGGGTTTCTGTTGTTTTCCTAGTTGCATTTATTGTTCTTGCTGGGCTTTAAGCCATTTTGGTTTTAACTCCAGTGGCCTTTTAAATAAAGACATAAACCCCCGGCCAAGAGGTCATCTGGCCCACCCCAAGGCCCCTCTTCTGCTCCGAGCCCCACGGCGCTCCCGACTGAACGGTCCGGCTCAGCCCATCTCGGCACAGGACGGAAACTGCCGGCTGAGGGAGCCTGGCTCTGAACCTTCACCCCTCGTTCCCAAGGGCTGCTCCGGGAGGTCCAAGCCCCCAGTGCCCCCAGGTCTTCCAGGAACCGCATTAGGCTCCAGCGCAGAGCTGCTCGCTTGGTTAACCAACCCTCCTGTGCGCCAGCACAAGGCCGGTTTCCAGGCAGGGCACCAGCAGTGACGGGCACGAGGGCCACAGGAAGGTGTGCCGGCGTGATGCCCGAGGACGGGGGGCCTTAGGTGGGTCAGAGGGACAGCGCCCGTCTTCAGAGTTGGCCTGTGTGAGCTCAAGCGCTCCTCTGCAGCTGCTGTGCCAAGAGGCTCTGGGGCAATGTCAGTTCCCCCTCGATGCCCACGCCCCCAGCCGCAGGGGGGCCCAGCCCAGCCCAGCCAAAGGCCACAGGTGCGAATGCCGCTAACAGTCCTTTATTAAAGGCTACACTTCCTGCAATGGTGGCACATTCAAGGGGGGTCAAAACAGCATTTTTGTATCACGCGCAGCCACAACAGCTAAGCAGCATCTAGAAGCGTTCTGAGAAAGAGGGGGAGCTGTACAAGGTCAAGAGGAAAAGGGAAGCCCCCTCCTCTCGCCCGCACCCGAGGACAGCAGAGCTCGCACCAGGCAACGCCCCCTCCTCGTCCCCCACGGCAACTGGGGCCAAGCAGCTCTTGGCAGAGAACGAGGGGCCAACGGCCCGCCAGGGCTCCATCCGCCAGCCTCTCCAGGCAAGCGCCCTTCCCAGACCCCGAGACCCTCGTCACTGCCCGGTCAAGGCTCAGCTGGGCTCACGAGCCCCTTCCCTGCCTGACTGTGGCTTCCCCGAGTGGAGGGAATGTGGGGCCGGGTCTTTGGTCGCCTGCCCCTCCCCCTGGTGGGCGCACGTTGCCCCCACTCCTTGCGCACAGCTGCGGAAGCAGGAAGGGGTCTTTCCCCTCCCCCGGCCTGATCCATCCCAGAGACTCCCTTGGCAAGGAAGGTTTCACAGGGGCCCCCAAGCTCCTCCCGGGTGCCCAGGGGAAACGGCTGCCGCTGCTGCTGCTGCTGCGTGTGCGTCTGGCCCAAGCGTCTGGCCCAAGCAGTCCGAGACGGAGACCGGGATCATCTCCCTTCTTCCGGGGAGCGGGACTCGGACTTGAGCTTGACAAATTCCTTGGCCACCTCGTCGTTGGTCCTTTGCGAGAGGATCCTCAGAACGGTCATCCCTGTTTCGTCCATGTGGATCCTCCGGCCCAGGGGGCACGCACAGGCGCAGCTGCCCTTCTCCACCACCTCCCGCAGCTGCAGCACAGCAATGCCCAGCACCCGGTCCTCACGGGCAAAGCAGTAGTCCTTCAGGCACACCTGGAGCTCGTAGGCATCCGGACCGTCCTCATTGCCCAGGACGCTGCAGGGGAGAAAACCGGAGAGGGTCACCCGGGCGGCAGCAGGCGGGGGGAGAGAAGGCGGGGGGTCCTCTGGCTGGGTCCTTCGCCCCTGGGGAGGGGCACTGCTGACCCTTGGGGTGGGGGGGCTGCCCCTTCCTTCAATAGGACTGCAGAAGGAGGAGCTGCTCCCGTCCAGGAGGGAAGGAAACCCCCAGGAGACCGAAAGAAGGGAGCTGAGCTGAGCGTGTGGGGCAGAGGCACCCGGCTGCCTGCCTGGGAAGGAGGAACAGGGCACTGAATGAGGGGGCAGAGCAGGGCGCAGGTGTGACACCCCACACAGGGGGAAGACTGCGCCCAGCCACCGAGGCGGCAGAGACCCCCCCCCGCCTGCCAGGGAAGAGGCCGGGGGACTTACAAGTGGAACGTCTCATTGTACTTGGGAGCCCAGTTGTTGCTCTTGGACTTGGTGGTGAATTTCCGCTTCTTGTCGCTTTGGTGTGGCCCAATCATGGTGACCTCCACGAAGGGGCGAAACATGCCGCTGGTTTGCCACTTCAGATCATTGGCAGCCACCACTGCGAGGACAAAGGGAGGGGTGAGGCCAGGGCGCCCCTCCATGCCCCCCCACTGAGCTCCACCTGCCCCCCCCCCCCACTCATCCTGCCGGTGGCAAGGAGGCTGAGATGCCAGCTGGTTACCTTTCACGGTGACCTTGTGCTCCCCGCTGCCTGGGTGCGTGTAGAGGTCCACCTGGATGGAGACTTCGCCTACGGGGCCCTCCGCTCCAGAGCCTGAGGGGGGAGAGACAGCAATTGGCATCGCTGCCACGGGGACGGGTGGGGGGCTGTTTGCCCAGGGCTGCCCCTCCCGGAGGCTCCTTCCTGAGGGGGTGGTTGGGGATGATGAGGAGAGGCTGCCCTGCCTGAGGGAGGGGGCGTGGGTCTCCGTGGAGGGTCTTGGCTCCCCCACTCTCCCCAGGGCTTAGGCCAATTTGAGGCCATTCCTATTTCTCGGGCCTTGTGCTTTGAAGACCCATGCTCCCCTGCCTCCTGCACTCTGAAGCCAGGCCTTCGATCAGGCACCCGTGGGAGGGGAGTCCCCCAGAGGCAGGGAGGGAGGTGGGGAGGCCCATCCTGCCTATCTTGAACACTGCAGAAGACGGGCCCCGGGGACCTGCTCCAGACCGCCATCGGCTGCAATTCCAGGATGGCTGCGGCTGTTTCAGCCACTGCGTAATGGAGCAGGGGCCAGGACCCTTCCCCCGCAATCTCTCGACAGGATTCTCCTGTGGGTGCCGCCCCACTGCAGTCCAGCCTGCGCCTCCCCCCGTCTCCGAAGACGTACGGGGGTCCAGCTGGTCCGGGAGTGGGGCCAACATGGGGGGGGGGGTGTGCAGCGCACCAACCTGCCTCCTGAACCCACCCACCCCGCACCTTGTGCCGTCTGTGTCTGGACGAAGGTCTTGATGAGGGTGTCGGTGGTCTGGGTGTAGAGCGAGAGAGCGTAGCGCAGCGACTGCAGCTCCGAGCTCTTCTCCAGGAAGGCCTTCTTCAGCCCGTTCCCCCCGGCATGGAAGTATTGCTGTGGGGGGGCAGACGAAGTGGGTCACGCCCGGAACAAAGGCCCCTTCAGAATGGACCTGGGAGTCATCTCCCGCCCACCCCATTGCTGCCATGTAGGGGCCGCGAAGGGGGCTGTCACCTGCCCATCTGTGTGAATCCACGCTTCCCTTGGCCGTTGTGGACTCCCGATTTAGGCCTGTCTTAGCTCAAGGCTGCCCCACCCACCCACCCACCCTTCCTGTCCCCTCCTGCTCCGTGCTGGTGGCTGGGCTTCCCTTGCTTCAGCTGTGGGTGGGTGGGTGACCGAGGGAAGAGACTCACTTTAATGGTGTCCAGCGCCAGTTCCAGCACGTCGCACTGCTTGGGGCTGAGGTTCCGTGTTTCCTCCCGGACCATGTGATCCTGAAAGGGAAACCCGCAGGGTGAGCAGGGATGGGGAGTGGGCCGCCCGCCCCAGGGGCTTTTCGGGGCCGAGGCCATGCAGCAAACGAGCTGGGGACAGTGGGGGAAGAGAGGCAGGAGCAGCGGACATCAACCACAATAAGCTGTTGGGAGGACAAGCAGCACAAGCAGCGGCTGGGAGGGGCCCCAGGCACAATGAGGGAGGGGCCCCTGGGGAAACACCTTCTGCCACTCATCGCTGATGCTTCTCTCTTGGGGCCAAACCCTGCGGGAGCCAAGCTGTCCCTGAGTGGGGAGGCCATCCCCAACGGGAGCCCAGGAGACCCCGGAGGGCACCGCCCATCTTTTCCTAAGTTTCCTTGGACGCTGCTTGGGCCTCCTTGGATGACGACCCCAAAGGCGAAGGCAGCACTGTGGGTGGGGGGGGACTCTCCAGCCCAGAGAACTCTAACCGCCCCCTCTCACTTGGCCTGCCCCTGACCTCCCCGCCCGGGGGGTTCTCTGCATCCCCCTCCCTCTTGCCAAGGGACCCCAGCAGGCGGTCACAAAGCACCGAGTCTGAAAGGCCACCACTGCTGGGCTGACGGTTTCTACTGCGCATCTCCTGAGCCGAGACGAAGCATTCTGGCAAGGGAGGCCCAGTCCCAGCTCAAGAGCCCAGCCGTGGCAGGGTCAGCCCCCCCCCCTCCACCCAAGGCTATCCCTCTGAGGTGGCCTGCTTGGATGGCTGCACCAAGTTCCCTCCAGGCTGCTTGGGGGACCCCTTGGGAGACCCCAAGGACCTGCAATGACCCCCCATCTCACCAGGGTTGCTGCTGAGGCTCCCTCCGTTCCCAGCCTCCCCCTGGAGTCCTTGCAGAAGGGCTTGACCTTCCAAGAAATCCCCCCCACTCAATTCCCCCAGGCCCCCTTTTCCCTGCTGAAGGCCATCCCCCATCCAAGCCCCTGGGGAGGGGCGGCTCAGGGGCCTCACTTGGGGTTGGGACGATGCTGGACTACGAACAGCCCACCCACCACAGCCAGCTCGGGTCTGGGTGGGGAGATCATGCGACACGAGGCCCTTGTGCAAGGCTGAGGACACGGGGAGGGGCTGAAGGCATGCATGCGTCAGCTGATCCCCCCCCCACCTAATACCTTCAGCTTGGATAAATGGCCCAGTTCTTTAGCAGCACTGAAAATCAGCTGGGTCCCCTGGCGAGGACGAGCAAGAGAAGGTGGAAGACAGAAGAAAAAAGATTAAAAACTCAAGAGAAACGGGGTTTTTCTGTCCTGGCTACGAGAAATCCTCAGGCGGATGCCGGTTGCCCCAAGGGCCTCCCCCCCACCCCCACCCCCACCCGGTTGCCGGAACCAGGAACCAGTGTTCGGTCCAGGAGCTCCTGGGGGGATACCAAACTCTGGGAGCAGTCACGTCCCCCCAAATCTCTCCCACCCCACCCCGTCCTCCAGGCCCTGGCAAGGGTGGCCCTGCCATCCTGGCCACATCAGGCCCAGCGATCTGTAGGACGCCTGTTTCATTCGTGGCTCAAAAGTGGAAACGGAATGAAGAGAGTGAAGGAAGAATCAGAACCTTTTCAGCTTTGGAAAAAGAAGAATTTCTCCCTTAGGTGTAACGGGAGGAGGGGAAGGGGAGAGCTCTCTAGGGTTGCATAGATTTCTAATTTTTATTTTATATACCGTATTCTTTGGAGTATAAGACGCAGCTTAGTTTTGGCGAGGAAAATGGGGGGGGAGGGAAATCTGCCTATCAGGTATTCATCTGGCTAAGCTTCTAAAGCACAACTGATGTGAGAAAATGAGAAAAGCAGGCAAACCACAGAGATCGCTTCATTCGCTAGCGCCTCCTTAGGGCTGAAAAAAAGCTTCGAAAAAGCTACAATCGGAGTATAAGACGCACCCAAATTTTCAGCCTCTTTTAGGAGGGAAAAAAGTGCCCCTTATACTCCCAAAAATACGGTATTATTTTCAGGTTTCTTTTTCTTTGGTTCAGTGCAGACTATATAACCAATGATGTTTTCTTCTTCAAAATACGTTATTTTTATCTACATTCTACAGCTGTTCTAGTACAACACTGAAATGCAATATTGGTTAAAACTAAGGCTTTAGGGAATACTGTCCGCAACATTTTTGAAGCTTAGAAAATCACTCCAATTGGAAAAAAAGAGGCTTTGCAGGAGGCTTCCGGTGGGCCCCGCAATTCAGCCTCAGTGGGAGCTGCAGTTCCCCCCCCAGGTCCCCACTGGGAAGGGCCCATGATTGGCTGGCCCCAAGGCTCTAGGGAGGACAGACCCGCCCCTCCTGCCTCCCTCTGGCCCCACAGCAGGGGTGAAATTCAAAACGTTTCCCTACTGGTTCTGTGGGCGTGGCTTGGTGGGCGTGGCAGGTGAAGGATCCTGCAAAATCCCCATTCCCTCCCCCCTCCAGGGGAAGGATATTGCAAAATCCCCATTCCCATCCTACTCCAGGGGGAAAGATATTGCAAAATCTCCACTCTGGGGCCAGCCAGAGGTGGTATTTGCTGGTTCTCCAAACTACTCAAAATTTCCGCTGCCGGTTCTCCAGAACCTGTCAGAACCTTGTTTAGGATAATGTTTTCTGCTTGATTGCCACTCCCCCCCCTCAAAACGGGTAGGCAAAGTTTCTGTAGAGTGTATACAGAGGGAGCAGTCCCCATAGTCACCCACATGGATGATGTCATCTAGTTGGGTAATGAAATGTCTGACAGCAAACAGCCAAGCTCAAGGTCTCCAGAGTTCAACTCTGAGCTACGTATATATTCTCTTCTATAGGGAGCTGAGAGAGAACAGCCACTTCCATTCTGTTCACTATGGCCCTTATGGCTCAGTCAAACAGATTTCAAGGATCGGACTACCAAGTATTTTGTTTGTTTGCTTATTTATTTAATCTCCTGCCTTTGTTTTATTTACAAATAACTGAAAGCAGGGGTGAAATGTAAAATTTGTTACTGCCGGTTCTGTGAGCGTGGTTTGGGGTGTGTGTGTGTAATGTGACTGGGTGGGCGTGGCCAACATTTTTTAAAACTTTTAAAAGCATTTTTTCTACAAGCTTAAGAGGTTGCAGAAAAAAATGCTTTTAAAAGCCTCTGACGTGGATAGAATATGTTCAGAACAAATATCAAACTAGAAAGTATCAAATAGCTTTTATTTGAAAACAATGTATTAGAAATATCTTAATGTAAAGAGATAAAGAGGGAAAATTATATAGGGGGAGGGATGGGTTCAGGTATATATATCAGTGTTATTAGTTATGAGTACATAATAGGGAAGTCTGGGGGGGAAGGGTTAGGGAGGGTTAGGGAGGACGGGAAGTTTGGGGAGGGAGGTGGGGGGGGTGAAAAAAGGGTGGAAAAATGTAATTGTAAAACTTTTGCACTAAAAAAAAAAAAAAAAAAGCCTCTGACGATCAGGCAACTCGGCTGGGATCTCAGCTGGGATCGCCAGAGGCTTTTAAAGGCATTTTTTTTTCCTACAACCTCTTTGGCCGAGGTTTTAAAAGCCTCTGATGATCCCAGCTGATCTGCGCAATCATCAGAGACTTTTTTTTTTACTTTTAAAAGCATTTTTTCAGCCAAAGAGGTTGTAGAAAAAATGCTTTTAAAAATTTTAAAAAAAAGCCTGTGATGATTGCGCGGCTCAGCTGGGCATGGGGGGGGGCAGGGATTTTTGCTACTGGTTCTCCGAACCACCCTCCGCCATCGCTACCGGATCGCACGATCCGGTCCGAACCAGGAGCATTTCACCTCTGCCCCACAGCCTCTCCTCCAGAGCCCCAGGGCCCAGCCCAGCCTGGTCTGGACCGGTTCAGGAGGAGGGGGAGGGAGGGAGGTGGGGAGGGGCTCACCGTGTGATCCGTGAGGGGGGGCAGCACAATCAGCCTCTCCAGGGTATCCATCACAACCCGCCAGAGATCCTTCAGCAGCCGCTTCAGCACAGTCTTCTCACAGACGTCGGCAAAGAGGGTCAGGCTGTGGGGAGAAAGACGGGGGGAGCGGAGAGGCGAGCTGTCACTCTTGAAAGCCTTAATCCGGCCTCGGGTCTAAGCAGGGGCTGGACCGCATGATGTCACGGGACCCCTGATGACTGCGATGCACTGAAGGTTGTCATGCCACGCAGAGAGACCGTCAACGCTCAGCCTCTGCAAATGAGCCGAGATGGCTGGTGGGGATGGGCAGGGGTCCCACGGGGTTTCAGTGGGTCCATGTGGGGGATCCAAATGGCACCCAGGTCTCCCTGGAGCGGGAAAGAGCTGGAGGGTGGGAGGTGAGCAGAACTAACGTCGCCTCAGAAGAAGCCGAGAAGCTTCCGGGCCTCCCAACCCCTTGGCTGGAGCCTCTGCAATGCTTTCGCCCACGAACAAATACCGGCAGCACAGCCAGTCCACTCTCTGGAGCAGAGAGAATGGGGCTGAGCAGAAACACCCTCCTGACCCCTGAAAATCTGAGGTTGGGGAGGGGCCCTTGACACCCCCGAGGCCAGCCTCAGCTCAGCTGAGTGCACTGGCTGCACTGCTTGGAGGGCCCCCCCTTCCGTCTGGCCCTCCCACCAGCCCCTCCCCTCAGATAAGTGGGGATAAGAGAAGGCGTGTGGAGGCCACGTGGGCTGTTCCGTCCTCCCCCCCTTGGCGGGGACACAAGCTGCACCAAGGAAGGGGGGAGAGCCCGAGGACCTACAAGAGCCACCCGGACAACCCGCCTCCCAAGGGCCCCACCTCCTAGCCAAGTGGACCTGGAGCTGAGGGGCCCCTGGGAAAGACGCACTCGCCCACGTCCTTACTTTCCATCCAGGAAGTCCATCAGAGGCCTCAGGACGTTGTCTGCGTCTTGGGCTGCGGTGTTGGGGCCGCTGTTCCCCGCCCCTTTCACCTGGCACAGGATTTCCGACATCTGCTTCACACACTCCTCAATGCGGGGCTGGAAACTGAACACGAGAGGGCAACGTCACTCCCAGGACTCCACATGGCCCCCCTCCTTCCAGGGGAGCTGGGTCTTCTTTGGCCACGCCAAGGCTTGGGAGACCACAAGGTCAGACGGCTCCCCCCAGGGGGAACTGCCTTCGTTCTGGGCCAGACTCCAGCACAGAGGCTTGGATAGGCAAGATGCCTGCAACCCCCTCGACCCCCATCAGAGTCCTGTGGGGGAGAACCTCCCTTCAGATTTAGCTTTCGCACTCCCAGCCCCCAACTCTCAGGGAAACCACAGCTGATCACTCACGGTGGCTCAAGGGCTAAGACACTGAATCTTAAGGCGGTTTAAGGTCTACAGATCAACCGTTTGAGATTCAGGTGCTGCAGGAGGGAGGGAGCTACCGTCACTGGGCTCAGCTCCTGCAGTTCAAAAGCATGGACATGCAGGGAGATAAATATAGGCACCGCATCTAAGCGTACAGGAAGGTAACCGCGTTCCGTGTTTCACCGCATACTCTACGATGCGGCATGATGTCATGTTGGCCACATGACTGTGGAAACATCTCTGGACAACGCTGGGTCTCTGGCTTAAGAAACGGAGATGAGCGCCACCTCCTAAAGTTGGTCACGACTAAGCGGAATAAAACCAGCAGGGACTCCTGTATCTCACTTTTTTTGGGCTCAGCCTGTGACAAAATGCAGCCCTAAGAAATCCAGACGGATTTTACACTTCAGAAATCAAGTTTCCTTCGTGCTCCAAGAGCCAAATGCAGATTGCTCCACTTCTTTTGATGCAAAAAGATGCAAGAACAGCAAAAAGCAGAATCTGCCCCAAGTTCTTCTTTCGGGGCTCTGCTTTCCCTCCTCCTGCCCGGTGCCAGGCCAGATGGAAGGATGGGGCCTCGGTGTGTGTGTGTGTGTGTGTGTGTGTGTGTGTGTGTGTGTCCCACCTGTCTCCAAAGGTGGTGCTGAGCTCATCCAGGACGTTGTTCAGCTTCACCTGCAGCTCCTTCAGGGAGTCACTGGCCTCGGGGTCCAGCTGCAAAAAGAGGAAGGCTGAGCAGGGCCCCGGACCCCTTGGGCCCTGGACCAAGCTGTGGGGCAGGAGGACCTGCTCCCTGCCAGGAATGGGCCAGTGTGACATTGGGGCCAGCAGCTGCTGAGACTGGCGTGGCTGGAGAACCCTCGGCTGCCCTGGCCTGCCACCCTTGGCCACCGCTAGGACAAGGGGCGCAGACAAGGCTGGGAGGGGGCTGGGGACAGAGTTCAGCCCGCCCCCTTCCCCAACTCTGCTCTGAAAAGAGCAAACCTCCCTCCCTAGCTCTCAGCCCCCCCTCCCCCATCCTAGCAGGGGTTCCCTGCCTTTCAGAGTAGGACTGGCCAAGCCTCCCTCTAGCTTCCCCTCCCCAGCTGGAGCCCCACAAAGGGCCTGGATCTTCCCTACCACTCAGCGGATAGGGCCCCTCCCACCTGACCCGGGACGAGCCCTGGGAGGCCTTGCGAGATACCAGAGCCAGAACTGGATTGTCACATTTCTGCATAATGTGGGTTGTTGACTTGGGTCTTGTGGTGTGAAGGCAGCCTGGGCCTTGCTTGCCTGGCCCCACAAGCAGCCAGGCAGGGCAAGGGAACCACTGCCCACTCCCAGGAGGGCAGGGAGGGACCGGCCATGCTGGGGCTTCTTTCAACCACTTGGGCGCAGCGAGGCTGCTGGGGGGCCCTGGGGGAGACCACGCTGCCCAGGAGCAAGCCGGCACAGGGGCACCCCTCCCAGGACAAGGATGCCCTCTTGCTGACTGTGGGCATTACTGAGTGCCAAGACCAAGGGAGAGCCCGGCTCCTGGTGCCATCTCAAAGCCAAACATCGCCTGCACCCGCTCCTTGACAGCCCTTTGCTGGAGACCCTGCAGGAAGCGGGGAAGAGCAGCAGGGCTGAACTAAGCAGCTAAGTGGCACTCAGAATGGGCCGGGGACCCTCACCAGGGAAGGATGCCAATCCTGCAAGCACCCACAGATCTAGGCGAGAGCTGCCCCCTGGCAGCGCATGACCTGTCAGCCTGACCCTGGGAACACACAGTGCGCATTCCTTAAAATGTCCCTTGAAGGTTGGGGGAGGAGGGAGGCAGGGAGGGCTCTGTCCTTTAGGCAGTAATGGCTTTTGTGCACAGCAGGAGAGCAGCTGTGGGTGTGCGTGTGTCCCCTCATCAGATTCCCCTCCGGGATCCTGCTGGGGAAGGTGCAGGGAAACAAGGCCGGGGCTGAGGTGGGGGTGGGTGGCCCTTGAAAGCGGGAGGGGGAGGGCTGCCGCTTGCCTGACCACCTGGGCTCTTTGTGCCAGGCTCCAAGGGGGCTGCCCTCCTCCTTCCTCACCTCCGTCCCCCTTGCAAGTTGGGCTGGACATGGGGCCTCCGGCAGGCACTGAAGGGGGCCAGAGCGTTCAAGAGGTGGAGGCGCCTTGATGCTATAATTCCAGATGCCTTGCGTGCCCAATGCAAGCTCTATTAGTATTGAAATCGAGGTGTCAATTTTTGCACCTCCCCCACAGATGGGATGCAAAGCGACAGCTACAAGCCCCCCTCTTTGGAGCGGGAGGGATGCTTCTCCCCCTCCTCCCTTGGCAACAGATGGGCCCCGGATGAGGCTGCTCACTTGGGACCTTCTGGAGAGGGGCCCCTGCCCACCTCCCTCGCCTCGCCCCTTCTCTTACTCTGGCCCCACCTTTCACCTGCCTTTGTCCTCCCCGCTTTCTTGTGGCGTCTGTGGGCTCTTGCGTGTTTCTGGACAAGAGTGGGAGGCGAGGGGGGGGGGCAACTGTTTTATCAGTTGGGCATCGATCTGCTTTGTAACCAGATTTCTTATTTTATGGGCAACCATCTTCATCAGAAATAATTCAATCAGTACAAACGTAGTTTAGATGTCACTAAATCTAGGATGGGTTTGTCTCTACAGGGTATGCAAAGGTCCTGCCTGCATGCGTGTTTACTGAGGAGCGGGAAATCTCCAGGTGGGGCAGGGAACCCCATGACCTCAGCTGGGCCTCCCTCCTTGCCTTGAGATGGGGGAATTCTCACCCACTTGGGGGTCTGGGAGGGGAGGGGGTCTTCCTTCAGTCCAGTTAAAGAGCCGACAGCTGGATTCTCAGCTGCCACTGAGGCCTGTCCATCAGCCAAGAGCCGGGGGACGCCAGGAGAGAGGAAGCCCCCCCCCCATTATCCCTGAGCAGGAAAGGCTGGATTGGAAGAAAAGCTCCACCCTTCCCTAGAACGGACGGGGGTGGGGAGCGGGGAACAGTCAGAGGGCTTGGTCCAGCCACAAAAACAGACAAATCATACGCCCACTAATGTGGCAGCCACAGAAGCAGAGGGACAGGGCGCATTGAGACACAGCCTTGCCCACCTCGTGCCTGTTAAGCAGTCATCGCTTTGGGAGAGGTTTGCCACCGTGTGTCCATGCGGAAGGCAGCGTAAGGAGCAAAGTGACCACAGGTGGCCATGCAGGGACTCTGCCTGCAGGCAAGCCTCCCTCTTCCATCCACCTGCAGAGTTTTTATCTAAACTGTGTGTCTGCCAGGCAGCCTCGACTCCTGGCAGTTTCCTGGGCAGGAGGGGTTTGCCCTGGCTGTCTTCTTCCCGGGGCAGACTGGGGGAGGGGGGGGGGGCTGGACCAAGGCGCCCAGCGGGCCTCGTGCCCAAGGCAGGGTGCTTGGATGGTCTCCATGGGTCTCATCCCTGCAGTTCTGGCCTCTTTCCCTCTTTCCCGGCCACGGAGATTCTCCTTCCCGCCCTGTAGCTACCAGCATCATTACGTAGCCCTTCCTACCTATGTTCACTGGTTTCCTTCCGATATAGGTGCCCGTGCAAGCCTGAGCCTGCCATGGACACAAAAGGCACCCACGGTCACCCCAATGGGTAGCAAGGGAAAGGCCGAGCCGTGTGGCTCAGGCAAGGCCCCGCAGGAAAAGGCCCAGGACAAGAAGGGCCCCAAGGGACAGGCGCTCTAGGGCTACCGACAGACGGACAGCTGCGCTCAGGGCCACCCAAAGCAGCTGGGAAAGCTCCCCTTGAAGCCCAGCCCACCCGAGAGATGAGACCCAAGAGAGGTGGAAGGACACCCGCGTATCCTCTCTGGCCGTGGCAGCCGAGACGTCCTCCTGCAAGGACTTCTCAACCCCCCCTCCTCCCCCGGAGCCTCTTCCAAAGACCTCCATCCATCTTCTGAAGGAGGCCATCTTGGCTGCCAGCAGAGAAGGGAGACGACCTCCCCCCACCTTGAGGGAACCTCACTCTCCCACCCCTTCCCCCCGACTGGCCTTGGCCACCACCGAAGGCCCTCTCCCCCGCCCTTCCGCCAAAGAAGAGGCCGGGTGACTCACCTCTTTGGCCCCCATGGCCTCAAACATCTTCTCTAGCTGCACCCTCAGCTGCTGGACGTTGTTCATCAGGATGCAGGGCTGAGGGAGGGAGGGAGGCAAAAGGCCATGAGATGCCAAGGAGGAAGAGGGAGCTCCAGAGTTCAGGCTCCTTCCTGCAGGCAGGCAGACAGCCAACAGCCGCCCTCCTTCCCCAGGGCCACCTGGAGCAGCCAAGAAGCCCAACTGCTCTACAAGGTCTGGATGAACAAAGCTTCCTCTCCCTTGGCCCCAGGGATGATGGGGGGCAGGAGGTCCTTGATCCAAGCTGGATCCATTTACAGCAGAAGGTAAGCTGGACTGGAGCCCTGGCCCACCCATTCCAGCCTCCACCCAAGGAAGCCCCCCTGTCTCCCAGTAGACGCCTCCCGAGGCAGCCCCACAGCCCTCAGGGCTAAGAGCTTCTCTCCCCAGGACTTCCTGGCATCGGCCCAGCCCTTGCTTGAGGTCAGCCAAGCTGGTACCAGCACGTCTCACGATGGCAGTTCCAAAACTAAACTACCCCTTTTCTTGACCCTCTTTACTCCAGGATTCCACTCCACTTCTGGTTCCAATATTTCGGGACAGGGAGAAGAGCTTCTCCTTGTCCACTTGCCCCATGAATGTTCAGTTCTAGTCCTTTCTCATTTGGCTCCTTTCTGGGCCAGAAAGCCCCCAACACCCCCACCCTTCCTCCTAGGGGAGCCGCTGTGGCCCCTGGACAACCACGGCTGTCTTGGGGTTCTCCAGATGGAGAAAGGCTGAGGGGTGACTTTGCTCCAGCAGAGAAGAAGCTGCCCAGATAGCTTTGCTCTGGCAACGTCCCTTACAGCCTCACCGTTGCTTGCCATGCAGCTCGTGCCAAGACATGCTGCCTGCATCCTGGCCAAAGGGCAGCCCCTTTGCCAGAGGGGTCGATACCTGGGCCAGGTCAGGCCAGGGACTTACCACCTTCTCCTTGGAGCAGAAGCTTTGGAAGTTCTTGGAGACAATGTCCGCGTATTGCACCAGCACCTTCCCAATGGTCTACAAGAAGAGCAGAGACCTCAGTTCAACCTTTTGAGGAGGGGCAGCAGGGGGGACCATCCCGGCCCAGAGGAAGGCGGGTTGGCAAAGACCAAAGGGGGGTGGGAGGGGGGAAGGGTACCTTGGAAAAACGCCGCATGTAGCGAGCCAGAATGGTCGGATCGGGGCATTCCAGCTTCTTGATGATCTCAAAACTCTGGTTGAGCTGGGTGAAGATATCGACCACCGAGCAGGAGAAGAGGGCGTGCTCAGACGTCTGCTGGAACTAAGCCCCAGAGGGAAAGCAACAGTCACCTTCTGGGAGAACCTACCCAGCAGGCCAACCTGGGTTAAGCCTGGATTTGGAAATGCTGGGCTCACACACACTCTCCTGGGCAAAGTGGGACCAGAGCTTCATCCACAGGGCGACTGGGAAGGGCACCCGGAGGCATAAACTCTCTCAGCTCTGCTCCACGTTGGGCCTCACTTGAGGCAAGTCCCACGGAGGTGTCCGGGGTTCAGCCTGGCTTGGTGATCTGGGAAGAGTTTGACCCTGTTGGACTCCTGAGGTGGTGGGCAGGGGGAGACCCAGGCCCTTCCTGGTTGGCTCAGGCCGAGGGTGAGATTCTGGGGGTGGCGAGGGGAGGCCCCCAGGCCCTGGGGAAGGCATCTTGGAGAGAGCCCATCAGGACTCAAGGAAGCTGGGATCGATCCCCTCTGCGAGAACCAACCGTTCTCCACAACTTCCAAATTCCCTTTCAGGGAAGGTGGTTGAGAAGGGTTCACACTGCAACTGCAGAGACTTCTGGAGGAAGCGGATGACCTGGAGCCCCTTAAAATGGCATTGATGGCCCATGTGGATGGCCTCTGAGGAGAGTGGGAGGGGGCCCACCGCTTAGCAGCCTTCCATGCCATCAGTTATGGGGCTGGCCCCATTATTATGCCCACCTTGGGATGGTTTGGGGGACTGGAGGCAGGGGGCACGGAGGTAGGCTGGCTCTCCTCTTTTCTCCAGGGTTGGTTCCAGTTTATTCTATGCTGCCTGTCTCGATGCCTTGAGAGGGGAGAGGCCCAGCCCACAGCCCCTACTCAGGGCCTTCCCCACGCCTGTGCAACAACTGGGCGAAGCTCCATGGTGAGGGAGGTCCCAGGTTAGGAAACCCAGGTCAGCTGGAACTCCGCCCAGCCAGAGAGACCGAAACCAGCTTCCTTTTCTAAGGAATTTCTGTCTTTGCCTCCCCCCCCCAAATTCTCCTCAGGAGAAAACTGACCCCGACCCTCCCTGTTCACCACCAGCTGCTGCCGCCCTCTGAGTGCCAGTTTACCACAGCCATTCAAGCCAAGGAGAACTCAACCTGCAGCTGAGGCTTCTCCTTCAGCACAACACGAGGGGACAACCAGGGGCCACCCCGCTCGCCCGCCTGCTTCTTATGAAGACGGAGTGTGTGTGTGTGTGTGTTGTGCGTGTGAGGCCAGTCTGACACAACTGAAAGACCCTCCCACAGGCCAAGGCTTCTAGGCCGGGAAAGGGCTGGGGGTGGGGTGGGGTGGCGGCCGTGTCCTTCTCCGCTTCGGCAGCCGCAGCCTCTCCTGCCTGGGGCCGAGCGGTGCTCCCCCCTCCCATCCAGGGGCTGCAGGGCCCAAGGAGGGTCTCCTTCTCCCAGGCAGCCGGGACCCCCACCTACCCCGTCCTTCTTGTCTCGCTCCAGAGCTCCGTGCAAGAATTCCAGCGAGACGTCTTCGTTCTCGTCCAGCCACTGCACCACAAAGGGCTCGAACCACCTGCCATGGGGGGGAAGGGGGGGGGACACCTGCGTGAGCTCTTCTGCGCTCTGCCCAGGACCAGCCCAGGTGCCCTCTCAGGGAACCAGCCCAAAGGTGAAAGCCCCTCCCATGCCATCCCCCCCGCCCCGGGATTTCCCTCCTGTCCTCCCCCGCTTCCCAGGAGGAGCCTGCTGGAACCACGTTCCCTTCCCTCCCGGCACCCCAAGCTGCCTCAGCTTCCTCTCCTGCCCTGCCAGGTAGACCCACGACTTTGGGGGCTGCCCTTGCTGGCCTGAAGTGAAACCTCCCCCTCCCCTCAATGAAAGCCAAGGGCAGCTACCGGTGGGGGTGACAGGACTGCCATCTCATCCCTTGTCTTGGCTGCTTGCAGGCAGGGAAATGGCCTTTTGGAAAAGGGGTTGGCTTTTTTTATTTTTTATTTTTACAGGTCCTGGGTTAAGCACAGTTAGTCTTTCAGTTACGACCGGTCACTTAGCAAACGCTTGAAGTTATGACAGACCCTGAAAATCGCCCCCGCCCCCGTGGTCACGTGACCACATTTTGGCCACCCGGCAACAGCCCCACATTTACAGACACCTGCAATGACCCACAGTCATGTGACAGTGATTTATGATGTTTTTACTTCAAAAAAGGCCATAACATTGGGGATATTTATGCAGCCGTCACTATTTACGTGGTCACTGTTTACGACTGAAACTATGGGTTCAATAACACTCATAGGTCAAGGGCTGCCTGCAACTAGGTAAAACCGTCCCCCCCTCCCCCCCCAAATGTCACCAGTTGCTGGGATCATACTATCATATGTGGTGGTCGTGTAAAGAAGCAAAACATTATTGGGTGAAAATACAAACATGGTTAGAAGGAAAGTTGCAGCAACCTATAGAGTTAAAACCAGAGATATTCTTATTGGGAATTTTACCAGAGAATTATAGTAAAGAAGATACATATTTGATTATTCATATAATAACAGCGGCTAGAATTGTATTTGCACAAAACTGGAAAGCAGATAAAATCCCGCTGGAAGGATATAAAGAAAATTTTAGAATGTGCAGAAATGAATAGATCAACATTGAGAATAAAAAATAAAGAGGAGTCGATGTATTTCAAGACATGGGATAAATTTTATGATTGGTTAGAAAGGAAATATGAATAAGGGTATAGAGATAAAATAGATAGGGAAAAGATGGGAGAAAATAATCAGAAAAATAGAAGCCCAGATGATGCCTAGGTAAAAGGAGAAAGGGGAGGGGAGGGGTAAAAGGGAAAAAGTGAGATTATTATAAAAATGTACACAAATGATGAAATAGAAATAAATATTAATCAAATAAGAAATTGAAATGAGAATAGAGATAAATAGAAAATTGGGGCTGATCGAATACCGTTCCAGACTGAACTGAAAAGGGAAACGAGAGAGAGAGGAATGGAGAAGAGAGGAGAGGGAGAGAAAGAAGAAAGGGAAAAGGAGAGGAAGAAAAGGGAGGGGAAAGAGGAGGAGGAGGAGAGAAGGCTAGAAGGGGGGGAAGAAAAGAGGAGTGGAGGAAGGGAAGGGGAAGTAGGATAGAGAAGGAGAGGAAGAATGAAGAAAGAGGAGGAGAAAGAGGAAGGAAGGAAGGGGAGGAGAAGAAGAAAGGTTGTGGTAAAATAAAGAAGGGTAAATGGTAAAAGAGCAGCCCCGAAAAAGTAAAAATTAAAAATGAAAGTTAAAAGATAAGATGAATGAAAAATGATAGATAAATGACTGTATGTGTAAATGTGTTTATGAGAAATAAAAATAAAAACTTTTTTGAAAATAAAAAATAAAAAAATAAACCCTCCCCCCTGAGTTTCTGTCCACTGACCCTCAGCCAAGAGCGGAAACGGCGGAGGGCCAGGCTGGGGGGTGGGGGGAAACAATGGCTGGGCAGCAGCCACTAGTGGGAGGAGCATGCAGCTCCCTGGGGCAGAGGGAGACCCCCCCCAATGAGGCTGGGGCCCGTCTAGTGGAGACACCCGTGGTCCAGCCTGCCAACGTTTCTACGTCTCACCCTGGAAGCCCTGATGGAGCCCGGCTGCCCTGGAAGAGGCTACGCAGGGTCAGACCTCCAGTGGAGGGGTGGGGGTGGTAATATTCCCCCCAAGATTGTGGGAGGGGGGAAATAAAGCCCCGCTTCCTCTCCAAGCGGGGGAAGAGCCTGGGGAGCAGAGAGCAGGATCCGCCTGCGTCTTAATGCCAGGACAACGTGCCGCTCCCCCCTTGAACGTCCCCACGGACAGGCACCCACGCCCGGCCTCCCTTACGCGGGTGGCTTCAGACAAGGAAAGGTGCACATTTTGGGAGAACAGGTATATGGACAGGTGCCGCATGCTGTTTTTAAACAGAACCAATTTAGGGTCCAGATAGCTTGCCTAGGGATAGCCGCAGCAGCCCCCCCCCGGCCCCCCATCTCTCCTCACAGTCACGATGGTCCAAGCCCAAGTGCGGCCCCTCCTTGCAGCTCACCCCCCTTCGCCTTCCCCCCCCGGGGGGCGCCCCCCCCCCCCCCCCCCCCCCAAGGGCGCGCGGGGGGGGGGGGCGGAGAGAGGAGAGCAGCCCCACCTTCTCCTGCTCCCCCCCCCCAGGATGGGTGCGGAGCCACCGGTGCCACCCGAACAAAGAGCCTGCCAAGAAGGAAGGAGCCGACCGAGCAGCAGGCAGCTTCTTGCAGCCGAGGGCCGACCGCAGGGGGCTGCAGCGGCAGGCAGAGTTTGTCCTCGCGGTGCTAATTATGGGCTGCTTAAACGTGCGGAGGTGATGGAGAAGGAGGTGAGAGACGCTGTTACTCTGGGAGCCTGAAATAACCTCCTCTCCTGCCTCTCTGTCAGAAGGGAGAAGCGCTTCTGGGGCCCAAAGCCCAGGGAGGCAGGGCACACCCAGGCCTGTGGCAGCTGGGAAAGCCTCCTTTCTGAGGGGCAGAGGGCAGCAGCTGCAGGTGGGCCACCTGGATGGCAAAAAGCGCCCCCCCACCCCCCCAGCAAGGCAGGGTCAGGAGGGCGCTGGAAGGGAGAGAGAGAGAGCCCTCAGATCTGGCCTCTGCCCGCCTGCTCAGACCTGGATGCTGAAAGAAAGGCGCTTTCCAAACCCCCTCATCCTTTTACTGGTTGGATCCCCCCCAGGAGTGGGAGCAAACAAACGGATCCTCCGACTGGGATGGGCTTTTGCTGCCATTCGGAGGGACAGAAGCAGCAAGGAAATCCCGGTATCTGCAGCACCTGATGAAGCTGCAAGGCTGAGCGGCCTCCAACAGGCGTCCGTGAAAGGCACAGGGCAGGAGAGCGGAGGGTCCTGAGACACATCTAGGCCCCAATCTTTAAACCCCACCCCCCACCCTCCAGCGACACTGGCCTTGGCAATGAGCCTGGCTGCTCATGCCTAATGCTGGGACCCCTTTCGGTTTGCAGGTGGCAGCCTGGCTAGCAGTTCAGCCAGAAGATCCAACTCCTGGCCTCGAGTCCTGGCCCTGCCACGCCCTCCTGACTTGGCATGAGGGAGGAGGAGCAGCGCAGGCCCCAGTGTGCTACACAGACATTCCGCTGCTATCATGAACACAACCGAAATAACCTCCGCACGCAGATCGATGGAGGATGCCAGGGTGCAGCCCAGAGACCCCTAAACAGCTCCTGAGAAGACCCAGCCCACCAGGGGAGGAACAAGCTGTCAGTTCACAAGGAGCCTTAATGCTAATGGCCAGCATGCAGCCACCCAAAGGGGCCCCCAGAAGTGTTCCCAGCTGCTGCCCCTGCTTGTTCTGGGGAAGAGGGAGCTTATGTAGCCCACGTGCCCCTTCGCCAGCTCCTCCCTCTGGGCTGAGCGCTGTTCTCCTCCTGCCAGTCCCTCGCCAAGGGAGCCCCACAAGGCAGGCCTGGCGTCCCCCCCCCCCCTTTCCTGATGTGGCTCCAGACCCGGGCAAGGGATGGCCTGCCCCCTCCCTCGGAAGAATCCCAGGGGGGACGGAGAAGAGCCGGGGAGGGACTCACGCTGGGTACTCGGGCACGGTGCCCTGGAAGGCCGGCAGGCTGCAGAGGTACTCGTTGTAAAGCCACTTCACCTTGAAGTGCAGGTTCATGTAGTCGGCGCTCCTGCACAGCCGGTGCTTCTCATGCTCTGGAGGAAAGGGGGGCGGGGGGGGGCAGAGAGTGAACAGGCTGCCAGGCGGGCAATGGGCAGCCCCAAGGCATCTTGCCAGAGAGCTGCCAAGTAGAAGATCCCATGAAGGACTCAAAGCTCTGAATTCTCCAGCCCTGAGGTGGCTTCCCCCATCACCGGCAGCCCTAAGAGGAGCAGAATCCGAAAATGAAATCAGCTTCCCCCCCAACCCCCAGGGCAATTCAGGGAAGCCTCAATTTACAACCATTCGTTTAGTGACGGTTCAAAGTTACAACCGTATTTTGAAAGTGGCTGCTTTCCACGCTTACAACCGCTGCAGCATCCTGTGATCCAAATGTGGACACTTGGCAGCTGGTTCCTATTTATGACGGCTTCAGTGTCCCGGGGTCACGTGATCACCCCCCCCATAAGTGAGGACTACCTGGAGGGGGGGGGAGCGATGAATAAGGGAACCTCTTAGAAGAATCTCCTGGATTTTGGAGCCTGACATGTGAGCAGCAACTGACGGGAGGGGACTGGCCTCCAAGTCCTCCCAAAGGGGCTTTTTTTCCAAGAGGCAACTGGACTTTCTTGTTTTTTCTTTTGGAGACATTTTGCTTCTCAGCCAAGAAGCTTCTTCAGCTCTGACTGGATGGTGGGGAATGGAAGGATTTACACTCCTTGCAGATAGCTGGCCCTTTGCATCCTTTTTAGGTCACCTGGAGGGTTATTTGTGTCCTCGGGGTCACCCGAGTGGTGCAAATGGGTGTGCAGCCTTCCTGGGACTGCTGAAGGGACTGTCTTGTAGGCAGGAGAGAGATGGTGCCGTATCCCTCTGCCTCTGCTGGCCCCTGTGACCCCCCTTTCAAACCAGCAGTGCTCCCTGTGCAAAATGTGGACTCTGCTGTCTTCCAAAGAGGGACCCTTGTCTCTGAAGTGCAGACGCTGCGTGGCCCATCAGTGCGAATGCTGTGGTCGTAAGAGCAGACACCATGGCTGTTAAGCAACCCGTGGCTTGTTCTGGCACCGTTTTGCTGAAAACTGGGAGTCTGTGCTCTTTTGTGGCAAATCTGCCGTAAAAGGAGGTCACGTGACTCTGGGAGACAGCAAAGCGGTGTAAATGGGGCTGGGCTGCTGTAGGGACTTAGGATCTGGGTAAGTCCCCCTTTTCAGGTAGGTTGTAATTCTGAAGGGTCACTAGGAGCCCGGTTGCAAGTCGAGGCCTGCCCGCATGGACGTCATTCCTACGTTCCCAAAATGCTCCTCCTCGTTACTTGAACAGCATTAAGGCACCCTTAAGCACCACCCCTCCATGACCAGCACCGGGGAAAAGCCACGGAGCTCTCCTGCAAAACGTGGCCTTGCCGCCAGTGGCCGAGAGGAGGACTCACCTTCCATGGCGTATTTCATGTCCTGAGCAAAGAGATTCCACATGACTTCTGCGCTTATCTTGCCCACCGCCAGTTCTTGGGGAAACCTGCATCCAGGGTGGGAGGAGGCGTTCAAAGGATGCCCCGTGGCCTGGGGGGGGGGGAAACGTCCCGGCCATGTCCCTGCGAGGGAGGGGCTCCCTGCCCGAAGAGATCCGAGCCAGAGTTCCTCTGGAGAAGGGCTGCCGGGGTCTCCCCATGGAGGCTTCCTGGTCCTATGCAGGCCGTGTGAAGCCTTCCCTGCCCAGCAGCTGCCCCTCCGCACAGGCCCTCTTCAGAAGCACTCTGGAGCGGCTCCTGCCTGCCTGCTCCCCCACACGCAGCCCCCAGTCCCAGGGCCACAGGCCTTGGCATGCAGGTGGGGAGGGGGCACCGGACGAGGAACCGCTCTCACCCCTCTGCTGGGCGCTAAGCGGAAGCCGCCATCTCAACTACACAGATACTGTTCCACAGACGGACAGACAGACACAGACGGACAACAGACAGGTCCTGCGGAAGGACACCACGGACAGACGGACAGCAGAGCTCCGGACGGCTGTTTGCGTGCCGAGGAGAGCGTCCCTTACTGGTTGAGGACGGGGGCGTAAGAGTTCTTGTCCTCCTCCGCGATGGAGACGATGAGCGTGATGAGTTTGGGCCAGAAGTCCAGGTTCTTGACGCTGGGACCCTGCTCCTCGGGGGGCAGCTCCTGCGCTTTGTTCTGGGGGAGACCAAGGGCCCTCAGACAAGGGCACCCCCTCTTCTTCCCCTACCCCACCTACCCTACCCTACACACCCCCCCCCCCCCCCCCCCCCCCCCCGCCCAGTGAGAGGATCTGCTAATCCCGTTTGGGCAGAGTATGGGCGCACCTCCCCCCCAGTGCTCTGCTGAAGAAGGACGCATCCCCCTCCCTCCCTCCCGTCTCTCATTGCCCCCACCCCCCTTACTCAGGAGAATCCCTTCTTGGCTACATCTTCCTTTTGCTTTTTCAGGATCAACCTTACTATGCTAGGATCAATGAGAACAGCCGTAGCCCTTGACTTATATACCACTTCACAATGCTTTACAGCCCCCTCTTAGTGGTACAGAGTCAGTATGTTGCCCCCAACAACCTGGGTCCTCATTTTACTGACCTCGGAAGGACGGGAGGTTGAGTCAACCTTGAGCCAGTCTGGATTGAACTGCTGGCAGTGGGAATGCAGAGTTTATTCTGCCATCCTGCTTTCTGACCACTGAGCCACCAGGGCTCAGAAGCTGTCCTTCTTCTGAAAGGGCCTCTTTCCTACCTCAGGGACTTGGGTGGGGATTAGACCCTCAAGACAGCCTGGCTCACCCACCTCCCCCAACACACACACACACACACACACACATGCTACGTACTGGGTCCGCCTGATACTCCCGGCTGTACAACTCGTGGCAGTTGTTGAAGATGTACTCGTAGGTGGAGTTGAGGCAGGCTCTGACGCAGCCCTTGACTACCTGACTGGCACGAGGAGGGCTCTGCAGTTCCTGGACCTGGGGAGACGGATGGGGGAGACGGGGGTGAGGAGAGCCGCTTTTGGGGGGGGGAGGGGGATGGGTTCCGATCTGTGTCCTGACCTCTCTTCTCCGGGCAGCCCTGATGTTCAGGACACCCCGGGTTGTCCCACACCATGTTCCCCAGAAGGTTTTGGGCCCCCATGGGAGCCTGGATGCAAAGCCCAGGTCAGGAGTTCCTCCCAGGGGCTGCCCCAAGACTCTGGCCCAGAAGGGGCCTGCAGGGAGGGGCCCTCTCCCACTGCCACACCCCTGTCACCCGGGGGCCTGGTGTTTCCATGCTAGGCGCCTTCGAGCTCCTGAAGGCCCATTGTCACATCCTAAAAAAGTCTTCCCTCCTTCCCCTGGAGGAGACCCCCCTCCAAATGGGTCAGAATATCATAGAGTCTTAGGACCTGGAGGCCTTCTAGTATAAGCCCCCCCGAGGGCCCATCTCAATGGGTACTTCCCCCATGCAGTGCAGCCCTCCACCCCACTGCCAAATTCCCAGCCGCCCTTCCTCTTTGGGAGGGGAAAGTCCTTGGCCCACTGCCTCCTGCAGCCGGAATGACCTGGCCAGCCTCTGCCAGGCAGCCTCCTTAGGCCGAGCCCTCCGCGGAGAAGCTTTCAGCCCTTCTGGGGGATCTTCAGCAGGCGGAAGAGGAAGAGGGCCGAGGGGGCTGCGCTAAATATATCCAGGCGCCTGACCTACAAAGCCGACTTGACAGTTTGGGGGGGGGGGGGGGGGGGGGGAGGGCAAATGTTCCAGGCGCAAACGAGGCCCCTTCCTGACAGGGGGACGTGAGCAGTTTGGCTTGTCAGAAATCCTTTCACAGGCTTCCCATGAATTGAAGAGAGACAAACACACATTTCACGCGCAATCAGCCGCCTCTCCTCCTCCTCCTCCTCCTCCTCCTCCTCCTCCTCCTCCTCCTCCGTGTAAGACGACGGGCCTTGTTCCCGGCTCCCTTCCTGCCTCCAGAGGTGCCCCCTCCCCCCCACGAGAATTCGACTAATTGGCAAGCCAGTGCTTGGCAGCCTGCCAGTGCCACAGGCAAGCTCATTGCCCGGCTGTCAGGGAACAGAGGCGGCAGCAGGTTGACCACGGCAGAAGAGGGATTTCTGGCCGGATTTGCAGAGTTGTTGCTGCTGGACATGAAGGAAAGTCCAGGGAGACGGAGGAGAGGGAGATTGGGCTAAGTCTACACGAGGCCGCTCTTCCCCGGGAGGAGTTCTTCCTGCCTTTCACGGAGGAGGGAGGGAGGGGGGGGGCATGAGGGGTCACGTCTCAGAGGCGGACGGAACTGAAAAGGGGTCTCTGCACCAACAGAAAAGGAGGAGGCCAGGCTGCACTGGAACAAGGGGCCTTCCTGCGCAGGAACAGAGGAGGAGGGGACGCAAGAAAAAACATAATTTCCTGTCCTCGAAAAAGCACCCAAAATTGAAATCGAGGTTGCTTCAGAGGGATGGGAGAGGGGGAACATGGGAGCCCTTCACGTATGGGGCATAGCTTAGGCGGCTGACTTGCTGGGGGGGGCACCTGGAGGGGCCAGGGCAGCCTCTGAACTTTGAAAAAGGGTGGGTGGGTGGGTGGAGGGCACACAGACCCACACTGGCGGAGAGCTGGGCAGAAACAGGAGGCTGCCCCTTTCCTGCTCCCTTCCAGGTGTGAGCAGCTGGGGTGAGAGGAGCTGGGAGTGCCGAGAGGTGGTGGGGAGGCCTCCCACAGGCCAGAGCCCCGCCCAGCCCAGGTCAGGGAATCCCCCTCCTTCTCCCCCCCAGCTTTCAAAGTCCTGCGAGGGACCCGTGGTTTGGGGAGGCTGAACCCCAAAGTTCTGGAGCCCCAAGAACCTGAAAGGACGGTCCTACCTTCATTCGGAAGAAGGTGATGCTGGTGAGCAGGTCCACGGTGGACTTGAGGTCCTGCAGACGCTCCCGGCTGCTGGCGGGGAAGTTGTTCTGTGGGCAGGAACACAGAGGGGCTTTTCAAGGCCTGGGGACCTCTGGGAGAAGCCCACCAACCCTACAGCGGAAGGAGGGACCCAATCCCAGGAGAAGCTGTGGCTGAAAGGCCGGGGAGGGGGCTCAAGGCAGAGGAGCTGGTGCAAGCCAGCCTGGGGGGGGGCAGCGTTTGCTCTCTAGACCCCCCTCCCCTTCCTCCTCCTGCCTACAAAGCAGCAGAAGGGGCGGGGGAGGAAACCCGACCTGTGGGGGCTTGAGCCATCCTGTGATGAGCCGGGATACGCTTCCTCTACTGACGCACACACACGCACACGCACACGCACACACGCATACCCCTTCCATAATCGGGTTATATGACATCTGAATGAGGAAGGTGCAGAAATCTTGCCGGGGTGGGGGGTGGGGGGCAGAGAAAAAGCCCCCACCCCACCCCCATCAGAGTTTCCGAGCTCCTTTCTCCTGCTGGATGACTGTCTCAGGTGGAAAACGTTCGCAATTCCCGACCGGCCAGGGCGAGTGCCCACCTCAGTAGATGCAACCGTTCCTTGCAAGGACTCCTTCTGCCTTGTATCCGAGGTGTCCGTTTCCTCCCCTTGGCCTGTTTCCCTCCCCCCTTCCACGCTTCTTTCAGGAACTTAGACCCCTGGGACTCAGGAGGTCATTCACGGCCTTTGAGGGAGTCAGGGGCTCTTGGAGGCCCTCCCCACCCCCCACCCCCCGGTCAGCAGTTCATGAACCTGCAGGCAAGTGTTCAAAGGCCATTTACAGGGAATCCTTGACCTAGGACCACAACGGAGCCCAGAATTTATGTTGCCAAGTGAGATATTTGTTAAGTGAGTTTTGCCCCATTTTACCACCTTTCTTGCCTCAGTGAATCTCTGCAGGGGTTAAGTTAGTAACTTGGTTGTTAAGTGAATCTGGCTTCCCCACCTTGACTTTGCTTGTCAGACGGTCGCAAAAGGGGGATCACGTGACCCCAAGACACCGTGACCGTCATAAAAATGAGCATGACCATGGGGATGCTGAGATGGTCGTAAGTGTGAAAAGAGTCCTAAGTCTCAGTGCCGCCTGAACAGCCACTAAACAAACTGTTATGAAGTCAAGGACCACCTGTATATAGTGCAGAGGCCGGCGTGCAAATCCCCTTCACGGTGGGCCAGGGTCCTGAATGCCAGGCCAGGGAAACGCAGAGCCACCAGCTTGCCCCCCTGGTGGTCTCCCATCCCCCCCCTCTAGCCCAGCCAGCCCCAGCAGCACCAACTCTGCTTCTGGTTCCCACCCAGCAATCCAGGCTGGAGGTTCAGCTGCCTGGCCTCCACGGATGGACACCAACCCACCTCGCTGGTCATCTCGCCTTGATGGGCTCCACCCCAGTGGTGAAACCCACATTTTTTACTACCGGTTCTGTGGGTGTGGTTTGGTGGGCGTGATCTGGTGTGGCTTGGTGGGTGTGGCAGGGGAAGGATACTGCAAAATCTCCATTCCCACCCCACTCTGGGGCCAGCCAGAGGTGGTATTTGCCGGTTCTCCGAACTGCTCAAAATTTCCACTCCCAGTTCTCCAGAACCTGTCAGAACCTGCTGGATTTCATCCCTGCTCCACCCAAAGAAGCTTCCAATGGAAGCTGAAACCAGCCATGAATTCAGTCGGCGGGAGGGGAGGGGAGGGGGGGGCACCAGAGCCTGGCTTAGGAATGGGCTGGAGACCACCAGAGACCTTCCTGCTTCCCCTGGCTACAGAAGGAGCCCGTTTTCTGAACCATAAAGGCCCAGCAAAAGCCAGCTCTGCTCAGTGCCAAGGTGGGTAATCCTGAATAAGATGGCCGTGGTTTGCAAAAGATCCTGGTTCCCCTGGCTTCTCTTTTTGGGTCAGCCAGGACCCTTCTCTCCCCACCCCCATGCTGGACAAAACCCCAAAGCCAGGCACCCCTCACTGCGTCCCCCAAAGGTGCACGCCAGCACTGAGGAGCCCCGGGGGAACCAAGGCCTGGCCTTTGATCAAGGGGGAAGGAAGGGGTGGGGGTCCGTTTCAGGCAGGATGAAGCCCGGCCAGTGGGTGACAACGGCCGCTCGGTTCCCTCTGCCGCCAGCAAAGCCCTCTGGATTTCCTCTTCCAAAGCAGCCTGTGAGCAGAAGGCAAGGCAGCCAAACCAGCCGCTTTCCAGAGAGAGAAAATCCCTCCCTCACCCCCCCCCGCCTGAGTGTGAAAATAATTAGTGGCAAAAGCCTTCCCCCCTTTTGCTACCTGAGACCAAACCTGTTGGGGACAATCAATTAAGAGCTCCCTTATTCAACAGAGTCTTATCGTTACAAGCAAGGCTTAATTCGGCTCAGCTCTCTCCTGGCACTCACATCCAATTACTGGGCAAGTGGACGAAGAAACAAGCCTCTTATCCAAGCATTCAGCACTTTTTCCCACCACGAACGATGCCTGCAATTCCCAGCGGGCCTTCCCCATATCCTCCTAGCCAAGGTGGGGTGAGGGTGGGGAATGGCAAGAAGGGAGGAAGAGGGCTTCGGTCCAGCCTGAGCGTAAGTAGGAGTGACCTTGAGATGCCCCTCTGACCCTTCCCTCCGGGAGAGGCACCAAAGCAGGACCGACCCCAGCCAAGGTGGTTTCTCCGCTCTTATGGCCACGATGCCGTTCCTAACGCAGGCTCTGCTCTGGGTCACTCACTTCTAATCTTGAAGGTACCACCGTTCCCCCCGTTGTTTCGCCTGCCAGAGCCACTCTGAGAACTGCTCGGCTTCCTCAGGTCCACAAACAGGGAAGGCCAAGAGAGCACAATCCGAACTAAAGTTGACATCACCTCATTCGTCTATGGAGACTCTCATCCAGATCACTGTTCTTCTCCATAGGTGCTTTTTCAAAAGGCAACTGGACTTTCTTGGGTTTTCCTTGAGGACGTTTGGCTTCTCATCCAAGAAGCTGAAGAAGCTTCTTGGATGAGAAGTGAAACCAGGGGTGAAATGCTCCCGGTTCAGATCGGATCGCCTGATCCGGTAGCAATGGCGGAGGGTGGTTCGGAGAACCGGTAGCAAAAATCCCTGCCCCCCCTGTTTGCTTTCAGACATTTCATTACCCAACTAGATGACATCATCCATTTGAGTGACTATGGGGACTGCTCCCTCTTTATACACTCTACAGAAACTTTGCCTACCCATTTTGAGGGGGGGGGGGGGGCAATCAAGCAGAAAACATTATCCTAAACAAGGTTCTGACAGGCTCTGGAGAACCGGTAGCGGAAATTTTGAGTAGTTTGGAGAACCAGCAAATACCACCTCTGGTTGGCCCCTGGAGTAGGATGGGAATGGGGATTTTGCAATATCCTTCCCCTGCCATGCCCACCAAGCCACGCCCACAGAACCCATAGGGAAAGATTTTGAATTTCACCCCTGAGTGAAGCCTCTTCAAGGAAAAGCCAAGAAAGTCCAGTTGCCTTTTGAAAAAGCACCTTTGGAGCATCACATCGTCCCAAGAGGCAACTAATCTGATTTGATGAGTGAAATGCACTGTCCCCCCCGCCCCTCCCCCAGCCAAGTCATGCTGGCCATACTCCAAGGCAGAAGCCGGTGTGATCCCAGGCCGTGCGAGTCCTCCTGATGACCTGGATCAGCTCAGGATTGTCCTGGAGACCATGAACTCCGGAGCCACTTCAGACTCTGAGTCAGGGAAGGCCCACCGACCAATCCCGCTACAGCATTCAGGGCCACAGCATCAGGAGGAGATCCCTAGAGACCAACTTCATCAACAGGATCGATCTGCAAGCCGCAAGCCCCCTGGATGATAAGAATTCCTTTCCCTGCTGGGGACTCACGGCTGGTGCCCCACTTGAAACCCAAGCGTGCACGTCGTCTAAAGGGGCACCCTCAACACAGCGTCTGCCCGGGTCTTGGTTACGCATGCCAGGCCAGGCCTCTCATCCCTCAAAGGATCAGATATGAAGAGAGATTTATCTCAGGTTGACCACATGGCTTCCAGTGACCAGGCACTAAGGCTGAGTCCATAAGCAGTTCTGGAAGACGGAACTAGAACCAAGCACCAGATATGCTCTCTCCACGAGTGGTCTGTCACACCTCCTCTTCCCACCACAACTGAGAAGTTGCAGACGGCACCAGGGCTCCCCAGCCCATCTCCTACAAACCCTCCACCTCAGTGGGTCAGGGCCCCCACCCCCTTCTCCATGGAGGCTGTAGGGAGTCTCACAGCACAAGGAGGGCCACTTGGTTCCTATCGCCAGTCCAACCTCAACCTCCCTCCTCTCTTGCCATGCTCCACCTTTCTCGGTCACACATTCCTGGTAGCTGTGGCTGGATTACTGTGGATCGGTAATCTCCCCCATAGCTGCACAACTGTTCCAGGTGCAGCCAACACCTGGAATCTGACGCCGAGCGCTCCCTCTCCACCTGCAAGAATGATGTTCTCCAGCCTCCTGGAGGCCCAGGCCTGATGTTTCCCCAATTGATGCCTCCACCCCCCATCTAAACCACATCTCCATAACCAGCACTCACGTATGGTGCTATCCAGTTCTTGCAGCTTGTCACAAACACGCAAGTTGTTCTGGCCTGTCCTTAAAAAACCCGGTCAGCAGCTTCCATGTTCCTCCTCAGCTGCCCTTTCTCCAAGCTGAACCTCCTGCTCCTCCCGTCTCTCCACACAGAGCAGAGTTTCTGGTCCTCTGACCAGCCTTGCTGCCCTTCCTTGAACTTTTCCAGTTTTCACGCACGCTTCTTTAAATGTGGGGCCCAGAGGTGGACACGGGACACCTGGCCAAAGCAGAATAAAGTGGGATGATTCCTTCCCAGGGTGGGGAAACACCCTTCTGTGGCTCTCGCTGTTTTGTAGCCGCATCACACTACATTTCGCATTCATCCACATTCCACTTCAAAATTTTGCAGGCAACTCCGGGCACAGGATCTTCCTCGCAGCAACCCTCCCTCGGCCAGGCGACCCTCTTCTCTGACGGCGCAGGCTGCTCTTCCCTGAGGCGAGATGTTAGCGCTCGTCTGGGGAATTTCATGACGGTCGGCTACTCGCAGCTTATTTCGCTAATGTATCAAGATAATTTTGAATTTCGTGTTTCCTGTCTTCTAGGTCATCTGCAAATTGGATAAGCATTCCTTCCTTCTCTTCCTCCAGGTCATTAAAAAAATACTGACTCTCTCTCTCTCTCTCTCTCTCTCTCTCACACACACACACACACACACACACACACACACACACACACAGTAGCCTTATAACTTATTAAGGAACAAAATAAGATGTTGCTTATATGGACTTGGCAAATCCAGTAAGAATGGCTTGGGGCAGTCTCCCCTCGAAACCAGTCTGATTTAGGGCCCGGGGGTGGTGGTGGGGGGAGTGATAGGCAGGGACGGTTGTGAGCCCCATTTCTTTCCTGAAGGAGAGGCTGCCGGATGTCAGCTCTGCTCTTCCTCAGGATGCTCCTGGATGGCCTCTGGATGGTCTCCAGAAGACCAGAACTCACCCAAGGTTTCCCACCCCCACTCTGTTTATTTTATTTTATGTTATTGTTTTATATTTATTTAAAATAAACAAACAAAGAAACAAATAAATAAACACATTATTGCCCGCTCATCTTACCATAGGGTAACTCTGGGCGGCTTACGTAACATTACATATCCAGTTAAAACATAAAAAGTTAAAATCAAACGTTGAAGCCAAGGACAGCTGGGGAGGTCAGGTGTCCTGAATCGTTTCCATAATGCAGGCAAATGTTCTGCCTGCCTCTTTACCCAGAGCAAAGGAAGCAGCAACGCCCAGGGCCACCAAGGAAGCCCTTCGGAGAAACGGGCAGGAAGGCCGGGGGCTGCTGGGAGCCCAAAAACCCGGCTCCGGGCCCACCCTGGCCAAAGGCGCCCTGAGAGGCTTGGGGACTGGGGATCGCGGCCCCTCACTGGGCGGGCCCTGAAGTCAGGAGAGACTTTGCCCAGACCTTAGGGGGGAATGCGAGGCACCTACCCTGTACATGGACAGGTCAATCCGGAGAGAATTGTGCAGCTGGTCCAGCAGTTTCACGAATCGCTCTTTCTGTCAGGCGCGGGAGAAAAGAGAGCAGGCGTCAAAAGGGATTTCTTTTGCTATTTCTTGGGAGGGTCTGAAAATGGGTCCCCCCCCCAAGGAAAGGCATCTCGGGGGGGGGGGTCACCAATAAGATCGGCCAATCTGAGGGGGAATTCAACTCAGGTTGAAAGGCCGAGTCTTCCCTGAGGAGCAGCTGCCCCTCCAGTAGGTCGTGTTGCCAAGTCCAAGCTCAGAAAAGTGTGGGGCGGCCCTACTTCTGAGCAACCCCCGAGGGTCTCAGATGCACTTTCCGTATCCCAGCCTCACAGGGGGGTGGGTGGCTTCCTTTTCTGCTCAGGCCCGCAGGCTCCCCCGGCTGTGCAAGCATCACAAGGTCCATTTAGTTTCCTTGATGAAAAGGGCCCCTCCGGCACCCCAGCAGCCCAACCCCTGCGGGCAGCAGCAGCCACGGGTTCCTCCCGCCCCCAGAAAGGGACCCCGGCTGAGGCTGAACTGTGGGGGGACTCACCCCAAAGTTTGAGGCCGAGAAGCGGTCGGAGGCAGAGACCTGGGTGGAGGCCGTGGTGTGGGCATAGTAAGCGTTGATGTTGGCCAGCAAGGTGCTCATCACGGCCGGCACTCCGGGGCACATGTATTTGGACGAAAGACACGCAAAATGCCTGGAGGGGGGGAGCAGAGGCAACCGGCGTCAGGCAGGGGAAGCCACAGGGCAGGAAGCAGCCACACCGGGGCCTTCTCTGAACGGCTCCCTGATCCCCCTGGCCACAGCCACCTGCCCTGCCCTTCCCCTCCCCGACCCACAGAGCCATTGGAGGCTGCGCCAAGCTCAGTGGGCGCCAAAGCCACCTCACACCTGCAGGCGGCAACCCTGACAGATTCTGCTGTTGCTGATGAAAGAAAGCTGAAGTGAGACACCCCCCCACAGCAAAGCCCCCTCCCCTGCTCCAATTCTACCCCCTGTTGGACAGTGTGCAGAAGCAAGAAAGTGGCACTTGGGCCCCTTCTTTGACAGCCCCCCCCCCCAGCCTCGGCCTTCCTTCCAGGTGTTCCCAATGGTGGGGAAATCAAGCCCAGAGCCAAACCTTTTCCTCCCTGGGCCCCAGGCAAAAGCAGGGATGGCCCACCTCTATCCTCCCTGGGACAGGGACCCCAGGGTAGCCCTATTCCCAATCATGCCCTCCCTCGCCTGGAAGGGCCAGCTCTGTTACGGAGGATCGGCTCCCTCCCTCCTGACCTATCCTGCAAGGAGCCCCCCTCCCTTGTTCATACTGGTTTGTGCTGACTTTCATCAACATGCCCCCCCCACCCCCAGCCCAAATGCTGGCGAGCCCACGTTTTGGGGATTCTGGCTTTCTTTTCTTGGCCCTTTCTGGGGCACACCAACAAGGCCATTTCCTTCTGGACGATGGCAGGATGAGCCCAGAGGAACTAAGGGGCCGAGCAGCCGAGCAGGAATCCTGCAGCCTCAAGAGGAGGAAAAACTGCCCCTCTGTTGCTGGCACCCGGCAGCTCCGAGCCCCTCCCCGCTGGTTGGGCTCATCTCCTGCAGCTCCGGGGTTGAGGACAAAGGGTCAGCCGAGGTGAAGAACCTCTCCACCCTCCAGGGTTTAGGAATCAACCCCCCCACCCCACCCCCAGGCTGGCTTGGCTCCATCAAGGCTGAGCCTGTCCCTCGGAGGCTGGCAAAGCCGCTTGGCGCAGGCGGCACCCGGGACTGAGGCCGAGGGCCGGGTGTGGTCGGGGACTCACGTCATGGCTTGGTAGATGGATTCGATCCCGTAGCGCATGGCAAACTCATCCACGATCTCCTGGCCGATCTCTTCAAAGTAGACCTTCCAGGCGTCGTCTCCTTTGGCCTCGGGGATCTTCACCACGCCGTTTCCTTGGACGTCCGTCAGGTGGTGGAAGAGGTTCTGGAAAGGAGTCCCCAAGAGGGTCTCAGGAAAGGGCCCGACCAAGGCAGGGGGGAGACCCAGACACGTTCCTTGACTGCCCCCCTCTCTCCCTCCCACCAGCCCAGGTATGGCTCTTGCTCTGCGCTTCTCCTCCAGGGCTGACTCAGTTGGCTGCCATTTCTAAGTAGCCCCTAGAGCCCCTCGTGTGGCTTTGCCCACCACTGACTGACCCCCTACTTTTAGGGTGTCCCCATGTCGGCCCTGCTGCCTGGAACCTCTGGGAGCTCCCAGCTGCTCTGGCTCCGGGGCTGGTGTCATCTGCTCCTGAGCTTTGGCCAGATGCCATGGGGGGGTGGGGGAGGGGGGGGCAAGGGTGACGATGGAGAGCTTTCAGCCAGACCTCCTCTCACTACACAACACTGGCCTCCTCCCTGGCTCTCCGTCTGAGCCTTCGGAACATGAGGGGCCCTGGGGGGTTCCCTGGGGCTTTTCTTGCAGGCGTTTAATGGTGTCACTAGCACTGATGACGGTCTCTAGTTTGGGTCATGAAACATCTGTAAAGCTCAGAGACCACCAAGGACCCCTCACTTCAGCCCTGAGCGACAAAGGTTCTCTTTTACGGGTACCTTCAGAACATCTCCGCCTCTCCTTCCTCCCTCAGACCTCACCTTCTTTACTGCTCACCTGTGAGGCTACACCTGTAAAACTGTAAAGCTACATCTCTATACTTTAAAACTGGACAACATCCTTGCCTTTTTCTGGAAAAGGTAACCCAAGACTGGTCAGAGGGCCAAACCCACCAGAATTGGGGGTGTGGGGGTGGGTGTCCCACACTAACAGAAGGGAATTATCTGCCCCCTCCAAACCTTCCCTTCAGGAGCCCCCAAGAACCTCCTTCCCTCGTGGAAGTTGCCATGAGCCAAGGGGGACGAAGCCAGGCGTTCTCAGAAGTGGAGGGAGCTTCTTCAGCAAAGGGGGATCCCCATGTGGACCCCCTCTTCATCCCCAGCTGGCCGCCATGCCTACCTCGTGAAGGCAGGTGTACTGGACGTGATAAGGAGCCACCTTCTCTTCGCCTTTGATCTCCACGCTGATCTGCAGCCGAATGGCGCCCGAGACGGCAGATTTGTCCGTCCTCTTTTCTAGAAGGAAGACCCCCACGTTCTCATCTCTGCCAGCCAGGACTGATGGAAGGCCCACCTGGCCACTCTCTGCCCCTTTCAGGGGACCAGGCGGGCTCTACAGACCTGTTGGCAGCCGGTAGCACATGGGCTCCAGGCCACCCGTCTGCCCTGGGGCAAGAGGGGCTGGAGAAGGCAGCTGGCCACAAGAAGGGTGTTGTGCCCCTGTGGCCTCGTTGGCATGAGGCCAGGAATGGCAGCTCCAACCCCCTCCTCTCCTTTCTTCTCCTGGCTTTGCCTTGGGAGGGCTGGGACAGGATGATGGATTCCACAAGTCTTAAGTGCCAAGTCTGGGGAGCCCTGGGCTATGGGGATCTTAATGTGGGGGTGGGGGGGAGGTCTGGCCTCTGCTGTTTCCTCCCTGGAGGGGTTCCAAGGTTGCCAGCCTCTTTCCTCAACCCCCTACTCTGGCTGGAGATTCCACCACAACTGGTTTGCAAGGGGGCAGTCTGGGGCCCCATTCTCTAGGGTCCGAGTAGTATTCACTTTTCTTTTCTGAATGAGACCCTCCCCCCGTCTCTTCCCCTTGAAACCTTTCTGCTGCCTCCGCCCAGCCGGGCTGCTTTTCTGACTCCTGCCAGGAAGTTCCCCCTCTGAGGCCTGGGACAGTAAGGAGTTCTTGGTCGAGTTGGGGGGAGGGGTATCTTCACCATCCCAGCACTGGACTCTGCCTCCTCCTCCGATGTCCCAAACTCCCCCCCCTCCGTCCTTCTCAGCAAGGCCGCCCCAAAGCCAAGGACCTCCCTGCTGCCTCTGTGGAAGCACTCCGGCCCTCCCCAGTCGCCCCCAATCCCAAGGGATCCCCATCTGCTCTTCTGCCAAGCTCCTGCGGACAGGAAGGACTCACCCAGGTTGTACCAGACGTCCATCTCTCCACTCAGCGTCCGGACTTCAATGATGGTCTGGCCCAAAAAGTCATCCGACTCCCTCTTCAGCCGCTGCTTGACCCGGGACTTGATGTCGTCGTCTTCATCCCAGACGCGCACTTTGATCCGATCGGAGGAGTTGTGGCACTCACTGCAGGGGCCAAGGGGGGGGGGGCGGACAGAAAGGTCTGTGCTCTTTCCTGTCCAGGTCCCAAGGTAGCCATAGGCAGGCAGGGAGGCAACAACACCCCCCAGCACAGCCCCCAAGCAATCCAGGCCCCTCCGGGCTCAGCAAGCTGCCTCTTCTCGGGTTTTGGAACCCCAATTTTCGGGTAAGGCAGCTGAGAGGTGGGGGGGGGGACAGGCTGCAAAGGCCACAAGCTGTGCTCAGAGGGCCCCAAGCAGTGGGGAAAACCAGCCACCAACTGGGAAGGGAGAAGCTTTCCTAAGCGTGAGACAGTTCAACGTAGAGAAAAGCAAAGCCTTACACTTAGGCAAGAAAAATACCCCCAAATACACACACAGACTGGGTGAAACCAGGCTTAATAGCAGTAACTCTGAGAGGGATCTTGGAGTCTTAGTGGACAACCAATTAAATATGAGCCAATCATTTGTGGCGGCAGCCAAAAAAGCCAATGCAATCCTACGTTGCATTAACAGAGGGATACAATCAAGATCGAGTGAGGTACTAATACCACTCTATAAAGCCTTAGTAAGGCCCCACCTAGAGTACTGCATCCAGTTCTGGTCATCATACTATAAAAAAAAATGTTGAGACTCTAGAAAGAGGAGAGAAACCAGGATGATGAGGGGCCTGGAGGCTCAAACATATGAGGAACGGTTGCAGGAACTGGGCCTGGCTAGTCTAGTGAAGAGAAGAGAAGGACCAGGGCAGACATGGGAGCAGTCTTCCAATATTTGAGGGGCTGCCAGAGAGAGGAGGGGGTCAACTTATTTAACAAGAAACAACGGATGCAAACTAATCAAGGAGAGAAGCAACCTGGAATTAAGGAGAAACTTCCTAACAGTGAGGACAATTAACCAGTGGAAGAGCTTGCCTTCAGAGATCGTGGCTGCTCCAGGGGGCTGGACTAGATGACCCACAAGGTCCTTTCCAACTCTGTTAATCTATTATTGTCTGTTACCCCACCTCTGAACGGTCCCAAGGCCCTTGGGCAGCTCTTTCCCCTCACCAACCCCTTGGGGAGTGAGTTGGGCTGATGGCACGCAGGGAGCTTCAGCGGATGAAGGTCTCCCAGTCCTAAACCAACGTTTTCCCCTTCGTGCCATCTTGGACTTAAACCTGGTGGCTGCTTCTGCATGACCTTGGCGGAAACTTGGAGAAGGCGGAAGAGAAAACCTGGTGGCTGGGCATTAGTCGATACAAAAAAAGAAATGACCCCCTCCCAGAACTCTGCCCTTGTGCGGTTGCTTCCCGGGATGCACCCGGAGAGATAGGAGCAGCCCGGCGATGCTTGGGGGAAACCTAGTTCCCAGGTGCTCCCTGCGTGGGAGATGCTCTGGGGCCGAGGAAGGCAGGCGGAGAGGCCGGGCTGAAGCCGGCTGCTCTGTGGCCACGCAGCAGGGACGCCTCAGCCCAGCGGTGGCCCTCTCTGGCTTTTCTATGAAGGGGCCGCCTGTTGCCAAGCAACCCAAATAACAGGAGGAAGAAAGTCAGAAAGTGGGTCATGCACAATGTGCTGAGCCTTGTCAATCAGAGCGGTGCTCAAACGCTCTGACCTCCCACTGCCAGCCGTCAGACCCCATCTGGCTCCTGAGAGACCCTGTCCCAGGTGGGCCTCTGAGGCTCCGAAAGTCTTCCCATCCGGCCTCCCCTTGCGCCGGGCTCGGCCCCTCCTGGCACTGGTGGCCCCCATTTGGCCAGTTAAAGGTTAAACCACATTTAAAAGATGGGGGGGGGGAGGAGAGGTAACCTGAGACCCCTGAGTGTCGCCATTTCTGACAGGAATGAAGGGGCTCCATTTTGCTTGAAGTCTTCAACCTACAACCACAACTGAGCCCAACATTTCTGTTGTTAAGTGAGACATTTGTTCAGTGAGTTTTGACCCATTTTGCAACCTTCCTTGCCACAGTTGTTATGTGACTCAGTGCAGTTGTTAAGTGAACCGGCTTCCCCCCTGGAGGCAAAAGGGGATCACGTGACCCTGGGACTCTGCAACTGTCATAAATGTGAGTCACTTGCCAAGCCTTTGAATTTGGATCACGTGACCATGGGGATGCCGCAAAGGTCGTAACTGTGGAAAACGGTCATAAATTCCTTTTTTCAGTGCCATTGTAACTTTGAACGGTCACTAAACGAACCGTTGTAAGTCGAGGTCTACCTATATTTGGCCACGTAGACCAACCTCTGAATTGGGGCTCCAGCAGAGTTCTTAATGGGAACCAAATGCAGCTGGAAGCCCAGAGCGGCCGTCTCCTATCCAACAGGGGCCCCTCCAGCCTGGCTACGCAAGGGCAGCCCTGGATCCCGCCTCCATCGCTACCGGATCAGGCGATCCGGTCCAAACCGGGAGCATTTCACCCCTGGTATGTGCCCTACCAAAATGGAAGAGAGACCCTCCCGCCCGTTCACCCCCCACCCCCCTTTAATCTCACTGCTGCAGGCCTGTGAGAAGCCCGGCTGTGATGGGAAGATTCTGGAAGGAAGGGCAGGAGAGCGTCAAGGGGTCTTCCAGCCCCCTTAATCCCTGGTGAAGCGTTCAGACCCTCCTGTCAATGTTTATCCCAGCCGAGGAGGAGACGAGAGGGGCTTCTCTGCAGCAGATAATAGATCTTGGCTCACAATCATCAACCAATTGGATTGTTATCTACGCTGGAGACCTTGGGAAATGCCCCTAATCTTCCCCGCCAGAGCCAGACAATTACATCTCCCGCCATCTGGGGTTTGGCCTGACTGCTCCCTGATATTCTGGAGACAGTTTTGCCAGGGGGCTTCTGGGGGTGGACCCTGGCCTGATGGCACACAAAATTTCCCCCATGAGATGGGTTTTAGGGCTGGGGGCCCTGCACACCTCTCTGCAGCCCGGCTACAGCCCCAGACTGTTTGTCTGCTCTCCAAACTCTGTGGGGCCTCACAGAAACGGCCTCTGACATGGCCCTGACCTTGGGGAATGGGAGCACAGAGCCCACCCGGCTGAAAGCATCCAGGTAGGGAGAAAAGGAGAGGACGAGGGAGGTTCTTATGGACCTTCTGGGCAGGCAGAAGATAGAGGCCGGGTCTTTCTGCCTCGGATGACCAAGGCTACAGAGGGACATGCAGAGGGATGGGGAGAGGGGGCAATTATCCTAGCATCCACTGAGAACCTGACTCTGCCGAGAGTCAGAAGCCCAGTTGTCCCTTGAGAACGACTGCCATCGGCCGAAGGTAGAAGAACGAGCAAAGGTTGCTGCTAATGTTGGCCGAAGGAAGGAGAGAAGGAAAGTGGGTCCTGGGTGACCCCATTGCCCTTGAATCTGGGGAGGAGCAGCAACCGAGGAGCAGAGGCTGCCTAAGGGAAGAGGTTCGATCCAAGGGTTCCGGCTCTGAAGAGACACAATGGGGAATCCTGCAGAATGAGCAAAGCAAACAAAACGATCCCCCTTGGGAGGAAAAGCGAGAGAAATTCTCTACTGGAGGCAGAGAGGAAAAGGAGCCTAAAGACCATCCCCAGAGACGGGAGGGATTCTCTCAGGAGAGGCGGTAGGGAGAGATGCTGACCCGACATCCCCCTCCCCAGCCATACCGGAGGATGAAACGGCTCACAGCCTCCCCCCCCCCAAAAAACCTCTGCCCCGGAGGTCGGGTGGGGGCCCAGTGGTTAAAATGCTAGGCAGCCCTCCAGTTCCAGCACCCAACCCGGGGAGAGCCAGGCCAGCCGTTTCCTTTACTGTTTGCCACTCTCCTCGACCGGTCCCAGCGAAACCTCCGAGGGGGAACTGCTGTTCCAGGCGCCACTGAGGAAGGGTAACGGCCAGCAACGGTGGGATCAGGCGCTTGCTGGCTGGACCAGTTGCCAGCAATTGCCTGTAGCTCTTCCAAGACCAGCCCAGTGGTTTCTCCCGCTCTCCAGCTGTGCTTTCCACATCTGCCTTTCGACTCCGCTCGGTCTTGCCTGGTGAGCTGTTTTTCTTAGCAGCCGAGACTGTGACCCGCCTTGCTGATATCAGAGCCACCTTCGCTCCCCCCCCCCCGCTGTGTCAATTGTGGATTTTTTTAGCCTAAATCTTTCCCTTTCCCCTTGATGTGTTCACAATGAGCTCTTCTTCCCTTTCAGACTAACATCTGCCTGCGTTTCTCAAATTGGTAGAACGGGAGCCTATTATATTGCGATTCCGGTTCTGTCCTCCTTATCAAGTCCTCGCAGTAGATGGGGATAATGGGCCTCCCTCCCTCCGGAATCCCTCTCCCTTTCATGGCTTTCTGCTCACCCTGAGGAACAATCAAACGGAGGAGCCCTAATAGGGCCACTTTGGGGGGGCCTTGCTGTAACCCTTCTCCTTCCTGCATTCTCTCGCTCTCCCCATTGTCCTTCTGATGGCAGCTCTGTAATCTCGCCTTCTTTGAAGGTCTCCCTCTCCACGTGAGCCTTCCTTGAAGACCTGAAGGAAACGTTGCTTGCCAAGGATTTAGGGCCGGGGTCCATCAATTCGCATCCTCTGGCATCTCCATCAGCAGAAGGACCCTCCCTTCCTCAGTTTTCAGGCCGTAGTGCACCTTTAAACAGTTCAGTGGGTATTTCACCTGCACCAGGTACCCTTCCTCCCTTCCCCTGCCTGAGGGATGCGAAGGGCTAGATGGCTCGCCTTGCAACGGCACGTGGGAATGAGCTTGGGAGAAAGTCTGGGCCCAGACAGCCTCCTAGAGAACGGTCAGGTAAGAGGCAGCTTAGCCACAAGAGGCTCTCCCAAAATTCTCAGGAGGTAAAGGAAGCGGATTCTGTCAATCTTGCTGTGCAATAAAAGAGAATTAGTTCAACTGGTTGTGTTTCATGCTTGATCTACCTGGTAAAGCTGCCCCACTTTGGAACAGAAGTTCTGGTTTCCTAGTTTCCTACCAGACAGAAAAGTCTTTTGCTCCTTTACTTCAGACCGTATGAAAACTCATCTGTCCGTTGGAAACGAGAGACGAGCATTTTGCTATCGCTTTTTTCCAGGTTGAGTTTCAGAGTTTCTTCTCCTGGAAGGTTGTTTTGATTGGTTACAGAGGTGGTATTCAGCCGGTTCACACCGGTTCAGGGGAACCTGTAGCGGCAATTTGGCCTGGGTCACCAAACCGGTAGCAACCTTTGGCTGGCCACGCCCCCTGCCCAGTCGCCACTCACTTGTCCCTTCCGACCGCTCGATGCTAGCTTGCCCCTTCTGGCCTCTCGACGTTCGCTCGCCCCTTCTAGCTGGTTGATGCTCGCCTGCCTCTGCCCTATATATGTTGCCTTCGCCACGCGGCCCAGCTAATCACCTCACCAGTTGCCTTGCTGATGCCCACTCAGCTCAGCTCACCAAAGATAAGCAATGCATGCCACCCGTTCGCCCTTTGCCTTGGGTCGGGGGCCACACAACTGCCACAGCTCCAGCCTTGCCCTGGAGCTCCACCCACTCGCTGCCTACATCGGCCGGGTCAGGGAACGCACAATTCCCCGGCTCCAGCCTTGCCCTGGAGACGCCGCCCGCTTACCACCCACTCTCCCTTAAGTGCGACTTGTCACCCCGTTTCCCCTCCTTCAGAGGCCCCGGCCCTTAATCTCCCCACTTCCTCCCCCACGACTGCCTCTTTCATCGTCCAGGAAGGGAAGCCAGGGCTGAGCCATCGTCGCCGCTGGGCTCCCGGCCAGCCCACATCTCATCCCCCTTGTCACAAGATGCCTGCAGCCGCCATGTGTTTTTTTTGGTGCGACTGCCGCACCGAAAAAAGACGCGGCGGCTGCAGGCTTCTTGCAGTGAAAATTACCAACCTCCGGCTCCGCTTCTCCAACACGCTGCCACTGCCCTGTTCTATGCGCTGGCTGCCTGCACACACCCCATTTGCGCCGGAGGGACTTGCCCGGGCAAGTCCGAGCGGAGCGGCACAGTAGGCAATGGGGTTCCTCTACGCAGCCAGCGCATAGAACAGGGCAGTGGCAGCGTGTTGGAGGAGCGAAGCTGGAGGTCGGTAATTTCCGCTGCAAGAAGCCTGCAGCCGCCACGTCTTTTTTCGATCTTCTCCTCCCAGCCGCTGCCTCTTTGCCAGCTGGAACCGAGCTGGGAGTGGAAGCTGGCTGGAGGCTTCTTGCGTTGAAAACTACAGGAGGTCTTGAACGCACCGAAAAAGCCTTTGCCGTTGCCGCCCTGTTCTTCGAAGTTTTTCCTACCGGGTTCTGTGGGTGTGGCTTGGTGTGTGTGTGTGTGTGTGTGTGTGTGTGTGTCATGTGACTGAGTGAGCGTGGCCGTGAGTGATGTCAAGTTGGCCACGCCAACTCATTCATATGACCCCTCCAGCAGGCCACGCCCATGGAACTGGTAGTGGAAAAATTTGAATCCCACCACTGGTTGGTTAGTTGTTCGGTTAAAACATCAGAGGCAACTAACGCTATTTTACGGATGGAAGAAATATTCCCCATCTGCAATTCCTACATTATGTTTCTTCTCACCCCTTCCTTTTTCCCTCTTTCGCTCTCCCCTCTTCCCTCCACCAACTGCGGCACCTTTATCCTCTCCCTCCTCCTCCTCTGGCAGAACTACCTGCAGGAGCAGAGCGTGGCCAAGAAGCTTTGATGTCCGAGCGGGAGAAGCCCCGGCTGGGGACAGTGGCGTCTGGGATGGAAGCCCAGGACCAAAGGCTTGGCCACTAGTCCTGTGCAGGGAGGGAGAAGCTGGCCAGAAGGAGCTGCTCTTCAGATCATTTGTGTTGCTGGGATTGCAATAAAATCCTCTGATATTCAAGTCCTCGAATTGTTGTGAGATGCCGACTGATGGGGGGAATTATCGCAGGCACAGGAAGCAGCCTTGGCAGACTAAAGCCACATTGGTTTGCCTTGGAGGGTCCCAGGGGGAGAGACTTCATGGGGCAATTGAGACAAAGAGGCCACCACTTCCCCTCTCTTTTGGAGGCTGGACTCCAAGCTCCATAATGCTGGTACCTGCCTCTGAAATCAGATTTTGTATGGTAGGAAACCAACAATGCCTGCATATGTAATAAACGATAATGCCAGTATTTCTCTCTCATTGTTTTAAAAAGGAGCAAGTCAAAGAAACATCCAGATTTTGACGGCCTTGGTATTTCAAAGGCCAAGATCTCTTCATGCTTCCTAACAGCGCTAAACTGAGAGCTTTCCGCCTTCTGTGAATCTACAGGCAGAATGTAAGAAGTCAGGCTTGTCCTCTCGGCACGAGGAAGCCCTCCAATCTCCAGCAGACGCCCCCAGGGGAGCCCCAGGGGAGCCAAAGCTCCCAGCCATAGATCTCCAGGACTTCTCCGAATCCATTTAGCCTTTTTTGAAGCCATCATATTCCAAAGTTCCAAAATATTTCCTTTTTTTCCATCCTGATTCTTCCATTGATTCAATTCCATTGGCGGCTTCAGCTGGGTGTTTCTCCTTGATCACTTTATCCACACCATCCATAATTCTGCCCACCTCCATCCCCTCCCATTCATCTTCTTTCAGGCCCCAAAGCCTCCAACATCCCCCCAATTTCCTCCGAGGAAGCTGCTCTGCCCCCCCCGATCCCCTTAGCTAGCCCCCTCTCCACAAGACTCCTTCCGAGGGGGCCAACGGAACTGTGCACGATGCTCCAGATGTGGCCGCACCACTGGTTTATGCAAGGCCATCCTAATGTTGGCACCTCTTTTTTCAGTCCCGTTTCTCAGGATGCCCAGTGTGCCGATGGGCTTCTTCATAGCAGGTGATGCTCCTTGAACACTTTCGTTGAAGTGCTTCCCCTCACCAGTCTCTGCTAGTAACAGTCCCATTATTTGAGTATGCAGAGAGGAATTTTCGCACCCCGCGCAACACATCGGTGCCAAACCTCACATGCTCTTGGCTCCAAAAGGCCTCGAGTGCCGCCAGAGAAGGCGAGGAAACCCTCCAAGCACCCCCACCTGCAGGGCCCCTGACGCAGCTGCGCCATCCTGGCCCCTCTTGGCATAATGAGGGTTCATTATCCTAATTACGTCGCCTCCCTTGTTTGTCACCTCCAGGAAGAAGCCCAGGGGCTCCATTCTCTGCCAGAGCCGTCAGCCGCTGATTACAGGCCTCTGGAGGGAAAAGGCAGGAAGAGAGCCAACCTCCCAAACGTCTGCGCTGAGTAGCTGAGCCGGCCGGCCAGGGCCCTGGAGTGACGCAGGGCTGCTTCCTGAACCACAGGCACCCCATCCCCGAGGGCCATTCAGGGCAGGCTTTGCCACCTGCCCTTCCCCTTGGGCACCCGTTTCCTGGGGGCTGTCTTGGGCTCGGCTGGGGCTACGAGGGGTCCAGGGAGCAGAAGGAAGAGGAGGAATGCACCCCTTCAGTCATTCCCGAGAAGGAGCGGCAGGCGGGAGGTGAAGGGGAGGGCTCCGGGCACACAGCCCCTGGGGTCACCCCAGAATGGGGCTCCTGCCCTGGTGAGGGGCTCAGAGCCCGGCTCCAAGGACGGCCTGCTTCCCTTCGCTCAGGGTCCTTGCTCTGGAGGTGGGAAGGGGCCCCTCATTTCAAAGAGCCTCCTCTGGGGGAGAAAAGCCACAGATGACGGGTCCCTTCTGGGAATTGGGGGGGGCACATAAATCCAAGGAGTAAAGAGATCAACATGCTATCTGCTGCCTAGAACACCTGATATAAGAGCCTTGATGGCGCAGCATACTAAAGCGCTGTTAAGTAGCACCAGCTGCCTGCAATTACAAATCTCACCAGGCTCAAGATTGACTCAGCCTTCCATCCTTCCGAGGTAGGTAAAATGAGGACCTGGATTGTGGGGGCAATAAGCTGACTTTGTATTAAAAAAAGAACACCGCTTAGGGGCCTCCGAAAGCCCTACTAAGCAGGTAAATACAAAAGTATGAATGCTATTGCTTTACGCATTGTAAGCCGCCCTGAGTCTCCGGAGAAGGGCGGCATATAAATCGAACCAATAAATAAATAAAATAAATATGATGCAGGGGTTGCTCCCGACTTTCCCTCTTCCCAATCTCCCGTCCCCCTCCCCTTAGTGCCCACTGCAACGGCCCCTCTGCACACACACACACGTTCTCAGGGAGCACAGGAAAGCAGCGCTGAGGCTGCGGATACTCACAAGTGGAACTTCTCCTCCCAAACGGGATTCAGGTTCCCAAAAATGGTCTTGGTCCTTTTCTTTGTTTTGCCCACCTGGACGGTCACGTAGGGGTCGCTGGAGCCGGTCTTGTCCTTGGCTTGCAGGCCTTGGGCACAGACCACTGGGGGAGGGGGATGGAGGAAGAGGGGAGGTGAGGGGAAGGCCAGGAAGCGCCCCGGAAGCAGAGCCGGCTCTGGGAGAGCTTCAGCAGGGTTGCCCCTCCCCTCTCCCACCCCCACGCAGGGCTCTGCTTCTCCCCCTCACCTGTGATGGTGATTTTGGCCAACCACTTGGAGGTCCCGTCCAGGACGCTCTGCTTCACCACCTTGATCTGCTGCCCGTGGGTCACCTTGCTCTCGCCAAAGACGTCCCGGATCAGGTCGAAGATTTCTGGCTTGTTCCGCTCCCGGATCTTCATCCGGTCCTTCATGGCCATGATGATGTTCTGGGTCCGGTCCTCCGCCCCATGCTTGGAGCACTTCTCGGCTGCTCCTGCGGAGGGGGAAGGGAGTGGTCAAGAGGCAGGAAGAGGGGCTGGCAGAACGCCCAGAGGGACCCTCCCTGGTTTCCTGGGCTGCGGGAGAGGGGAGCGAGTCTTTGGGTACAATGGCAATGCGGGACCAGGATTGTTGTCTTCGCTAAGCAAAGTGGTTGTAAAATGCGGTATCACATGACTGCATCACTGAGGGTCGGCAACCCTAATCCTAAAATCCTTAGGGACATGACAGCTGCCTTCCAGTCTCTCAGGGGCTGCCCCAAAGGAGGGGGGAAGGGTCAACCTGTCCTCCAAAGCACCTGAGGGCAGGACAAGAAGCAACGGATGGAAACTAATCAAGGAGAGAAGCAACCTGGAATTAAGGAGGAATTTCCTGACAGTGGGAACAATTTATTTATTTGATTTGATTTATATGCTGTTCTATCTCCATAGGACTCAGGGTGGCTCACAACAATAAAATATCCGAATAAAAGCATGTTAAAATACATGTTAACCCCCCCAGTCCAGGCTGAACAGCCATGTCTTTAAGTCGTGGCGGAAGGTGGAATGAGTGGAATGGCTTCCCTTCAGAAGTTGTGGGTGCTCCATCCATCACTGGAGGTTTTTAAGAAGAGATTGGACAGCCACCTGTCTGAAATGGGATAGGCGGTGGGGTCTCCTGCTTGAGCCGGGGGCTGGACCAGAAGACCTGCAAGCTCCCTTCCAGCTTTATTCTGATTGACTGAATCCTAGCAGTCCAAGCTGCCGTCACAACTTGAGGACTGCATGGGTCATTGAAAGAAGCCTCAGGCAGGAATGTGGAAGGGGGGCATGTGGGTGTCGCAGAGGCTTGGAAGGGATGCAGGGCAGAAGGGCAGCCCAATGAGGGCCGCAGGTGAGTGCTGGGAAGCAGAGGTGAGCCTGCAAGGGCCACGGACCGGTTGTGGATAGGTGTGCATCACGGAGCATGAGGGCCGTGCTGATGGGCTGAGCAGCCTTCTCTGCAGAGGAGCTGGGCTGCAGCTCTCCTAATTCCTGGCCATCAGGGCATCTGGGAACTGCAGCCCAGCCATCGGAAGGAGATCCCTGGCTGTACCCGAGGATTCCCCATCAGGCTCTCGGGGGCCTCAGGAGGCCAGCTGCCCGCCCTCCTTTGGCCCAGCTGAGCCTCATCGGACCAAGCCAAGCCCCTCATCCCCTGCCAGGATCTGAAGTGGCGACCTTCAGCTCCCCGACCCCTTCCTCCTCCTGCCCTCGCCTCTTGCATTCTTCAGCCCTGCTTTCTTGTGTGTGCAATGGGTGTGTGTGTGTGTGGGTGGGTGTGTGTGAATGGGGGGTGGGGGTGGGAGTAGCCTGTGGGGCTCCAGCTCGGTTTCCCTGTCACCAAATGTCAGGGAGGTTCTGCCCTTAGGCAAAGCCCAGCTTCAAACGGAGAAGCCTCCCTCCCGTGGCTCTCAAGGGAAGCCGAGTCCCTCTCTGGTTCTTGCCCCTGAGGCTGGGGCAGGTGGGGAAGGGGGGGGCAGATTGTAGCCTCCCCTGTGATCCCCCAAAAGGAAATTTGGCAGCCAACCAGCTGAAGTCTAGTCATGTAAGATTTCAAGGTTTAATAAATAAAATAACGGCCGCAAACGGCTGCATTTCAAACTGATTATAGAGCTTTGCTTTGCTTTTGCTTTCTGAAAATTTTTACAACTAATCCGGCTCCATTTAGGGTGGTTTTAAAAGTGGGAAGGACCAGTTTTCCATTTCCATCTGAAGAAGCCCCCAAAAGCCGACCAGGGGGAGGCGACTGGTGCAGGGAGCCATCTCACGAAAGGGAAGGCCCCTCCTGGGTCCTGCCTGGGCAGCTCATGGGCGGCCAGCCCTGGAGAAGAGTCCAGGGGTCTCCCCCCGCCCCCCCCGGGAAGGGGCCCCCTGCAGGAGGGAAGGGAAGCCCCGCAGGCCCTCCAGAAAGTTTGCCTCTCCCCTGTATGGAGGCATGGAGGACATCTGTTGGGTGGGAGGGTGAGGCCTGCATATGATTTGTTCTTGGAACCGAAAATAGGCTTTGTGATTTAAAATAAAACCCATCTTCCCTGGTGCTGCGCAAACATTTCTTGACAGAGGGACTCTGATGAAACTGGCACTCGTCAAGGCTGCACTTTAATCATCGCTTTGACCCTCGGCACCCAGGCTGCCGAAAAAGGAAGGCGGCCCCCTCCCCTCCCACGGAGGGCCCCGAGCTGGGCTTCCCGCCTTGGCACAGGCCCCTCCTGCGCCCACCTGGCTCAGAAACCCCCTCCTCTCTCAGGGAGCCCCACCAGCTTCACTGCTGCCAGGCTTTCTGCCACGGCTTGGCCTCCTTCCAAAGGGGCGCAGGCTGAATAGAGCAACAAGGGGGGGGGGGTGTCCCAGAGCTTCCGTGGCAGGGAGGGGCTTGGGACCCCAATCTCCCTGGGCTTAGTTCAACCCGTTCAGCCCCACCCGCCCCGCATGCCCCTCTCCCCATGAAGGCCCTTCCGAAGAGACAGGGCAGGCCAAGAGCCATGAAGAGGAGTCGGGGAGCGTGAGCAGAACCCCAAGACTTCCGATTCCCCCTGGTCGGCAGGAGAGCTACTTGATTCCATCTTTGCTCATGCTCTCCTCTTAAACTCTCAGCCCAGATCCCAGACTGAGAAAGGGGGTCTACCCAGAAGCCACCTGATCCCCCGTCTGCCTCTGTGGAGCAGGGAATCTCTCCGCACTGGGGAAGGATCCTGTGCGGATAAAGGGGCAGACCCTGACCCTTCCCCGGGCCCCCTTTCGGCCATGACCTGTCCTTCCTTAGAAACGCCTCCAGCAGAGAGGGCAAGCTGAAGGGGATGGCACCCTGGAGGGTTTGGGGTCTTTGTTTGGACACAAAAATAGTCCTTCCTGGTCCTTTGCCACCCCCTTCCCCCCCTTGCGGCTTAGAGAGTCCCCCCCAGGGGCGTCAGCCTCCCCCCCCCCACTCACTCTGCAGGCAGTCAGCGTTGAGCAGGTCTTGGCACTTCTCGTGGCACTTGACCCCACATTCCGTGCAGCGCATCCCTTGGCGGGCGATGCCCCACAGGAGCCCCTCGCACTCGTAGCAGTAGGTGGGGGTTGTGGCGGTCCACACCTCAAACTTATGGGGCGTGGTGCAGGAGATGGGGTAGATTAAGGCTTGGAGGGTCTTCTTGTACACGTGGGATTTCTGAAACAAAAAAAAGAAAGAAACCCCTTTTTTTCACGGAGAGATACCCTCCCCCCAACCCCAGAGATGTGAGATGGCTGTACCTGGCGCAGACCCCAGCCCTCTATTGGCAAAATACCGGGAGGTTTCTGCAGAGGGCAGCCCAGGGAGGGCAGGAAACCCCCCCCCCATGCCACTGCTCTTGCCAAGCCCAGCCAGGGCCTAGTCTGACCACCCCCCTTTGACTCCTTCCCTTCCCCCCTCCCCCGTGGCCCCCCAGCCCCAGGAGCAGGGCCTTCCCAAAGGGGGGCCAGGAATGGGCTCACATCTTCTAGCAAACGTCTCTCCTGAGCACTGCACTCCACATAAACAAAGACCCCCGACATAGCCGCCCCCACGCCCCCCATTCTTCCCCTAACCACTTGCTGTGGGGGCAGCCCCAGTGGCTTTTGCGCTCTGCTCAGGGAGGGAGGGGGGTTATGCACCTCAGGGGCGGCCTCAGAGGATTTCCTCCCCCTCCCCCCCAGGGCCTGGCCCAGCTGCTGTCCGGCCTTACCAGCTCTTCGTCCTTGAGGGACGTCCGGGTGGCCATGGCCGAAGTGATGCCCGCCTTCCGCGACTGCACCAGCGACTGGAAGAGGAAGCAGTTATTGGGAGCTTCAGAGAGCTGTGCGGAGGGGGGGGGGCTGCTGAGCCCTCCTGCCCTGCCTGCCCCACCCTCTCAGCCACCATCACCGGCCTTTCCTTCTTCCCCCCAAAGGCCCAGGAGAAGGTCTCATGGATAGATCCCCTTCTGGGTGCCTTCCCCAGCTATCCTACCCGGATACCTAGTCTCTAGCTAGGAAGGAGAAGGGAGGGTCCCCTCTCCCGGAGCCATTTGGCTGGTCATCTGCAGGCAGAGACCCTCAATGCCGGGAGGGCCCCAGCAGCCCCCCAACCAGGCCCTCCCCCCCACCAGGGCAAGTCAGTCCAGAAGGTCAGATCCAGCTGGCCTGGAGCCAAACATTCAGCAGGCCTGGAGCCCCGAGGCCCCTGGGGGCCAGTCCCGCATGGATGGGCCAGGAAGCGGAGGGTCAGAAGCGGGTGAAGGGAGCTGGGAGTCGCTCTCCGCTTACTTACCATGGCCTGCAGGAAGGAAGCGCCGGCGTCCAAGAGAAGCAGAACACGTTAATGCCACCTTAACTGTCCTCGTCTACCGGATCCAAACCGGGGGGGGGGCCCCTCAGCAAGCCCCAGGACCACCCCCGGGGCCTGCAGCCACTCCAGCCACCCCACTCCTATCCTAGCCCCGTAGGACAGTGGGCGGAGGCTTTCCACCTCCTATCTGCTTTCCCATAGCTGGAAACCCCCCCCCCCCTTTTTAACTCTGTCACCTGGAAGCACAGAGGAAAGCCTTCCCCCCAAAATACACCCCAAGGGCCCCCTCCCATTTTCCTGCCATGGGGCTGTTTCCAGCCAATCACCTCTTCTCCCAGTCCTCTCCCCCACTTTCACTGGGAGGAGAGGTTGCAGTTGGGGGGGGGGAGGTACTCTCAAGACCCCACAACTAGATGGATCACAGTCCCCATTTTGTGGGACCCTCTCTTTGCTGCTCGAGAGTAGGATGTGTGAGGGCCTCTCTGACCCCCCCCCACCTGCACTTTGGGAAGACCCTGCAGCCTCTGCCCAGAGGCCCAAAGCAAAGGGGCGCCCCATAATGTCACCGAGGGGGTCCTCTCACCAGATCACTGACGAGGGGAAGGGGCTTCTTCTGGCGTAGGTCAGGCATGCTGTCGATGCCGTACAGGCCGCCCACTGGCCTAGAAGCAACAAGGGGGGAGGCGTTAGGGTGGGCAAGGAGGGCGTGGCGGAAGCCCAGCCAGCCGCTCCCTGGCCACAAAGAGAACGGGGTGAAGGCGGGAGGCCCCTGGGGCATCTGGGGACACACCTGGCCGAGGCAAGAGGGGCTGGGGACGTGGCGAGAGCCTTTGTGGGTCTGGATGCAGAAAGAGCCTCCCGCCTGGGACTCTCAAAGGCCCCTCAACGTCCTACCCCCATCGCCCCCCCCTTTGTTAAACCAGGGGCTTCTCTCCGCTTTTCCCAGGAGAGCAACGGGAACTGCCCAGATTTACCAGGGAGTAAAATGGTGGCATCTTAGAAGATCCCCTCAAAGATCCCCCCTAATCGTGGGACCCCCAAGGACCCTGAAGCGGGCCTTCTTTGCCCTCTGCTCAAAGTCAACCCCCCCATCCCCATGGGCGGCTTTACTGCTCTCCTTTGTGCTGATGCCAGCTCAGGGCTCCTGCAGCCTGTGGGGGAGGCTGGGCCCTCTGTAAAATCAGAGTCCACCCCCCCACCCCCCATTGCCCTTCCCCTGTATGCTCTGCTCTGGAACAGTCTCAGTCCAGGTTGAGGCTGCTGTGTCATCCCCCTCCCCCCCCATTTGTGCACCCCCCCCCCCCAACAGTTGTGCACAAGCAGCAGCAGCGAATTCAAATGTTGCAGATCAAAGCCATCTGGCTCTATTCAAGTATATTCACACACGGAAAATCAAACAGCCTGTAAAGGGGGGCTTCTCCGCTTTTCCCCTGGCAGGCCCCCACCTCACGCTGGAAAGAAGGGGAGGGGGAGAGCTCGGCTTCAAAAGCTTTCAAGGCCTGGGATCAGGAGCAGCCTGGGAGGGAGGGGGGCGGGGAGGGGAGGGGAGGGGAGGGGAGGGAGGGAGGGAAGGAAGGAAGGAAAGAAGCGCCCATGGAAAGACCAGCTCTGATGGCAGAAAGTACTCAGGCTGGCTCATGGCAAGCTGTCCCCTCCCCTCTCCCGATTGAGGGAGGGGAGCCAAAGCGCACAGAGGCGAAATCCTTTCCTTTGGGCCGCCACCTTTTCCATCCTGACTTCCAAGGATGGGGTGGGGTTATTCTCCTGCAGCAGAGAAGCCTCTTGGTCAGAATAATGCAATTTTTGAAAGAGTTAAACGTTTTGATTCAAAAAATTGTTGGCTCCTCCTGATTTCTGGTTCCCGCAGATTAACATGGCTTTCCTGGTACCAAGAAGCGGGAGGGGGGAGGGGAGAGAGCTGCGGCCCCAGGGAAGGTGGTGCTCAGGTGCCAGGACCCCAGGGGGGCAGAGAAACACCCTGCAAGCCTTTCGTGGGCCCTGGAACAGCCTCCGTTGGGGGCCGTCTGGTTGGCCGAACCCTGGAAGCCAAACTCGCCTCCTGCCCTGGGGAATCGGGGCGCCCCATCTGGGTCACAGGGGGGGGGCAAGCAAGTACTGCAGGGGCCCCAAAGGCTACTCACCCTCCTTTGAACCACGGAGACTTGGAGGGCTCGCCATCGTCCGGACTCTTCGATGATGGGAAAGAGAGAAAAGGACAGAATTATTTCCCAGCCAGCAAGCAGAAGGGAGGCAGCCACGGAGGAGGTCCATGCATAAGAACAGAGGCAGGCACTCCATGGTCAGCGGTCCACAGCAGGGATGGGGGTGGGGTGGGGCTGATGGGAGGCACCGGTGTGGACACGAGGGAAGGAAACAGAGCCTGCTCGGTGCAACCTAGGGGGAAAAGGGGGAGGGGAAACTTTCTTCTACGATCTCAGCCTGCCAAGTGCAAACCTTTCGCCCAGGTTGGCAAGACTGATGTGGGGACACCACATACATCCACTGAAGCCCCCTCTTTGCAAAGCCCCCAGGCCCCTTGGGGGACAGGCCAGAATCGCCGCCCCAACTGGTCTCTTGCACCCGCAGCCACTGCGGCACCTGCATCTTCCGGGGCGCTGGCAGAGGCGCAGGTGAGCCCGAGGCCTCACCCAAGATGGTGGAACCAGGGAGTCCAGTCCTGGGCAGACCCGCCAAGACCCTGAGCTCCGGGGGCTTTGCATGGCAGTCACTGGCCGGGTGATTCACCCTCCAGAGCAGCCCGGGACACCCAAGAGAGCTCCTCTGCATGACCACGGGCACAACCTGCCCTCTCCTGGCAGGGAATTCCTCCCGAGGGAGACCTTCCAAGCATGGGAGCAGCCGCCCCTGCAGCTCACAGCTGGCTGCAGGCAGGGCTGAGAGGAGGGGAAGGAGTCTCTGGCCCCTACAGAAGAGGGCATGAAGGAGGTCTCCTCCTCTTCCTCCCCCAGACCAAGAGAAGGTGCGGGGGGGGGGGGGGCTGCTGGTGCACCTGACAGAGCAATTCCCTTCACTGGGGTGTCCAACCGTGGCAACTTTAAAGACTTGTGGACTTCAGCTCCCAGAATTCCCCAGGCGGCATAGCTGGCCTGTCTCTTCTGCTGCCTCTGTGGAACAGCAAGGCGGAGACCGTGGCTGTGGCTGGCTGGGGAATTCTGGGAGTTGAATTCTTAAAGTTGCCAAGGCTGGGCACCCCTGCCCCACGCAGCGTCCAAGCAGCGTCTGTCTCCAAAGCAAAGGAATTATTGCTGCGGCTGCTAAAGAGGAGCTGGTTGGGAAGCCTTCAGAAAGAGGGACAGTCAGCCCCCCACCCCCAACCCTGAGCGTGACCCGCCACACCCACACAGCCGGCTCACGGTGGCTCCAGAAATAACGGCTGCTTGTTCCCTATTTTAAGATTTTGCACAACCGTCTCCACTGGCTCTTCCCCAGAGGCAGCAAAAGGGACAAGCCAGCTAGCAACAAAAATCAGGTTTCTCCTCCCTTGGGTGGAGAGGCGCCCTCCCTACCACCCCAATCATTGGACCCCCACCCCAATTTGGCCTCCGGCACTCTAGTCCACCACTGGCTGCAGTTCTGCTTGGCTTTCTGCTGGACGTAACCTGAGCTCCTGCCAGCATCTCTGTCCCAGAGAGCAAACAGTCTTCATGGCTTCCTTGCACTTGGTGTGACCTGCGATAATCCAACTTGCAGTCAATTACCCCAGCCTTCCTCCTCTGCAGAACACGGATCCTGCTGGTTTGGCAGCCCCCACCCCTCTCACGAAGGGCCGCCTTCCAGATATCGTTCTGCCCCTTTTATGTCCAGCAGGAAAAAGATTCCAGGAAAAGAGGAGGATTTCTGGCTTATTGCTTTGAAGCGTTTCAGCTGCCAACAAAAAGGCCATCCTTTGATCGAGGAGCTGCCCCCCCCCCGCCAAAAACAGGAATGAAAAAGACCCTCCGGGGATGGCTCTCCCCCATTCATAGCCAAGGCCAAAACATTCGTGCCAGAATTTCTGAGTTTGGCTGGCACTGCCCGCTGCACAAACCCCAGCGTGCCTTTAGAAAGGAAGGAAGAACAGAGGCAGCATAAGCTGAAGAGCGGCTGCTCTTTTTTCTCCGTTTCCAGCTGCTCCTTTGTGGCTCCACTGGCAGATGAACTGGAATGTTCTCCCCGACTTATCTGCCCCCCAACAAATGTGGGTGTCTCCTGCAACTCTCGTCTCCTGGGGAAAATTGGCTCGGGGGCCCAAGGAGCACCAAGTCTTACACCAACTCCTGGCTGCAGAGAGAACCAAGTGAGGAATTTGCAGGATCTCTTACAGACCAGAGCTTTGGGGCATCAGCAAACAAAGGGGGGCAGCCCTGGGGGTCCTTTGTGCCCACCGATTTTTCTGATGCTAGAAAGCGAGGAATCTACCCCCCGCACCTGGGGCAGGGGGTTCATACCGTCCTCTTTTCCCAGCCTTTAAAGGAAACGGTGTTTGCTCATTGCCAGAGAGCATGGCAAAGAAACCACTTCTCTTCTCCCAGGCTGGTGATGTTTATATTTCTTTCTTTATATCTTTAAATAAGGGAGCAATGGGCGGTCATTCCAGCAGAATCCTTCCAGGGGAAGGGGCAGAGAAGCGGGCCAGAAGGGAATCCCCACCTCTGCAGGGCCCTGAAGCCCACCTGACTCCCCCGCCGCCCCCCAGCCTTCCTGTGTCATGCAGCTCCCTTGTCCTCCTTGGGAACTGGGCTGGGTGTATGTGTGTGCGTGTGTCACCCAGGGATCTCGGTGGGGAATCGGCTCTTGGCTCCTCCGACAGGCCAAGGCACCCCGCGGTCTCTGTCTGGATGAGCCATGCCCCAGAAGCTGGCACATGCCAACCCTCCCCAAACACATCAAGCCTCAGCCAAAGCAACTCAAGGGGACATGCAAGAACGACACACACCGGAGTCAGTCAGAAACACACAAAGGAGAGTCAATAACCTGAAGTTCTCCTCTACTTCTTTCTGCAAAGGGGGAAAAAGCAGAGAGGGAAGGAGAGGAAACATGGTTAGTGGAACACGTCTCGGTTACGGACAAAGCCTGGCCAGCGGAGCAGACTTGCACAGCCATGTTGACCCCAACCCACAATCCCCCTCTGGGCGGGGAGGACCAGCTGCTGGAGAGGCAGCGGCCAGGGAGGCCGAGATGTGCTGGGTCCATGTTTTTTCAATGCAGGCTCTCTTGGCCTTTCAGGGCAGCCATCGCTCAGCCTTGCTCGGCTTTGCCCTAGCGAGCACAAAACAGCTTTACCGCTTGATACGGAGAAGCCGGACCGGATCCTTCTCCTAAACGTGTGAGAAAGCCACCCAAGCCATCCCGTTCAACTCCTGACACTGGACCGGGGATCCCACGCAGGTCTCCCCCTGGATCCCATCCGTAACCGCAGGGTGGAGAAAGCTCTGAGCGAGGCTGAAGGAGGGGGGCTTATCGCAGTAGGGAAGTCTCCAGGGAGGCAGTGGCTGGGGGAGGGGGAAATATGGCAACCTTATGACTGGTGGACTTCAACTCCCAGAATTCATGAGCCAGCATGGAGTTGAAGTCCACTGGGCATAAAGTTGCTATAGTTGCCCATCCCTGGTTTAGGGTCGGATACCGTAACTAACAGAAAGTCCAAATCGTTGTGTTATGACTAAAATCACCCCACCCCACCCCACCCCAGCATTCTGGAAGGGTCTGAAATTGACGTCAATGGGCCGCGGACTGATGGCAGGTGATGAGTGGTGAAGAGATGTTCCACGGGGGCCTCCTCTTCCTCTGGCGGCTCTTCCGTGTGTGCAGCTCAGAGCCCATTTTCACAAACTGACTGATTTGATTTTGGTGCCACTGGGCTCCAGACTGGCTCGGGGGGGCTGCATCATAGAATAAAAAACCCGAAACAGACATCCAAGTTAGATGCTTTAAGAGGAAACTCCAGCAAACCATAACAAATCCATGCAAAACTCTGGTTTTACCTGCAGAGATCCTGGCCTTTGAACAAAAGTAGAAACAAACCTTTTGCCAAAGGGCCTATTTGAAGGAGAGCGGGGCCTTTCGCCCCGCCCAAAATGGGGGTGTTTGGCTGAATATCTGTGGAGATTCTCAGCCATCCAGGCCACGGCCGGCCCAAAGGTGCCTTCTTTCAAAAGGCAACCGGACTTCCTAGGCTTTTTCTCCAAGACGTTTTGCTTCTCATCCACGAAGCTTCTTCGGTTCTGACTGAATGCCGGGGAATGGAAGGATGACCGCAAAGAATATAAACCCTTCCGTTCCCCACCATTCAGTCAGAACTGAAAGCCATGAGCAACAAAATGTCTTTGTGGGGAGGAGGAAACAGCCAAGCTCAGAGAGCACCAAGGACCTCAGGGGGCACTTGGCCTGCAACAAGCCAAAGAGGCAACACGATTAATCCAAGAAAGGCAAAGCAGCTGATAGTTGAAAAGAGTCTGACGCTCACACAAAGCGGCAACAGAAGAGAAACCCGGCCAGCGGGAGAACTTCTCAGCAAACATCTGAAGGCTCCAACTCCACCACCGTGGGAGAGCAATGGAGCTCTAGGCATGGGGGGGGGGGGAGATCTGTGGTGCTTTGGGCCTGCCTCTTCCCTCCACCTGCACCTGCTCTTCACAGGCTAACTCCTCCCCTCCCCCACCCCAATGCAGTTTCCCAACTTTGAGGGGGGAGGGAGAGTTTGGGTTCCAGGTGTCTCATGGCGGAGCTGCCATCGTTCTCAGCCAGCAACTCAAACCCAACGTCTCCAAAGGCACCGGAAACAGACCTGACTCAGAAGACACGGAAAAAATCGGTGGAGGAATCAGTCCTGCCCTCCACAGGGACGAGGCGAAAAACGTGCTGTGCCAACCAGACACGCGAACCCCGGTTTCCCTGCCATTCCGAGTCAGTCTTCAGCACGTGGGGAAGCGAGGAAGGCAGCCGGAAGCTCTCCAGGACCAGGCAGGGGCCCAGCGTGTCCAAGGCTTCCGACGTGGCCCAGGGAGAGCGAGTGGCCGCTGTTTACCTATCAGCCACCCTGAGCAAGAGACCAGCAGCTCTTTGCTCCTGTGGGGTTTTCGCAGCGATAACATCTGCCTACCTCAAGAGAGATCGGGTGGGACCAGGCTTCTCTCTTTCAAAATGGGAGGTGGATGGATGGATGACATGTTGCTCGTCTCCCAGCCA